AATTTTGTACTTGTAGAGGCACATGTAGTTGTACTTCCAAAACTCGGAATTACTCGAAACCTACAGCAAGAGTTGTTGAAGTAGTAGTTGTCACCTTCAAGCACTATTACCCTTAAGCCGCCCCTATACGCTGTACACTACCCAAGGTTAACCATAAATATATAGACAAACACCTAGGGTATAGTCCATTTCCAGAGTATGTAAGTTAATGAAAGCATAGTCACGAGAATATATTTTTACAATCAGAGCAGGCGCCTCGGAATGACGGTCGCGAGCCTTCTCAATGTAAGCGATCAACACGTGTGTCATATATTTCAGAACAGATATTGCTATGTTCCTGAGATGCTAGTACTGTATATTTGCGAACAGATTGCCCCAGTATATAGTTTGTGGTTAGGTTGACCTGAGGACCTATCTCTGAAATGTCACCGTTTGAGATGGCACAGTATGGCCCCCACCGTTGGTTCGTGAGACAAAGTTTAATAAGAGCTGGATAAGATCACATACCCTTACCTCCGATAGCTTGAGTTTCGGATCCGGCCGGTATGTGTTACTCTCACACAAGGTTCAGCAATCCAAACTGGTGCTTCAATGTATAGGGCTATCTGGAACATTGACGGCAGAGGCTAGGATTTCAATTCCGCGTAACTGTCATTAGTACCGTCTATAGCGTTAGATATGGGGAGATCAGTGGGTGGACAAAATAGCCGCCTAGGAAGCCAATTACTGAGTTTATGTGTCATGATATGAACTTGGATAAAGTATAGAACTCTTCTCATATAACATTACACGGCTACGTAGTGATAAACATATCTTTGCTTTTGAACATATAGACTGAATATTACTGAAAATAGCAGGGAAGACTAAAGGCTCATAAAGATGGTCAATGACTTTGGAGAAAACCTATCGCGGAAGAAGAAATATAACGTCCTGGGATGAAGCTGGTTTTTCTTTCCTTCCACTGCTTGTGCAAAAAGATGCTAAAGTGATGGTGTGTCCTTAGCCAAGTTATCGTACAATGTCTCCCAGTGGTGGCCCAGTCCCTTGACTATACTTCCCTCTTTCCTCTCCGAGATGACTGACCACGTTACATGTCAAGGTTTGCAAGTTTTTATTGCCTTCGAACAAGATCAATACCCCTATGATCGGTAGAGTGGCCCGTAACTTTGTACAGTGCCTGTCCACAACGGGTAATAGGTCCTGTAGATTGTGTAATCAGTTACCATCCTTTCACAAATTCAACTGCAGTGTAACACTGCGCTCATGAGTACTTGGAATCCTGATTTGGTCCGGATGGCTTACTGCTGTGAAGTACAGCCATTTGGGACCGCGAGATTCGTGGCAGTATATTGACTGGCAGCAGCTCCCGAACCAGGTGAAGAGCTCCACGTCATATTCAACTCCCCTGAGTCACATAGGACATGTTAACCGATAGTAGGGCAGTGACCCTGTCAGTATGAGTGGCAACAAGCTTGACTTTGGCCGGGGCTGGAACTGACCTCCAGGCGCAAAGCTAAACCGGGCCAAGACTCAAATCCCGAGCGTTCTCCAGGCTTTCCCACTCTCATGGGACGCAAATTGAGTTACGTCTTAGAGCTTGAAGCGAGGGACTAGAACTTTGTCTTGGCTTTTGGAGCACTCGCAGTGGCATGCCAGCCACTGACGCCGCCGGGGCTAATTATACTGCGGCGGATGGAAGCGACCTTTTTAATAGACCACGACTAGACCGTCTCCTGCCGCCATATGAGTAGTCGAGACGCACCGGAAATATTATCATTATTTTCTCGCTACCTCTATTTAATACCTTCTATATACTTGCAAGTTACGGCAAGGAGATTGAACAATATCTCACCATGGCCGTGTACTATGCCAACCGCAACCTCTCGCCTGACCAGAGCGATCAGTGGCCAATGAATTTCCCATCATTGCCACCCTCTGAATATGATCGCCTTCTTGGCTGGTCTATGCTGGGGGCGGGCTTCACCAGCGCTGAGCCCGTCGCACCACCCCACAACGCTCAGCTGCAGTTTGCAGATGTCTCATCGACCGAGACGTATAGCCTTGACATAACGAAAGACTACTGGTGTCCCTCAAGCTACCCAAATGTAAGATCGCTTGGTTTGCCACCTGAATTTTGCGATGGTACTCATCAGTCTTCAGGGTATTGGTGCAACTGGGTATCACACACCTGTGCCATTCAGCAACCCCCAAGCCACCGTATACCAAGAGCATGACCAGACGGATGTCAACGATCCAACAGCTTCTACTACGTACCAACACCCGGGTGTGAACACTCCACAGCGACCGGTACGAAGACTGAAACGTGAACCACTCAGCCCCAAATCGCATCCGTCACCCTCCATGGCGACACCCATCAGGCCCAAGCCAATGCCAAAACGGCGGTCATCGCAAGACAGCAACACATCACAGCGTCGGCGGTCTACATCTTCAGACAAGGATAATGATCCGAATATCTGCATGCTTCGAAAGAAAGCACATAATCAGGTCGAAAAGCGTTATCGCGCAAACCTGAATGCAGGGTTCAAACAACTCGAAGATGTCACTAAACAAGACTCCACGACCACGCCGACCGATACCAAGATGGCGAAGGGCCTGAGACCCGGTCGCAAAGCGTTGATCCTGCAACATGCATACGAACACATCATCGGTCTTCAGGCTGAACTTCGAATACTGCAGAAAAGGCTTGGCGAACGGTAAGGCTAGGATTGGATATCGCATTATACACTCATTGTATTCTATATACCACGCTCGCTGGCATCGTCTATGTTGCTTGTTGTTTGTTGCTCTTTCATTAAGCCTATATTAAAATTATACTGTACCTAATCACCCGGAGTTATATATTTTTGGGTCTCTTGCACGGAGTTTATGACATGGTTATAATGATGTTTCTTCGTTGGTTGTCCTTAACAGGAGGCCACTCGGTAGGTATTGGAGTTGGGCCAAGCCTTGATAAAGTGTCCCTTATACTGATAGTGAAAACATATTTGATATGACTATCTGTATCTTCTGGAAAATTCATTGCTATCTATTCGGCCCGGTATAAACCTCTCATGGATGCACCACAATGATAGCTAGCGTATCTAGCTAGACGCTTGATTTTGGCCTCTGCAAGAAAGTTAGAATCACGCAGATGCCTATTCAGTGGCGGCCTATTATTTAAATGTAGTGCCATGACGTAGGTGAGGATGACATTTGCTTGCACTCTGTAGGTACGGTCGTTGGGAGAGCAGCCTAAATCAACCAATAGTGAGAGCGTACATCTGAGAGGTTCAAGAAGCCAATTAGAAAAGTTAAAACCTGTAAATGTCCCATAAGCCTAATGACAGATGACTTCAAGATCGTCGCAAGCTTTCCCATGAGCACAATGGCGTTTTTCTGTACGGGAATTCCCGAATATCTAATCTTCGTCCGTGAACAAGACATTAAACTTACTTTCACAGACAGCTAATGCTGCCGTACTATTTGGACTACGTGAAAGAGATCTTAGACGACTTGTGTGGCTGATTTGCCCGGGTAGTAGCGAAGTACTGCTCCTCTAGGATGTATGATGTGAGACGATTTCGGGAACCTTCGTGGAAGCGTTGCACAAGGCATCAGGGCTGTTTTTGACTTTGCGCTTTTTCTCTCCATCGTTAGACTGAAAAGACGTATTAGTTTAAATTTTCCCCTGAAAGTTTTGTTATGCCACCAGGGCTTCATGGAGATATTGAAAACTTCCAAGGCCTGTCATCGGAAATAACGCACTATCAGCAAGGAGCGTTTCGTGCCTTTCGGTAGCTGCCACAAGAGCTCTCTAGTGTAGGGCTTCAGTGATCTGTATCCAGAATGGACTTTTCAAGGCCAAAATGATTTGGTGCCTTTGATTCCCTGGGGGACAAATATTGGGCTCCCGGCATGTCACTTAATGGCTAGTTTGCGGGCCACTGCAACACTGCTCTAAGTCTGTGCATGATCGCACCATCGGTGACATACGGAGTCAAAGTTCCAGGGAAACAGCAATCACGTAGTGTGCCAAATGGTCCCTCCCCTATGTGTAATGGTATATTTCCCTCGCAACTGTATACGGATCGTCACTGCCCAGAAATGGATAGGAGGCTCATCTAGGACTAGTACCTATCAAGATCAGCTGTGTATCCTTCCTGCAAAGCCAGAAATCAATCTCACCCCCAATGCCCCCTTTACCAGAGTTCTGGAGCCCAGGCGCATTTACATTCAGCCTAAAGCCATTGGACAAAGCCACGAATGAGCGCTTTTTTGACTCTAACAATGCAGACATTGGGCTGGGATGACTGCAGTTGGAGTATAATAGAGTTCACAAGCCAGCCCGAGGAGAATCAATCCCATTCAGCAATTAGTTAGCTCGCTCAGGTGGAGTTCGTCGCTGTGTTAACGGTTATCATTTTGGTTTCGACTTTGACTGACGCAGGAAGGACAGAAATATGCTTAGAAATGCTGAGTGTGTTACAGGAGAGCTTGGCGATATGGCCTTGACAATGGAAAGAATACACTGCTGGCATCCGGAGCAGGGCGATGTGCTAGGGTCTTACCAAGATATAACCTAGCATGAGGTGAACACTCCACTACTGGATGTAAATGCAAGCACTGATGCACAAAAGACTTGCTTCAAGGGACGCAGCACCTTGCTTCGGAGCGGGTTCGGGGTTGCTAATCGCCAGACAAGACGCATATTATTATCCAGCCCAAGCATTCTCTATTTTACACCAACCGGTTCTATGTAAAAAGCAATGCACCGATCATTATGACAGCAGTGGTCTAGCCTTGATGCTACTCCACCCACGCTCCACACCAGGGCATCGGCACTTACGGTTCCCGGGCCGCAAACGTCAACAACTGCCGTCGGATGTAACGTTGATCCTTGCTTTTAAAAGAACACCAAATCTCATATATCAAATGGATGATGACTGCCTCCTGTCATACTAGGGTTGACTCTGCTTTCAGGTCCTTTCAAAGTCGCTCGTATAAATTTAATTCAAGTACACATCCATTCATCCGGTGCCGACGGATACCTTTGGACTTCACTTCGCGCACGGTGTATTTCTCATTAGATATGAAGGATCTGGTATAATCACGAAATAAAGAAGCTTTACATACAATTTGCCAAGTTATTTGACGTAACGGCAATCGGGATAGTCTTCCGGAATGAAGCGGAGTGTCGAGTGCTTGTCCATGACGGCATTTCCACAACCATTGCTCGGCCACCGAAGTAACGAGACGAGAGCAGACTAGCACGGTACAGTGCAGCTGAATGGTGTGCTTGTGTAACAGCAATGGATGTGCTTTCGTCATGACAGAGAACGTAAAGTCTGACTAGGGACCTTGTATAAGTATGACATACCCGCGGACAGACTTTACGATGTTCATAGAAGATTCCAAAACTCTCTTCCTCCAACCTGCTTCTTCCCTGAATCATTTATACTGTTTCGTATTGTCTCCATAACCAAGATGACCTCTCTGTTCAAGTACCTTTGGGGCTCCAATTCCTCCCAGGCCGCTGCATCCAAGCCTCAGTCCACCATCGCAGACGTAACCTTGCCCTCAGGTCTCTACATCATCCGCAACGTGGCGACAGACACAGTAGTCGAACTTTCAGGTGCTCATCGACAAGACGGTACCCCAGCTGTCGGCTGGTATGTACATCTCCAACCCGAACACTATTCATCAGTAGAAAACCCTTAACTGACTACATCAGGCACTTCCACAATGCAAAACACCAAAAATGGCAAATTGCCTCCGCAGGCCATAACCAGTTCTTCATTTTGAATGACGCAACAGGAACATATCTTACTGCCGGTACGTCCTCAGCCTCTATTCTATACCCACAAACTAAAACCAGGTTCCAGACGCACAGCCAACAGGAGGCCTTGTGCTCACAACCGGCAGTCTTGTATCGCCTACTAACAAGAGGGCGAGGTGGACGATTGAGTCTGCAGAGACAAAACATGGCTACACGTATTTCTTTCCAGATGTAAACTCATTCAAATCAACAATCTAACGGAAATATAGAATCCGCTCCGCAGCCAACCCATCCCGAGTCCTAGACCTCTCCGAGTCCGATTCGAAGAATGGAACCCCGATCCTTGTCTACTCCGAGCACGGGGGTAAGAACCAGCAATGGTTTCTCGAACAGCTTGACGCTGCGCCCCCACCAGGCGTAATCAAGAATACCCCCGTAGGGGGCAAAGGTGGTACCCCCTTTGAAGAATTCAAGTATATACCCGTAAGGGTTGTCGAGACATGGAGCGGAGAGGTGGAGGATGAGACTGTTGTGCGGGGGCTGCGGTGGACGTGGGATGACGGAAGTCAGAGTCAGCTTTATGGCGCTGAAAAAGGAGATCATCAGGTGCTTGTAGTGCCTCCTGGAGGGAAGGTGAAAGAGAGCTCTGTTAGTTCAGGGAAGAGGGTTGATTCAATTGTTATTGTCACAGAGGATGGCGAGAAATTCAAAGCAGGTGGTGATGGGGGTGAAGAGCACAAGCAAGATGTTGGGGACGGGGTTTTGCTTGGGTTTGACGGGGCTTCAGGGCTGGATATTGATCGTATTGGACTGATCTTTGCGAAGAAGGATGGAGGTAAGTGAGTTGCATATGGTGCTGGATATGTCTAATGGATCACACATTCCAGGGTAGGGAGCATGGACACAATGGTGAGTAATATTATGCTACCCTATCTTCATGTAGTTAAGTTGAAATGTAACTATGTTTGTCACGGTGACGAAGCAAAAGGTTAAAGGAAATCATGCACTTAGATCTTCTTCTTGCACATATCCCCGGGAATCTCGTAGCTGTCCACGCGCCTACCATTTTCATACACGGCTTTCTGCCCCAGACCACGCTTGGCGAACCCAGTCCATATCTCACATTTATTTTGGCCTCCCGTCAGAGCCTGGTCCGCGTCTAGGATGGCATCGCGGGCCTGAATAAAGTTGGGATTGCAAGGTTGTCTACAGACTATCGTCAGCGATTTCACCTCTGGTCGGAGGGTATGTACTCACAAAGCCATGCCATCAACTACTAGCTTCATTGCCAGGTATTTACCATCCTTGGGCACTCCCCGTTCGTCAAATGCTGGCCGCGGGCCGTCATTTTTTCCATGCTTATCAATCAAGTTCCATAACACTTCGTACAGCATTGAAGCCCAGACAGTTCCACCTGCATGGACCTGATACATGCGATTCAATGATGTATAGTTAAGTGGGTTGGTTTCCATCGAAGTCGAGAATAGATACTGTCGGATGCCCTTTGGACTATCAAAAACCCATGTCCCCATTCCATAATCCGTTGCACGCGTGTCATTAGGCCTGAGACGGATCGCTGTCGCCATGAAATCACCCCAGCCCTCCCCCATGCTCGCGGACTCGAAAGCGCTCAAGCATTTGGAATTGTCCGGGCCTCCGGTAAGTCGCATAGACACTGAGTGGTACACAGGTTAACGTGAACAATTGATAGAAAGTGGGGGTCGAAGCAGGTGGACTTACAACCGTGGGTATACTCATGAATAGCAATTCCAGACTCAAACACTGCATCCCTAGGTGGCTTGGTACGTGTGAACATATACATACGCATGCGACCTGGGTTTCCGTCCGGTGGAGCAGCGAAATCGGCATTGTTCTTGCCCGCTCCATCCTGCGCGTTCAGAATTACATAGTCCTTCTCCTTGCCTCCCAAGCCTCTGTTAGTCCATTGAAAATTGCCTGCCTTTTCTGTGAAGCCGAGTGTGTACAGGAGATCATGGTATGTGTTGACTGTGTAGAAAAGCTGGGTAACTGAAGCATTAATGTAGTCCTTGGGAGAGTCACCTGTCGGGTACGCATAAGTGAAGTTGAGGGTAGGACTGTCGGGACGCATATTATCAATGTAGGGCGGTCTACCATTGAAGTTCTCTTGGGCAATGCCATTATTACCTCGCGTGGAAGTCCAGTTTCTCTCTCCATCGCCAAACCAAGTCAACGGAGACACCGTCAGATCCCACGGGTCAGTAACACTGACACGGCCGTCAGTCTCAGTAGGGTCATTGAATCCCCAACCACTACAATGAATCATTGAAGTCAGTGTTCCGACCATTTTCAATATCTATACACCACACATTACTCACTAGACTTGGAGGGTGGCGTCGGAAACATAGTCGACAACACCATGAACCTCCTCAGCGGTTTTGGCATCCACATAGGATAAAAGCCAATTGTCTTCTACATCCGTCTCTACTCTCCACGCCAAGTTCAGAGTCCCGTCAGGCTTCACAAGGTAGACAAGACGTGCCTTCGGGTCAGAGACAGCCCCAGAGGTGCCCCGGAAGATGTACTTATGAGGATGTTTCGTGGCTTCCGCAGACACGCCATCCGCCTTCATGGGGAGTTGAAGATGTGTCAATGCAAATCTCAACGCAGCCACGGGATCGATGAAGTCACGTCTTGTCACCTGGGTGATGTTGGGAATCGGGCCAGTATAGAAGGAGTTTCCATAGGAGAAGACCTTGCCATCTTTACCGACCTATGCTCCATGAGCTTAGTTGAACAGCTAGTCAGGGCCGGGGTATCAATACATACGTTAACATTAAAGTCCGCATTGTCGACATCGAGGTCATGGACCATCTGACGAAAGTGAACGTGTGCCACACCATTGTCCCCAACGTAGTGATCCTCTCGCAGTCGGAAGGTCGCGTTGGGAAATGTTTCTTTGACCAGCTGATTGGCATTCTCGACGTAACTTTGCTCGATTAGGCCGATATTTGAAGTAGAGATGGGAATCTGTTGATTGGAACCGACATATTCTGTGTTGGGCGCCAGCCGAAATCTTTCTAAATCAACACCGGCGCGGCGAGGAGATAGAAGAGGGGGCTCAGTAGGATGACCAAAGACACAAACCGACAGAGCCAGAGCCCCGACAAAGGAGAAGATATGCATGTTCACAACAAGGAAATCAAGGGAGAAGGAGAGGGAAAGGGAAAGGATTGACAAGAGAGGGGAGGCTGGGAGACGAAGATGATGGAAACAAAAAGGGGAGTTGCGGATGTTCCAGATATTTATCGTTACTATTTGTCGGTGCTTTGGTATCTTTGTACTTCATTCACTTGTTCACTTCACACAGATTGTCATTGGTGCACAGGTATACCTGCATTTGTCGCTATATTCACCACTCCACTGCAGGCGAGGTCCTTCATAACAATAGTCATCTACAGGGGATTGCCAATGAATGGTCGACAGTGAAGGTGCATGGTGACCTGGAAGGTGGACCCATTCTTTCGGGGTATTCGGCATCTATCTTCAATATTTATCACCTGTGAAGCTTCACCGAGCATGTATGATACACTGACTATGTATTGTGACTCAGGGGCCGCTGTGGATGGTGTGACACAATCTTTTAAGAATTGAATACTCCAGGAGTAACAGAAAGGACCGCGGGAGACTCCTAGGGTATGAAAGCCTCGAGCTACGAAAACGAGGCCGGCAGGGAGTAAAGCAAGTTGTACAGTGAGGCTTAGCCTTCGGGCTAAAGACCGAAGTGCAGATACAAGCGAGAGATACGATTAGGGGTCCGTTAGCCAGGATAGGGGCGCTGCCGCGTCTGGTCCTGTGCGAGCCCAGTTTAGGATATTATCTGCCAGAGAAGGCTACCATGTCTGTTTTGATTCGCAGGGGGATTTTGAAGGCCAGAAGTAATTCCCATCCGTACCTGAGAACTCCATCTTTGCTGGTAATCGCGAGAACGTGAATAATTGAGCTTAGATATTGATCACAGATTATTTGATATTCATATCCATATCTAATCGCGAACCAGACAAACGTCGGGTGAAGGGATGTAGGCATCCCCTGGAGTTGAGACAAGAGTCGAATATATGATGCCACGAGAGTGTATTTCAGTTCGCCCTAGAGACTATCGGACGGCACCTTTTTAGTCTATCTCTAGTAATGCACGGGAGGTCCTTAAGCGAGGGATTTTATGTATCCAGTTTATAGATGTCAGGAGGTTCATTTTATAACATTTCTGCTCCATGCTGTTTAATCGGTGTCGAACTATCGAGGCTGTGTGGTTTGTGAGAAGAGGCCCAACTAAACTAGCAGTAGCCCGGAAACCTGAAAAATGTACCGGTTGTACAACACAATATATTTATCGTTCCTTTGGCTATTGCCAAGAATGCTCTATTTGGAATGGAAGAGCGTTATTAGTCTTTCTCCCCTGGCGATAATCTGAACCCTTCGGAGACGATATGTTTATATGCAAGTAGGTTAACCAGGAGCCAGTCCCACAATTTCCATTGCTCTCGCCGAAAATACCAGCATTGTATGTCAAGAAGTTCTTGTATTTGTCGGCGTTATATTTTTATACTTATAACTTGATAGGAAAACTATGAGCAGTTACGACGGGCAATGCTCAATTTGAGAGGAAGGGCGGAAACCGTTTCCTGGTTTGGTTGAAATGTTTTCTGTACTACAGGTGCATCTGCTATGTAGATTAATATATTTCTACTGCCAGGAACTAGGAAACAACCGTTGATCTTCAATTATTTATTCTATCTTATCCTAAAAGGGAATATTAGAAGTGTCCCACTTCGTTCTCACAATAACAGAGCTAACAGGCATATCGGCTGACTCGTTACTAAAATCTTATTGAACAGGTTGCCAAATCGAGCGAAAGAGTGAGTGTCGCTGAGATGGAGTACAGCCCACCCTTCCTAACTAGGCTAGGACATTACCTCATGGAGTAGTGGACGCTATGCCTATTATAGATTAATGTCTGGAATGGGCTATGAATAACCTAGCACCAATACCTATATAGACTAGCCTAAGATTTTGATCCGAAGTGGAAAAATTAAATTTTTATCATTATTGGCTCCTTAATTACCCTGGGAAGCATATTAGCAGCTTCTACCAAATTATTCTCCCACACTCGAGGGCGCTTTTTCTTATACTTAGAAAAATAATCCTTACAAAATGATTAAATAATATAAGAAATTATGCGGGTACTGAGTTATTCTAACCAGGTATAACTAATCTAATTCGGGGCCTGGTGAATGCACGTGCGGAATGGCAGGCTGGACTAAGGCTGGACTAAGGCTGCACTGCGGTCGAATGAGCAGACGAATCACCTATCCAGCAGACTGCAGCCATTGGGATGACAAACGACAAAATTCTGGTTTAGTGAATTAGAATCTGACTATAAAATTATAAAGGAGCACGCTGCAACTCACACTCAGTAGCAGGCCGAGTCAGTGTAAATATGGTCTTCTCATCAGGCTGCACTTCCTCAACCAAATGAACCGTCTTATCGGACGACTCGGCAAGGAATAAGTCACCAGATTCATCCCGAATCTGGTATAAGTCCTGACCCCGTTTAATAGGCTCAAAAACCTGAGGGTTGCCGGAAGTGCTGCAGGGAGATCCGCTCTCATCACAGTTAAGGTAGTCTCCTGACTCCTGATTTTGGATAACGACAGTACTGGGGCCGACGGTGTTGAAGCCCCAAATCTGGTTATCTGCGCCATTGATTGGGTTAAAGACAACCAGGCTATCATTTAGCGTCAAGAAATTGTCGCTTTCTCCGATGAGATAATTTCCAGTGGCGGATTGGGCCAGTGCTTGGCCACCTAGGGCAATAAGAGCGGCGAAAGAGAAAGAGAATTGCATGGCTGTGGATTTGGGAGGGCAAAGAAAAATAACAGTATTTGGGTCTTGCTAAGAAATTTAAACTGCAAATGGACGGCTTTCTTTTCTAATTGAGAGAGAGCAATGTCTACTCTAGAGGGCTTCATGTAATTTATAGATTTCGTCTTAGGATGGAACCTCTTGCTCTACTACGGTGCTGGCGAATCATAATTGTGACAGTGGAATGTAGGGGGTGTGCATTGTCAAATTGCAATATTTGGACAAAGATAGACTTATTTAAGTCGATCTGTTTAGATCACTTTCGCGGGATCTTCGCTCAGAACCGAAAATGCAGACTTACTTGGAAAGAATTTAATAGTGATGAGATGATCCCGCGTTGTTGCTTTCTCTCAGGCTCCTCAGCTCACACCACCATTCCTCCACCATTGTTCATTCCAGAATGCGCTAGGGCGCAGTTGATGGGGTGAACGGGTCTGGGCTTGCTCCGAAAGCTTATCACAGGGGTTATTTATAATACCCACATCTAAGGCAAGGGCAAGAGAAACTAGTGTACGAGGAGATTTGTAAAGTAAGGTCTTGTACTGTCCAGAGCAGTCTATCTTAATTGAAGTGAAACCACTGAAGACCCCAATACAAATGCTCAGTATGGTGTCAATACATGCCAGCTAAATAGGCCTTTGTAAAGCCTTCTGCGACATGCACCATCAGTTGCTTTATGCCTCGAAAAGCTTCAGTATGTCACGTTCACGGGAGATCATCCCGTGTAGAACAATGGTTTGCCGAAGAATCTCGAAACACCGAGAGTTTTCATATATTATATTTTCTCACGACATAGAGGACACGTCGCCAGTTCTGGAACGCCCAGCTTTCGAAAATTAACCTTTCACCCAAGCATTACACTCCCCTTCTATGCCAATAATGTTGATTAAGCAATTGCCCTGAGGTATTTATACTCCTATAACACCAAGCCTTTGGAAGGAAAGGGTATTGGTATACATGGAGACGTGTGGGGAGAAATGCATGACTGTCTATATCCTCATTGTTCTAGCTCGCCGTATATACATATATGGTGGGGTGATCCACGACTAGTTACTCGCAGCATCGGACGGTCCATCCGCTCGAATGTCTCTTGCCTTCCTTCGCTGTGCAGCCCGAAAATATAATAGAATGATCATCAGCCCCAGCCATATGACAAACTCTGTGCCGTAAATGACTAGTCCCAGAATACTTAGTGAAGGCTGAAAGATCACAGACAAAATCGACGCCACATCTCCGCTCGCATCAAGGAGGGCAAATTTGAGCGACAGGCCTGCATCTGACCGTGTTCTAAACATATCCACGTAATGGCGTAGCACTCCCGCCGCAAGGAGAACAGCGGAAAGGATAGCCATTAGTGTAGAAGGCCATTTTTGGCCTCGTTGGAAGGCCACACGGAGCGCAAAGACGAGGCCGACCTCGGCGCCCCCAAGAACTGCACCTATAACTATAGCAACAGGTACTGTTTTCTTCAGGCTCCAGTTGTCTCCGTAGTACTTGCATTGGGACCACGTGACAAGACTTAGGCAGATGAGGATATTCGGCTGAACTTGCAGAGCAATATTGAAGTTGTCTGCAATATTGTAGACGCCGAGGGGAACTCCGGCCATGGCCCAGGATAGGAAGAAAGCTGCGGACAAGGATTCACTGTCATGCCGTCGCCAATTCTTCCATATTTGGGGCAGCAGCTACTTTGCAGATTAGTCGTCATGTTAATCAATAACTTGGGATGGTGTTTAACCTGAAGCGACCATAGCACAGCTCCCAATGTGCCGAACACGTTTGCGGCGACATGGTTGTCCATATTTCGACTTGCAATTTTATTTAAGTATAGTTGAACCCCTCTAAGCAGCTTGGATGCTCAGACTCCTGGACCCCGACTACACAAATGAATAGTCTTGATCGACCCCCTCGCATTACTCCCCTATTATCACTATAACTGTAGCGGGGAGGTTCTGGGGATAGGTTGACCTACCTACAGCGGGTAGGGAATGTTGAGGTTTGAATCGGTTGACAAAGCTTTAACCGCAATAATCGGAGCTAACCTATAAAGACGTGAGGCTAAGCCTATTTAGGTAAGTGATTTGGTAGGGTTCGAATTCATACTGTCGGCAAATTAGCCCTAGTTCGCCGTCTACATAGACTTGCTTTCGTGTTGGTGCCTTATAAATGTATTCATAGATAATAGCATACTATATCGTAATAGCCCAAGTGGGCGTATCCCCGTCCCTGCGACCAGTAATAAGCCGGACAGCGCAAAGAAGTCTGTCAGTGACAATGATAAGGACACTCCGGCCATTGTTTTCGGGAGGCTTGTATGAAGGTCCATACTAACGTTGTGAAAAGGGGTAGGCGGAGTCTCGAGTGGCTGTAGTTGACCATAGGATTTATCTGATATACATATTTTGGCCACACGTCCGAGATCGAAGGATGTACCCGTGCTGACTTTTGCATGTAGTGTAAAAGGCTCTTGGCAGAAAAAGGCGTATGATTGTTGATGCTCGTATGATCATATGCGCCTTGAACCAGCCTACAGATTAGTTCCAAGAATTCGGACTGGATTTGGGTTAGATGGATCCGAATTACCGACCGTGGCGGCTCGTTAACGTGCGCCATTTCGAGCCAGCGTCTCGCTTAGGAAGAGGAGAAGAGGGAACGGGAGGTACGGGACATGCTACCATGAGCAGAGCAGGTACACTAGGTAGATTAGGCAGATCAAGGGAGCGATGTAAGAAGTTTTATAAGATTATACAAACTAAGCAGATTAAGCAGGGCAGGCGGGCAATTGAAGTAGGTAGACACGGTAATGTAAACCATTTTGCCAGCAAAAAAGTTGAAAGATATTGAAGAACGAGTTAATGCAATTAGCAGCTAGCTGAAATGGCGATACTATACTGTACTGGACCAGGTTAGTTCAACATCCAATTCCTTCTTATACATAAAGCTTAGTTGTTTAGTCGACCGACCCTCGGTCAACAGAAGTGTTAGGCAATCAATTATGAATGTCACATCTAGGTGAAAGTGAAACACCTGCCAGATCTGGGGCCGCGATGAGGGAGTGCCTCTGTAGAACCATTACAATATTCGTATGACCTGCCAGGACTGCAAGGTCTAGTGGTGTCTGTCGTCGTACATTCGAGGAACAAATATCAATGTCCGGTCGATCGAGCAATAACTGCACTATACTCTCATGACCGTTTCTTGCAGCCTTTGTCAATGGTCCCTCTTGTCCATAGTCCCCGACGTTGATATCCACGTCCGGAAGCGCGACTAATAGAGTTACTACTGCTTCGTGTCCATATTCGGCTGCAATTGATACAGGGGTGCGCCCCCACAGATCTCTGAAGTTCAATTGCGAACTCAGCTGATGCGTGGGGCCTTTGGATGCTGTGAGGTCTTGTTGCATTCGACGTAGCAGTAAATCCACAGCTACTGGATTCCCGTTCTCTGCTGCCAATGAAAGGGGGTCCTGATGTTCAATCCCGCGCCAGTAAATATCAACATCGTTCTCACGCAACAAAGCTTCAATCACTGGGGCATGTCCATTTCCTGCGGCGTAAGAAAGAGGTGTCCAGCGTCGATCGTCGAGGATATTGGCATCCACGTCGGGTTTACTCAGTAGAATCTTCACAATCTTTTGATGGCCATTAAGCGCTGCGACATGCAGAGCAACTCGCCCCCAAACATCCCTTGCATATAAATCTGCTTCCTTTATCATCATCACGACTGCCCGCTCCTGACCATATTCGGCTGCAAGTGAAAAGGCGGTTTGGCCATGCTTATCTTTTTGATTGATGTATACCGCAGGCCAATGCATGACCACATCCAGTACTGATTCATGGCCGCTCAGTGATGCCATGTGTAGCAAGGTCCTGTTCATGGAGTCCGTAAGACTTGTGTCAACGTCATTTCGATTCACTAGTGCTTGAACGACCGGGAGATGCCCATTGGTGACTGCAAGTGACATTGGGGTATGCCCGTCCTTGTTCTTCCTGTCAGGGAGAGCGCTTCTGCATTTCAAGACTTGCAGGAAGAGCTCGTGCTCTCCATCAGCTGCTAGTAAGTGGACTATAGAGTTCTGAAATTCGTCGTGAATCGAGAAATGCGGAGACGTCAGTGCTTCTGCAACATGCGGAAAAGCTCTAACAAACGAGCATAGAGTATGTAGATCTGAGCTCTCAGCAATAAGGAGGAATATTTCGATCGGTAGAAAATCGTGTGTTGTCATCTCTGGATTAACTGAAAGAATCCTGCTCTTCGATAGGGGAGGAACCGATTCCGCAATGATTTGACGACGAGCAGAACCAGAAAGGAGGCACCAGGTCTTCTGTGTCTTGTGCCACACAAACGTCCTTAGCCTTGGTGCGTCAGTCGAAGCATCTTGGGGACACGTACTACCGTGTAACCGGCGTCTTGCAATGTCTGTGCATTGAACAGTCCGACTCTATATCGGATCCGTACCACCTACAGAGGAAGCGAACGTGTCCCTTTTCTCCACACAACCCCACAGACGGGTGCAGAATCCAAGATATTTAATAGGAGATAGAAATCACAATCACAAGTATCGAATAGCTGAGAAATCCCTCAAAGTTATCATATGTCTCATATGAGATCCTCCGTCAGCCCTGCAGCGGTGACATTGACTATTTATATGTTGAGCATTAAGTAGCCAACATAATCTCCAAATGGATGTTTCATCAGCCCTTGCTACATGGCTTTCATTGGCCGCAACCGTTGTGGGATTAGGATCTATAGTTACACGATTTGGCACCATCATTGACCAGGCGGACCCTTTTCATTCATTACGAAACGTCCAACATTTAGGCAAATGGAGCCAGCGGCAGGCGTATATACCGTGGTATCGTGTGATAAAGCCACCCCCGGTTGGACCTTTAATCACTGCAAGCCTCAGTGATGGATTCTGTGGCCAAATGACTATAGCTGTCAGTCGCTTGCCGCTTACTCAACCCACAGGCCAGGCTGCATGGTCAGTACTGCTTGCAGTTCTTCATCCAACGAGTTCAAGCACCATACGCGACGCGCGGGAGAAGCCAAAAATACTTGCGGAGGGCTCTACTGTTAAAGCCGAGTGTATTGTGACCGTTAACCCTAAATCAGGTGTGATCCTGGTAGATGATGGATGGGGGAACCTTCCCCTTCATCCCCTTGTGAAGCATAAATTGACTACATGTACGATCATTTCCCGCACCACCCTGATGGCATTGTTTTGCATCACGAATGCTCGGCCGACCTTTCGACATAGCGGATCATCTGGTCATCGAGCTGCGTATGCAACCTACTGTGGACAATGGCGGGTCAAATGGCCTATCGGGGACTTGGCACGTGTATACTTTACTGCACATGACTCACACACTTTAGCAAAAGATGTTTACCCAACAACTTTTGACAGAAGAGTTGACAGATGCTTGCAAATATTCGCTGGAGTGATTGATGCGCAAATGCGTACCACGTTCAAATGTGCCTTCCCCGGGCGCAAGCCATCCGGTCGGTGGGTCTTAAAATATGCCGTCAAAGGGTTTGGCGGTGCACATAGTGGCAGGCACTTGTACAATATGATAGGTGGCAATGTCACTGATGTCGACTTCCTGTTCATGAAAGCTGTAACCGTGGAAACAGAAGGGTTGCAAGACATGCCCCTCCTTCGCTTGCCTAACAGCCATACTGCTGATATCGATGTATCTTTGTATGTTCCTGCAACGGAAGCGGCTATTCTCAATCGAGCCTTGGATTGTCTCCCGTGGTCGTCTCTTTCTTGGTCAATCCATCGAGGACTCCGTGACATACTGGTTGCATTTGCAAAGGACCGGATGGACCAATGGCGGGGGCAGCTAGCGGAGACACTTCGCCATGTCGTGGAAAGATGGCCGGAGAGGTTGGATACGAAAGGTTGGAACCCTCAATTTGTGAGGGACAACATGACTGATATGGCTGCGAGTGCTGTTTTAGCCGGCAGTGGGAATTCAGGTGACGTAGTCAGGGTTGTCACTGACATAGCACTCACTCTATGGGATGGTGGAGTCTCAGCGCTTGATGAAACAACCTTTTGGAGATCGTCACACCCCCAGTCAAGCGCTTCCTACCTCAGTCCGCTAGTTGTTATTGCTCTGGTCAAGTGCTTCGTTTTGGAGTGGAGCACCGATTTAGATTACCAGATGTACCACGACCTTCCGTTAGAGATGTACTTAGGCTGACGTTATTTTCATATATAGCTTCTTTGTTTTCTTGTTTAACCACAAAGAGAGCTAGCCAACTGAAAGGCGGATAAGATACGATACTTCGGCCTAGCACTTTATGTCAGACCCCGACGCTTCATTTATCTATGGTAGGTCGCAGGTTGCCTGGTTTAAAAGCCCGAATCTCCGCCCAGCCAGTCAGATTATATAAGGATAGCTTTAGTTATAGATATCGAGCTAAAGACGTATCTCTATGTGTACGAATTGGTGTGACAGGCAATTGCCTTTCCCGGGTGTGATGGAAGCTTCTCTCGAAGACGTAAAATGTTCATGGTTATCCTTTGATGAAATATGTTACGATCTACTTAGCTGTTTGCGATATCATTCCACATTTTTGGATTCTTCGTGGCATAAGTACCTATGGTTTCCTTGCTATGTAAGATCACTGGCATTGTTAGAAATCATTTCTGGAAAGGTCGGCATAGATGGACTAGTACTGGCCATGAGTAGGCCACAAGAGTCCACAAAATCGAATGATTATGCGACATTAGGTAAATATTTAGGAGAATACGCCAAGATGTGGTCTGGTATGGAAAACAGGAAAGATATCTCTTAGCCTGAGACTAGACCAAGCTAAACACGACTAGCGGAACAAGCGAAGCTCTTTTCGGGAATTGGTATAGGCTCTGCAGAAATGGACACTAATCAATGCTCCGCATTCTAATCAGGTTTTGGTCGAGGCCTCATCCAACCAGTACCAGCCAAATTTCACGCCAGGAGCTACCTTCGACTGAACTTGATGTTTGCCAAGTCTCCTGCTTGGAAGGCATTAATGTGTGAATCATCCAGTAACCCACCGGCGTGTATTAGCCAATGCTGACATATAATCAGCCACCCCATTATGAACTCCGCCGTGCTGGCTGCGGCTAGACTATGGAATGCATTCGACCGAGTATATAAGAATACGTTTCGCTTTCTGCAGATTGATCCCCATCAATCCGGGGAACCTCCTTAACACATCACCCCAACATCTCCCTGCGAAACACTCATCATGAGGTTGACAAGATATCTTTCTCTTGCGACCTTCCTGCTAGCCGCAAATGCCGCCGACTGCACGGCACCAAATCAACAGTGGTTTAGCGATGCCGCGGTCCAAATGATGTGGTCAATCCGGGCTTGGCTCTGCCTCAATGCGTGGTCGCAATCCATCACGGCCGGACCAGATGGCGGTTGGTGTGATGCGGGTGGCGGTATCATTAGTGCCTACTGGGGATCCTGGACGATCTCTGGGATGCAATCCGAGCAACAATGTTGGGTATGTAACTCTGATTTTGCTGTGGATAATGTTAAAGCCAGCTGTACTGACAATGGATAATAGGATATTACCGAGGAAATCATCAAGCAGTGCATGTGGTATGATTATGCATCCACGAGCTACAACGGCGGAAGCTGGACATACGGCAATATCTATGCGGGCGGATGGTTCTGGGGCGATACAAGCAAAAGTTGCTCACATGCAGTGAAAAGGGATGTGGTGATCGAGAATGATGGACATATCAATTTCACCCTTGCAGATGGGAGCACGCAGACGGTGGACAGGCAGGTCTGGCTTGATGTCACTGCGGAAGGAATAACTGTCGTCAGGGAGGAGACATATACTTGATTTTAATCGTTAGAGGCAACGCATCAACTGGAGGACGTAATGCGCGGTATGGTAGACTATAGTACGAATTAAGCATGCATTTCGGTCATATTGTATGAAGTTGTTCGTCCTGAATGCTATGCAAGAGCTCTAGCATTCCCTACCAATGAGTATCGGGCCGGATTCACTGTTTTTTGTGTCGCAGGGTCGGTATGTTAAACGCCAACGGATGATGCTTTCTGTTGATTTGCTGCATTTTCAACTAGTAACAAGAGCCCCATCTGGCCTTACGCTTCTAGAAAATAGTTTTGCATGCGGTGGAGCTACTACATGTGCAAGTGCCAGTTGGCACTTTGTGTCATGCAACAGTGGTGATATCCACAACCCCCCTCTCCTTTTAGTTCGGTGGTCGCAAGCGTCCGGGGCTAGAATCGATCCACTTGATCAGAGGGGACCATGGGATTCGTCTGGGCAACGCCAATAAGGCAAACGGAATATAGCAGGCTATGTCTAAAAGCGACGAAAGGAGCTATGAACCCGATGGAACGAATGGTGTTCTGTTCATTTAACCTAAGAAAGACCTAGGTGCACGATATGTGGTATTCATGTAAGCAGAAAGGCGAGCACCTATCGTCTTGAAAACTATGCGCAAAGTACAATAACTGGATGTGAAAGTTCGTTTTTTGTAAATATATTTTCTGGATGATAGAGTCTTCATCTTCCCAGTTTCCTATCTTACCTCGGTTAACGAAAGTGACCGCTTAATTTCTGAAAGATTACAAGCTAATGAATGTAGCAAAGCGCGAGGGCCATGCGAGCTAGGGATATATATTAGAGAAATTTATTGCAGTCCTCTGCAGGAGTCGTCGACATTGGTACGGGAGAATCGCCTTCATACATTAGGAAACTGCATAAGAATCCGTCAGCTTTTACAGTGCCATTTCATAATACTTACCAAAGATTCATAATGATTTACAGAAGTTTAGGCAAGTGTGTTGTCATGACGCTAAATGACTTGGCATGTATTTCCTAGCCAGAAGTAGATCACACTAGAGGATATTCGTTATAGAGGGTTTTCCCTATTTGGTATACACATTTTATCGGCCCACTGTGTTAGGGTATTCAACCAGATAATTGAATTGTCGTAGGTTGGCAATCAAGATGCCAAGATGTTCTTAGCTCTCACTCCACTTTTATTCGTAGTATATATACATGAAGCTATAGACAGGTTGCCATGTCTCTACTCACTACATCTCTACTTCACCCTAATTTCTAGCCTTCTCCATCTTGACTTCGTTTTACAATTTTAATACTTCTGGTAAGTTCTTATAACTCATGCGATAATTAAGGCGTGAGGGCTGATCCGGCTTGTGACCAGGAAGCTCAACATGAAGTTCCCCTCTCTCGCCAAGCTCGCAACCCTCGCAGGCCTTGCTTTCAACTCCTGCACGGTTAGCGCCTTGACCGTTGGAGAAGCGGTGGTGTTTCCCGGTTACCAATGTGACTCCAATGGCCAAGTACTCCAGTTCGATCTGAGTGCAAATCGCCATGTGTTCACAATCTCGGGATCAGGCGGGGCTGTCTTGAATTGGCTGAATCCTGGGTGTTCGGTGTTTTTGTGCTTTGCCGGTTATGGGTGTGGAGATGGCCAATCTGGCATGCAGCAATTGAAGCCGAATACGTGCTTGTTTTCTAAGGCAGGAGACGAGTGGAGAGTGTGGGATAAGATGATCTTCGCCTGTGATTAGGATGCAAAGCAATACAACGTGGACTTGCTGCGGGTGTGCAATCCAGCACGGGGCGATAGTGATGCTGGGGGGGGGGGGGGGGTTCGATGACAACAAGTATGACATATACATTTATAACTGACGGAGGGACACTATAATGTACAATAGTGCGCTATCTGGATATTATACAAATGGGCCATAATTGCATACGTATTTCCATTTGAGATAACCACTGGAATAGGCCTACCAACTACACCCCTAGAAGAACTTGGGGACTACACTCAACAAATAGCCAATTAGACAAGTCTAATCTCGGACGGCATATATTAAACAAAAAGTAGATACTTTAGTTTATGGCCTCGATTCACTGAAAGGTCAATTATTTGAGTTTGCTGTTCATCGTTGGATTTGCGGCACTGAGTATAAGAGTTGGTAGAAGCGTGTGTGAACCAATAGCCCTACGGTTAGGTTTACACGCGAATGTTTACTTTAGTATCCAACAAATGGATGGTTCGGACTGGACAACAGGTACCATGGATTCCATCAAACCTGTACTGCTTGAGCATGGTGGAGAGCGTATTGTAACAGTCTTCAAAAGAGGTCTCCGAATCTAGCACCTGAGAGCTGCCTTCTGCTTCGCCGCCTACCACTGCCCTGACTTCTCCTCCCTTCTCCTTGACTCTCTTCATCTTTGGTCCGACGTGGGTGAAGTGCTCAGGATCCGGAGGGCAGTCATTCAGATGCCTATGCATTGGTTCGGGAAAACGACCTATGATAGGGTGCCTACAACATGCAGATTTCAGCCGGTAGATTATTGCTGGATGATAGAATCACCGTCAGCCACTTTCAACTTCAGAGGGTATGACTACAACCCATTTCGTTGTAAAAAGTGAGAGCTGAACATGGTTCGTAACCCCTCAACACGTCAGACAGCGGGGCGGAATCCACCAGAGCTTGGAAAATCGCTCAGCTGAACTGGAAGACCAAGCATCGACAGTATATGATTCTTCTTACGCCAATCAACCCATAGAAGATCTCTATTGCCTCACTTTCAAAGGACAATGCAGTTAAATATGGGTGAAGAAATGGAAGTAAGTCCAGAAGGTGGCTTTTGGAGATATTGTATTCTGATCCTGCGAATTTGACAGCTAGACACTATAAGGACTAAATTGATCGCATGAATATTGACAGTGGGTCATGCAAGGTAGCTGCCACTAATAACGTGTCATATTCACTTGTTCAGCTCGCCGTGGCGGCGCGGGGTTAGTCGAGATGAATATCAATGTCATTTCCAACAAATGGGAACGTGCGGAATCAAAGAAATAGAATACATTTCTTACCTACCTGGCAGCTGGACTGAATAAGCATGAGAACCAATATCAAAATTTAATACGACGGAACGTTATTTCTCATAATGTTAAAAAATCACTCAATGTAATTTTCGATTATGGTAAGCCTTGTGAAGGCAACTGGATAGGCACACCATAAATTACTAGCGAGAGGTATCCGCTATACACGTCGTTATACGAGCTAAATGTGGGTTTTCATATGATGCTACAGAGTGCTTGCATCAAAATTTTAATGTATGATAGTATCCACTTATCGCATCGCTGGAGCCCATGAGGCAAGTCCTTGTTTCCTATCCCGCGCATAGATGGGCAAAATGGTAGATTTCAGATGCATTCAATCATAAATTGAATATTCAGCTCCGCACCTCCGCTTCACTGACCTCGGGTGATGCTTTGGTCATAGGTGCATGCAGGAATAAATTACTATAGAGTTTGATTATCTACACTAGTGTTGCAAGGGTCTGATCTGTATCTGCACAGGCTATCACATAGTAGATCCAATCAATGTACGAGGTGGGGTGTCTAGGATGTACCCATTAGCAATCGAAAAGGTATGCCTATCTGTCCGAAGGTCGAGGATACAGAGAGGGGGAGTAAAAAGCCCTTTTCGGTCTGAGAGTAGTCACGGCAATTGTATATAAGGCTGGCCAGATGGCAGACCGGGCCACGACAGATTCCTTTCTACTCATCATTCTCACCACACTCTTCTTCACACCGTCACAGCCATGGGCTCTAACATCGATAAACTTCGACGTAAGGCACAGGAGTGCTGGGAGGAAGCCTTCAATGACGGCCCATATTCCAACTTCCTTCAGGGAGAATATCTTGTCAACAAGTCCGGCGAACCATGGGGAAACATTCTCAAAGACAAGAATCTTCTTAAAAAGAAGATTAAGATAGAGGATCTGACCAAGGACCAGTCCACCTCCTTCATCCGGACATGGTGGGCTGCCGGTCGTTGCACCTCCTTCGCTACGCGGATTGTCCGACAACTGCAGGAATACAGCTCTGCATCGTTTGATTTTAAGTTCTACGATCTCAACGGGCATCGTGTCGCTCGATGCATGAAAACAGGGATTCTCATTGACTCGAGTTCGGCAGTTGGCGTTCTCGTCCTGAATGACGGTGACGACTGGACGACCATAGCAGGTGACACAAGGGACCGTCAATGGAAATGGCGTGCTGGAATGTCCAAGTTTGATGGCGGACAAGGTCTCGTATGCAACCTCTCTCCCTCTCTCACCCCCTCCTTAGCTAGGGGGGTTTCTCTATTGCTTGAAAACTCACGGCCTCTTAGAAGGAGTCAGGAAATGCCCTCTCCGTCCAGCAGTCCATGTCGCAATGTTTGATTGAAATCAGCGAGAGATTCGAACCTCTCTGTTTGTTCAGGTATGGCACTTTACCTAATATGCTTGTCTACATCTGCTCCTCCCTTTTGCTTTTCTTTGGCTTTTGTCGTTGTGTGTCGCTATGACTTGTTTAAAATCATCTCCATACAAACGACGGCTTTAGAGCCACTTCGCAACTAATTAAATCTCATTCTAGATCCTTTGCACACGGACGTGCGCACTTCCATGGCATGATCAAATGGGTACCTAGCAAGAAACAATTAGTTTTGATCAAGAAGTTGGGGGAGAGAGACAACATCACGATTCAATTCGATAAATCTGGGACTGCAGCTACTGAGGCTCAGTGTCGTGGTGCCGTTACAGATTTCATAGCTCGGTATGGAGGTCCAGAAGGCGAAAAGCAATGGAGATTTGGACAGCCAGATCATAGGGCCATGGATATCCATGAAAAGATCTGGGCTGCTGCAATCCAGGCATGGGGAAACCCTCGTCTAGCTTGAGGATGATACTTTGTGCGGCACGCCTTTGGAGCAGGAAGCACCAACGGAGTAATGGCAAATCCAAGTCTCGCAGAACGTATGTTTCGGTTGTCTTTCGGGCTAAGTGTCATTGAGGAACATTGGAAACATTTATACATGGTAAAAATGCCCACCTACAAGCTATATTTGCAATTTTCAACATTTATCTTATAACAAAGCTTTTGGATGAAATGAAGTTTTGGCTTTCATGATCATAGAGTAAGAACGGCCATTATATACCCTGACCAATAATATTTATGCTTATTATCATCACGTCTTCTACGGTTCTGAGCTGTTACCTTTCTGGTGGCTTTTGTATACTAATCATCTTTTTCAGTATCACGAATTGGGTCCAGATCAACTTGATCATGTATACGCTCTCTTCCCCCCCTGGCAGTTATAACTACAAAAGCTCATTTTATAATTCATGAGACCACAAGTAGTTAACTTTATATTTGCAGACATCGAATCTATGTCCAATGCCTAAGTTAACCAATTCAGCTTTGTGTCAGCTAGACGTACGTGGCACTCAGCGAATTATGCCCGACACATCAGCACTGATATAATGTGTCTTGTAACATAGGAGATGGCCTCGAAGCTTGAAATCATCAATATCAATTCTACATGGTCTTAAACGTCGATGACCTGAAGCGCACGTGACCCTACAGCATCTGGGATGATGACGTAGGCGATAGGGTTTGTATACCATGCCGATGGGAGGCCTAAATGTTTGCATGTATCAATGAACCAATGTTCGTGCTGAATATGCGCATTACCCCGCTTCCTTTTCTGACAGCCGTGGCTCATTTGGTCTGGTTGGGAAAAAGCCCAGTTCCAGAAGAGGGGAATTCCGCGGCCAGGTAGGCTATCTCTTCCACCACCTTTAACGGTTACAAGTGACTGTTGGTACTGCCTTGATCTACTGTCTGGATAAATATCCTTATTTAGTGTTTCCATTCCTATCATCCTTCTTGATCTCTGCTGTGACCGTCGTTGATCATACTCCAATATGCCGGACTCATATATCCATATCAAAGGGGCAACGGTGCTCTCTATGGAGGCATCTGGCAGAGAAGTCCTAGATAATTGCGATGTTCTCATAGAGGATGAGTGGATCAAGGCCGTTGGCCCTGAAATTTCTCCACCGACAGAAGGGAAGGTGGTCACCATCAACGCAGAAAACTGCATCATTACTCCCGGGTTCGTCGACGGCCACCATCACATGTGGCAGCATCTCCTACGGGGGATCACCGTGGACTGGTCACTTTTCGGTTATTGTTGTCATCTGCGGACCGTTTATGGGAGTTTGTACGAACCAGATGATGTTTACTTCGCTAATTATGCGGCCGCTTTGAGCCTCCTAAACAACGGCGTCACAGCTGTCCTTGACCACTCCCACATAATGAACTCCCCAGCACATGCTGATGCAGCTGTAAGGGGCCTCAAAGATGCTGCTATCCGAGGGACATTCTGCTATGGGTTCTACCAGAACCCCACAGTACCCGGGGATCTCGCCAGTATGGCAACGGATCCATTTGACAAAGCCGCTCGGATCAAAGATGCTCTCCGTGTACGCCAGGAACATTTCCCAAACAATGATCCAAAAGGTTCCCTACTCACTTTTGGAATTGCTTTGGATGAGGCGCCGATGCAGTCTCGAGAACAGAATATCGGGGGGTTGGAGATGGCGAGGAAGCTGGGCGCTAGGATCAGCACTGTGCATACTTCGGTGGTATCTCATGGGGGACCAAAGGCTGAAGTCATCGAGCAATTTGCTGACGCAAACTTGATGGGACCGGACCTCGTGTTTAGTCACGGAGGTTGGATGACCGATGGAGAACTTGCTGCGGTGCAGAGTTCTGGAGCTGGTATTGTCGCGACGCCCGACACGGAGCTGCAGATGGGCATGGGATATCCTGTGGTATGGAAGGCGAGCGATGTGGGCTGCCGGACGTGTCTTGGACTTGACATTACGTCGAATCAGGGGAATGATTTCATGGCCCAGATGAGGCTGGCACTGCAGACACAAAGAGCTCGTGAATATGCGCATACGGTACACAGACAGGTCGGCAGAAAAACGGCGGATGTATTACGCATGGCGACCTTGGGGGGAGCGGAGGTTATGCAGATGGAGTCGCTGATCGGTTCTATCGTTCCCGGTAAAAAGGCTGACCTGGTGATCTTCCGTTGTGACGATATTGACACGGTGCCTGTGACGGACGCTGTCGCGACTGTTGTCTTCCATGCATCATCGAAGAATATCGACACCGTCATTGTTGATGGAAAAATTGTTAAACAGGACGGTCATCTTGTTGGTGTAGACTGGGAGTCTTTGCGCGGTGAGCTAATAAACAGATCGCAACGGCTGAGGGACCAAGCAGCCAAGGTCGATATGCAAAAGCCGGAATCGGAGTTCCGCTCCATATTCGAGAGGGCCATGCAAGAATGAGTCAGTGCCATGATGGTAACATCTTCATGTTCCGGTTGGACTAGTACTTTGGTTTTGCTTCATATCGCGCCTTATAGAGGCCGGTCTCGCAGAGACTGTCCCTTTTGGCAACTTCCAGCACCATTATATATTTCAACTAGTCCGCCAACTATGGTTATAATCTACCACCATTGCAAGTCTAAATGAGCGTGAAAAGCGCACTTTTTCGCCGCAAAAAAGGACTTCTGATTGTCTAATGGCAAAGATAGTTTTAAAAAATCTCCTCCACATACCTACGGCCGAGATTCTGCCTTACATCTGCACCGATCATATCACTCAACTTGGCCGCCATATCATTAACCATGGCTTTTGCTCCACAAACATAGATCGATCCCTCCTTGATTTTGGCCAGAACGCTCTCTTTATTGTCCTCGACATAGTGTTGCACTCGCCTCTTCTGCTTGTTGCTAGGTACCCGAAAGATCATATCAATCAGACCATACCGCTCCGCGGTAGAAAGTGTTTCTTCGAACAAGGCTTCATCGTGAGCCTTGAAGCCGACGAAAATGCTAATAGGGGGCGATTGGAACAAGAACTCCATGCCCTGTGATTCTGCCTCTTTAAGAACTTGTATCTTCTGTTGGAGTAAACTTCGAATCGGAGCAAATCCGGTTCCAGTGCAAATTGCGATGAGGTGTTTCTCGGAGGAAATAAGATCTTGTCCAGGGATAATACTAACTGGGGAGTACCTGATTGAATCGCCCGGGGAAATCGCAGACAGGAATTTGTCGCTGAAGCGCCCGCCCTTGTGGAGCCTGACCATGATCTCTACTAAGCCTTTGCCGAGATACTTGGCAGAAGAGGCAACGGAGAATGAGCGCGGACGAAGCAGCGGCATATCGAGGCAGATCTTCATGCGGAGTTCATTTGAGACCTGCTTTAGGGCTGGAAAACGCTCCAAGTCGTCAAGCACTGTCCCATCTGTATCCCACCTGTCACCTGCTGGAAAGGCTTCAGACAGCCACGCAAGGTCTTTGAACTTTCCTTCAAGGTCAACATAATGTTGCAAGAATTCTTTGTAGCTCAAACCGGGCATTGTGGAATCCATAAATGGTACACGCTGGTCGTCGTTGCTGACTCCCAAAGCCGTGAGCGCACGGCCAACCTGGTCTGGTGTATTGTAGGGCAAAAGTCTCAGGTGGCTCATCTCAATGTAGTCCATATCGCCAAGGTCCATGGTTATCATGACTATTCTTCCTTCTCCTGTCTCAGCGGGGGCTTTACTCAGTAGCCGACCCTTTTTAAATGTTTCTAACATCCGGTAATGTTCAAAACATTCATCCTCAGTTGATTCATTTGGGGCTGCATTCTCACCTCCCCCAGTTAATGAATCCTTGACGAAGCTCCACCAACGATTGAAAGCTTTCATGGGCAGTGCTTCTACCGCTGTATTGCCTTTTGTAAGCCCATTTGCGATCGGAATTCCGCCCACCGATTTCATGAACTCGTGGAGTTTGACAGAAGCTGCATTGAACGTCGGGTAGGCGCTGTCTCCAACTCCCAAAATCGAGTACTTGACTGCAAGTGCGCCATTAAACTCTTCGGCCCTGTCCTTCATTGCTGCTTCAAATTCGGCGCCATTGGCAGGGAACCGTCCGTCCCCGGTCGTCGAGACCACCATTAGAAGAGGGTCAGAGGGCTTAATTTTGCGAAGGTCCAACATGTTGAGAATGTTGAAGTCCACGTGGAAGCCACCCGGAAGCTCTTTCACTCGTCTTTGAAGCTTTTCAGCTAGCTTCAACGCACTGGTTCCTGTGCTACTGTAATAAATATGCACCATTCTCTTGGGGATGGCTAAGACACTATTTCTCAGGGCGTTGGTGCCGTTTGCAATACACAATTTATGTTGTACTGGCGTGACATGTTCAGCACCTAAATATAATTCGTAAGTAAGGAGGAACTGGAGTGAAGGAGTAGAAGTCACCCACCCAGTCTTCACCAACTTTCACGAGTCGCGTTACAGGAGCCTTGACAGCATCCCGTCGGCGGCGCCAGGATTTTACGGGATCAAATCGATGCCTTGCGATCAGTGGTTTTGGCTGATAGTTTGGAGCGCCACCACGGTGCCACACTGGGACTATGGAGCCCTGTGGAGGCGCTATCCAATACGGGTCAGAATTAAGCCTGTACCCGTGCTTCGAAGCATGCTCGTCATCAAATCGAGTCCAGTCTGAGGAGGCAGCCAGAGTCCCAATGCAGGAAACACCTTTCTGCAGAAAAGACCATCGAACGGCATAGTTCAGCTCTGCCTGTGCCCGTGACTATGTTTCATTAGCATGGCATGCTTAGATGAAATGTTTAGGAAGAGGGTGGTTACGTACCATCCAAATGAGCTGTTCATAGTCCGGTAGGTCTTCCATTGCCTCGATCTCGGCATATTCGGGGTTCTTCTTATAGTTCTCGATATCAAAGCCAAGGGCTTTGGCAACGTCAGGTAGAGCATTGTAGCGAAATGAATCGGCGAGATTACGGACGCCGATCTCCGCATCCATATACCTGGACCACATGTTAAAACATGTATACCCATCATGGCCATACATATGTGACCTACCAGCCAATGAATGGGGTCGCAGTATACTGCACTCCACCAATATCAAATCCCAGCCTACTGAGGGCAGGAAACTGATACCACTTGAGACCAAGTTTCTGGAAATTCTCAAACCTAGGATGGTGAATGTCTACTAAATCACGGAGCTCAGCGGGAACGTCAGCCCATGCAGGTGCGTCATTGTCTGCCATAGCAACTATGGGTAGCAGATCCCAATGGCTTCTCGGCTCTGGTGGTGCCCATCCCAGCTCGATGATGTCTTCTGTTAGCTCCACGTTACTGGGGTCGCCGAGAATGGAGCCGTCATCTCGTCGGTACTATATTATCCGTCAGCTGATCGACGTTCATGAAGGCTATCTATGTAGATGCATACACCAGCAAAGTTGAGCAACTGTTTGCTCAGGAACATTGGACCTGTGCCGCTAGTTGAGCGTGGAGGAAAGGCGAAGACTAAGGTACGTTAGTAAGGATATATTGAGTAGTTAGGGAGACTGCTAACACACCTGTTGGCCTGATCTGTCCCTTGTTGAATGCTTTAATTGCCTCCTGAATGACGGCCTTGACCATCCCAGCACTAGTCGTAATGTGCCGAAGGTCGCATAAGCTATTCGAACTCGAGTTAGAGGACAGACCCGAGATATCCTTGATACATGACGTACTCTAGCTCCATATAATGCGACCTCATAATACATTTGCGCGAATTCTTCCACGCAAGTCGGATTCCATGTAAGAGCTCCTTTGGAGTCTGAGTCCACGTCGCTGTTTTTCCAACAGTCTTTACACCATCCACTACCATCGGCTCAATGACCTCTGATTCCTCAAGGGACTTGAGAACCTCCACATGTCTCGCCGTGTACTGCTCTTCTGTATACACTCCCTCCTGCCATAGTTGCCACAAGAACCCTAAGGCTTCCTGCTTCACCACTTCAAGAGGACGATTTTCTCCTACCCTTGGCTCATCTGAGTGAATCAACCTTCCTGCCTGGCAGAACTGCGGAGTGCAGCCGGTCGAGGCAAGCACCGGGTTCTTCTGGATGATTGTCTGGAACTCGCATACTTGAGTTGACTGCATGGCGCTAAGAAAGCAGGTCTTTGAGAATGGGGCTTTGTAACAGAAGTAGCAAGACAACCTCAACCTCTTGATAGAAGCTGAGTCTGTTGATCTGGGCTCTGGACAATCATTTCAGACAGATGCGAGAAGTCGAATTTATAGCCGAAAGTAACAGAGGCTCGCTCTTAGATGTTGACCATCTGCTCCGCAATATTCCACACCAAACTGCCCCGGAAGTCGAAGAAAACGATTGAGTAATGGAAATTATGTTGAACATCTTTCAGTGGTCAATGTGTAGCGTGAGTCGTATACTCCTACTAGACACTCAGTCAACAGCTTCGCCTTGTGACGCACAATTCCGGATTGCTTCTCGATGCCAGGGAAATACCCCTGCATCTATAGGTCCCTATAATGCGGCACCGCTTTGTGAAACAATGTATACTGGTGCCTACGGAGAATCGTCGGTGCTATCTGCGGCGGCCGTTAGCAGGCATGCGTATCCGAAGAACATACCCTATTAGTATATGAGGTCCCCAGCATTCTCAATTTCTCTTAGTCATATTAATACTCTAATCCCAGTTCACATATGATATCCATGTGCTTAACCTTATAGTATTGCGCGTCTCCACCACGTTGATGGGTTGAAGATTCCCAGACACTCGGATCGCGGAAGGAGTTCTACGGATCCCTATCTTCTAGGATGTATTTACTACTCTATGAATTCTGGGTCTCATAAAGCCTTACGCGCACGGTGAATTGTTTCAGTTGTGGGACTTATAGAGCACTGTTATGAGCTTCTTGGAGGCCCAAGTTTTACTAGATCTGTTTGTACGCAGGCTAGAGATGTATAGTTGTGGGTCACTGGGGGAAGTAGTCAGGCTAGCATTAATCATATTTTGACAACGTGAATGCTTGCAGGTGATTACCGAATCGATTCCTTGTCATGGCATCATATCTTGGCGGCAACATCTCGGAATGTGCAGTATTCGCACACAAGAAAAAAGAATACATAGCTAAATAAAAGAAAAATAAAGTGAGCGCAGAGCGAACAACAATGTGTGTCAATCTATACAGTTCGGCATTTACAAGCAGCACATGATTCAAGCAGGTATATTGATCCAAGCTGTTTTGTTTTAAAGTACGGACCTTGGCCCTTGACTAGACACATCCCAAGTCCTTGGCACCCAGGAAAGGTGGGACCTTGCCACCACCAGGGGTAGGCTTTAGAACAATTTCATTAGTTGGTGCCGGCTGATCCTTATTTTCCGGCGCGTGTCATAAGGGAAATACCCATCCTTGAGTACCAAGCCGTGCGAACCCGGTGCTCTAAAGACTCTTCATACGTGCTATGTGCATGATCGACATGCCTAACGCGAGTTCGGACTATACACTCCATATATAGTTAACGAGCTGTTCCGATGGTGTGCTAGGTGCCCAGGGTTGACCAAGGTGTTGCCATTGCAAACGACCTTGGCTCAATGCTGAGAGATTAACTCTTCTGGGTAGGAGACTTTCACTTTACATTATTCACATCGCACAAAGGCATATTCTTCGCCTCCGCCAAGACCTCCTCAGGCCAGATGAGAATCCACGTATGCTCTCCGCTGGGCGTACTGCTAACAGCCTCCTTGGCTGGTAGGGCAGTTCTTGGCACCCTCTCCGCTTGTCGTTATACAGGATCCTATACCCGGCCTCGATATGCATAGCTGAACAAGTTTATTTCTTGGCGTTGTACGACTCCGCGGAATGGGTGGAAGAGAGCCCATTAATTCAGGAGGACACACGGCTCTCCACATACCCTACCTTTCAACCCACCAGCCAATTTTTGCACGATGCGTGCGCTACTGTCCTTGGCAATCACCGCGAACATGGGTATGACCGGTGAGATCCAATCGTTACTGGAGCCTTGTTCGGTAAATAAATTAAATTCAGCAAGGCCCAGGCTCCACCAGCGGACAGAGGACTGTTCGGAATGCCGATCACCTCCAGTTTTCGGAGTCATGGACAGCGTTCGTCCGGTGATCACCGACGGATCAATAAAGGTTTCGCAGGGCTGTCAGCCCGCCCCGGTCTGGACCCTGATTCTGCAGCATTCTTAACGGACCCTATAATTGTGGACGCTATGTCATCTCTTGCACTTCCTCCACACTTGGCGGGCGCTACATTCGGCGAACTTCGGGGCAATTATCAGCATGCGTAATGCGGGGTGTTGATCTTCTGCGTACCGTGAGTATTGTGGTAGGACTTCAACGTCGCGAGAGGGTACCCTTGCAAGCCGATGGCGCGTACAGCAACTCATGACCAGTGCCCTGCTGCATAGAGCTTGTACTTTGTTCCGAGGCATCATACCAAGAGGCGTCTTGTGTGAATGTGACGCCACCATCACTTATTGTAGCTTACTGCAGTGAATATATGACAAATGGCAGAGCGAATATTGATGTCGAATCAACGTTTAGAGAGATCAATAAATTAATCACATCGCTAGGACGAAGTATCCAGTAGCGTAATGTCTCCCACAGGGCTCATTCAAGTGGAAAGCTTCCTCATGAGTGATACCTCCAACGGAACTTCGAATATCTAAGCCGAGACGGGCTTCACCTCTAGCCAAGGACTATATCTACTAAGCTCGGCATGCGCAATTTGAAATCCGACCGTGTCCGATGGGCAGCGATACGGATACTCTGTAAGTTTCATAGTTCCAGTTTCATCCAGGAGTCAGCAGTTGCCGCATTAGCTCGGACATGCACCTGGCCGTAGAGAGTTCAGCATTCCTCGGCTTGGCTGGATGAGAGTCTAGACCCATCGGTGCAAAACGTAAGGCCAGCTGCAAACTTGGTCTAGGAAGGAAGGAGCCAGGTAGTGCATCTCGTTAACTTGCTTCACTCTGACATATGTGTTTTGTACGATGTAGAACACGCAGGGGCCTAATTTAATGTCACACTCTATCGACATGGTAATTCGTGGAAAATATGGCGGCCCATGCTATAAGGCACTAGTTCTCCTACCATATCGAGCAGAGAGTATCCTTTTGAAGAGAACATGCCCACCGATACCAATCGATCTGACATGCATGATCGCAATCGGTGTAGTGCACTGCCAAGGTCTCACTCCCTGGCTTAACTGTCGCACAAAGAAGAAAGTTTGTTAGATTATATATCGTATATTACAATCTATATTTCCAACACGCCTATAATACTAGTTATATAGAACTTGCTAAATGAGAACATCTTCAAAATCCCCTCTTATATCAAGGAACCTTAATGATCTATGTCTCTCTGGCAGTCATGAAAGTACCGTTGCTGTCCTACCAGGCACCTGGAACTATTCATCAGCGTTCCTAGAAGAGCCTCCATTGATCCTATCCATCATCTCCTACATATACGAGTCACCTGGCAGCATGCCAGAAGGATTAGCCGAAGGCGCATCTGCAAGTTGAAAGATTTTCTTCGCTTACTGTGCCTTCTAATGACCTGCTAGTGTGACTGGAATGCTCTGTCTACTTCCACAACCCCCGCTGCTTACCCATGGACGTGTATCGTCTTTCGTCCTTTCTTGTTGGAAGCTCGACCCACCTGCTCCGTACAGTCCATGCACCTACCAAGGGAATCTCCATCGCGCCCGCACTAAAGACAGTGACTATGACACTTTTATTGAGACATTTTATCTTGCGTGCGTAGCCGGCAACTTGCTATAAGCCCAGGACCTGGTTGAAATTCTGTACATATTGTCATCTACTATGCTAAGCCGAATATTGTCGATTAGTTGCTCGATGCAGGCGTAAATCTTGGAGGACAATCGGCTCAACAGCAATACCGTGGCGGAATCCGTTTACAAGTAGGAAACGCATACAATTGCCTCAGCTCCGGGGGACGATCCTGGTTCTCCTTCAGTCTGGAGGCAGACAGCCGCCTGTCTACCCAATAGCTAGCTGACCTGCGGCCAATGCATAACAATACATGCGCTACTCTAAAGCGAAATCAGGTGTTTAGTTATTGTTAATTATTCTCCTTCACGTCCAGGTAGAAATTATGAGATATGTTATATATTATTGCGGAGTTGCCCACTCTAAATCGCTAAAGAATGATACAGCAACTGGTTGAGTCTGGTGCAGGCGAAGATGTCCGCGATAGAGGAGCTGTGGGCTTTCCACATCCCTGATTACCCAAAGGAGTAGATGGACAACCTGTCCGCAATCCCTGGGATAACAGAGCCATCCCGTCTGGCTGCAGCTTGTCAACTTCAGGCTCCGCCGGCAGTGTGCCAACGTAGGCATTGAAATTGTAAATGCCATACGGACATGTGTCAGCAACATCTCGTAGACTAACCCCAGATAGCGCATCGACAATGTGGCCCTCCCGATGAACCTGGAATGACTGCACACCCACACCCATTGGCACCGACCACGCGTGTGCACCTGGCGGTGCCTGGAACGTCCGTGTACTCGACCCGGAGCATACCGTCACATCCGCGGGTTCCTTCAACAGTGTCACAATGAAGACACTGTCCTGCATAGTCTCTGAACCATGTGGCCTCCCGCGGAAGAAGTCTCCATTGGTAGTGCTGGCAGTGTCCTGCATTGTTGTGTCGGTTGCATCGCAGTCGACCCATTTGGGCGTTGGGCGGTACCAGTAGACTATCCTTTCTTCGTGAATGAAGTCATCTGGACCGTGCAAGCCGGCTTTATACGCTGCAATGAAGGGTTTAGCCATGTCCAGCCAGCCATTATGTGGCCTTTATATTATGCGTTAGTGGAGACTCTTGAAATGGCTGTGGTAGTACCTACATGTCTATCGCCCACTTAGATGAACCGTCATCCGTGTGGGGTGATGATAGAGGACCGACATAGTGCGACTCTCCAAAATCGTTCCAGGTGATAATTTCCACAAAGCGTGGCCGCAGAGTCAGGATTTCTCTCCATCGGTGGTACCAAAGAAGATCCGACGGAAAGACCCAGTTCTTGCTGTAGGGGACTTCTGCACCGAAATGTGTGAAGAACCATGGTGACACCGCTATTCTATATCAGCCAATGTTGTTCAAGAAAACCGTGAAGCGGTGACCCGGGGATACTTACGCGCAATATATGGCTTCCCAGCAAGTGCATGTCTATAGGCATGATCGCCATCCGCCACGGCCACCTTCTGTCCTTCGCTCGGAGCCTTATTATGTCCATTGCTATCCCATGCCATCCAGTTCATGGCACCTTGGATATTATCGAAATCGCCATGGCCGGGATGGAAGTTGGGTGCAAAGAAGATCTCACACCCAGCAGCACTTTGGATTGCACACGGATCGACACCATCGCCACAGAACGATGAGACAAACACCTTACCGTCGACCATGAGTTGAGCCGGATGCTCTGCAAACTGGCGGACCTTGGCTCCGACCTCGCTGCCCTGGCTGAAATGCCACCAGTTGAAGTCAAACGAGATGAACACCTTCATGCCGTTGTTTGCAGCAGACTCGTAGGCGTAGTACAGCTGGCTATCGGTGTAGGAGTCGGTCCCGATGTTCAAGGCAAAGGCATCAATACCATACTCTTTGGCTCTTTTCATGTCAGCGTCATAGTCGCTCGCATTCTGGCGGTTGCTGACAACACCAATCTGGATTCTGTCAGCTGGGAGGGTCATTTTCCGGTAGCTTTAATGGGCGCGTTATATTCACGTACTATGAAATGACAGAAGACAAGCCTTTCTTCGCCAGTGGAATCCACTACTGAATCCATGGCAGTCGGCATATTCAAGGCGAATAATGGTATTGTTATTGACCCGATCAGGCAGAAGCGATCCAGCACGACTTTTTAGAGAGAGCAGCCAAGACTTATTACGTAAGATAAGAAATAACTGAGACAAAATGGTCTCAGGGTAATAGAAGAAGCCATGCATATAAAGGAGAGGGCAGATGCACAAGGTGAGGGGATAGCTAAGAGTCCAATGGCGGTATAATTCAACACGCACATATACATACAGTCATTCGCACCACAGTGGGTCTCAGATCTAACCCACTCTTATGTGCAAGTGGTGCTGAGCAGCGAAATAGAATAGTCATCCATCCTGCCTGGCGTACATGGTCAGCTCTTGCTTCTCATTAGCGTTTATCAACAGATATATAATATTCCTGTCAGATCAGAGAGTCCTTAGCTCCAATAGTCCACAGTCTAATTCCACGTCTTTCGATATAACGGTTCCATCATTCATGGCCGTTATCCGTGCACTGTCTCCGAAATGTTGGATTCTGGCATCTGCCCCTTGCCATGATATTAACAGGGTGGGAAAATACCGACCTCTGAGAAAGGCAAGACAGGGCTAGTGAGTGGGAGGCTAGCTAGCCAAAAGTAATATTGAGCATTGAGGTTTTGCTATGTGTTATTGAAGCCCTACTGCATTCCGAACTGTTTCAGTGGTAAAAAGCAAAGGAATACAATCATGTAGCCTTGAGGCAGACAAATATCAAAGGTATTAATAATGTGGCCCGGAGGCTTTTGCGGGTGTTATGGTATGGTTGGGTTGATGGAGCTCAGACCATACGGCGACATCCGAGGAAGCCCTACTACAATGATAGTTTGGATGTTTACTCGGATCCTGTGAAGACAATCGCAGACAGGTCGGGCCGCGATAGGAGAATGTGTGAACCTTCCTTCGTTTAACACAATCGAATGCGCAATTGCTGCTGTGAAATTGAGGGCGACGGAGATCATTCATCAGGTAGAAGGCAAGCAAAAACGGCCATTAACACCTAGCCCACTGCAGGGCGAATAGTAGAGGTTACGGCCCGAGCAAGAGTGGTCAGCATGCGTACGTGGCATGTACTGGGGCATGTACTGGTTAGATCCGTATGATACGGCAGACAAGCCATGTTAGACGGTTGTCCATCCTCTTACGCGTTTCTCGCGGCCCGAAGACAACGAAAAACAACCAAGTTGATGTCTGCGAATGTGTGAGAATGAGGCTCAATGAAAACGGCCGAATCCAACAGCAAGAAGGAAGAAACAGGGCAATGGTAATCGAATGGAAGGCTGTGTTGTGAGGCCTGAACGACGCCTTCTATTATTAAGTTCTGTCTAAGAGATACGGCCAGCCTTTCTCCATGGCACTAATCCGACGGATGTCCGTATACAATCCAGATCATTGGTGAAAGGTACACACCAACCGTTGTAGCTAGCAGGCTAGCCTCATGCATTGAACCCATACGGAGTAGCGAGGGGTGGATCAGCAGCCCACAGGCCGCTGTCAGTCGTGTATGCATCTCCACTTGAACGAATAAAACTAGTTGTGGGGAATTCTAAACGTCAGCTATTCCACACCCACGTAGCCGAGGTGCGCTAAGTACTAGCTCCATGAATATCAATGCTGCTCACTGGCCGTTGGGGGCCTTAGCCGCAACCTTTCGAAATGAGAAGGACGGAGAATTCTTCAGCGAGACGCGGGGGCCAAAAATGGCCGACCTGGTCAGTATAATAGTAGGGCCTCTGTATCTTGGAAGCTGGATTGAGATTCCACACACACCACCAAAGACCCCGTTTCTCCATCATGTCGCGCGAGATTGACCGGCTGGCTCAGCCAGCAGAGAAAAAAAAGATGCGACTCATCGTCGCTAGCTGCAGTCGGTAAGGCATCGCTCGTCCCAGAGTGGAGTTTGTCATGGGAAATATTCCCTCCTTTAAGGGGAGGAATAGAATACCCGGGCTAATTGACGATTGAGCAGAACAGGCACACTGGGACTCCATGCAGGTTTGGAAATGCTGGGCTATACGCCGTATCACATGATTGATGTGATGTTCAAGGGCAGAAGCCTCATATGAAGGTGTTCACAGAGGCAATAATTGCCAACCACAACCAACTCTCGGGAATCAAGCGATACGAAACACCAGACGTGGAGAGGTGGGTAGGAAACTATGATGTGAGTTCAATCTGATATTTCACCATGCTTTGCATTTGAGATAGCCTCTTCGAACTATTTATTTTCCGATCGTGAAGCAAAAGGCTGACGTGCTCTAGTGCTTGATGGAAATCCCAAGTTACATCGGGAGTAGGGCCATAAGAGGATATATTGAAGACCCCGACGTGAAGTTTATAGTAACCGAGCGCACGCCTGAAAAATGGGTCAAGTCAATCGACAATACTATTGGGGAAGCTGTAAAGGCAGCAAACCAGTTTCCACTGAATATCCTGAAGCGCTTTGACTCCGAACTCGGCCATTTCCTCCACCTCGCCACGGTAATGTACTGGGCTTATGCGGATGGGGGTAACCCAGGTGATGCCAACAGCGAAGCTGCTCTCTATAAAAACTATGTCGAGTAGTGAGTAGTCTCTGTCCCCTGGCTCGGCGTAATTATTTGGAATACAACTGACTATCTTGGGGACATAGTATTCGGACTATCAAGGAAACACTTCCCAGTGATAGGCTGCTAGTGGTGAAGCTTGAGGACGGTCTGGGCTGGGAACAGATCTGTCCGTTTTTGGACCTTCCAATCCCCGAGGAAAAGTATCCTCGTGGTAATGAACCCGACAAGTTCCACAGGATTGTTGCGGACTATATGGAACCCAGAGTGAAGGCAGCTATGCTGAACCTCGGTGCAACGGTCACCGCCACGGCGGGAATAGCTGGATATTTGGCCTGGCGTTACTATCTTCGCCAATGAGCCATGTGAAACGGGTAAACGCTGGTATTTACCAACTCAGTTGGAATCGAAGAGCGTAAAATTAAAGTAGTTGTGTTGGGGATTCCATAGTACTTAAATTCACTTAAGGTTGTCTTCGGTCGATGGCGTGATTGTGCTTAATTTGTGCTCATCAGAGACTACACCCCCGCTACTATGTTCAGGTGGGGCGATAGGATATAGAATATATTGGTCATAGAGCATACTGCAGTGGAGGCTCACCGACATAATTTCTGTGCAGACTTTCAGATGCAGACCTATGCATGAGTGACCTGTGAGTAGGTGTTTAGGATACATACAAGCGGCCAAGTTAGCCATCAAGTTAATATTCTGAACTCTCCTATCGGCCATCTCCATATTCATAGCACTCCAGAGTAGCTCTAATCGTATATTAGAAGTCCTTGCAATCATAAACCACTCTAGTCGAGAAGTTCCCATGAAACACGGCTCATCTTGGGAGAGAAACACCCGAAGCTAGCTGCAATTGTACCATTGGGCGGCCTCCTGTCTGTCGCCACATCGCCGGAGTCAGGTTTCGACTTGTAGTATCAGGACATATGAAACTGCTTCTAGTGGAGTCATATTTATGTTATATTTCTCGTTTCGGTTCCATTCTTGCCAGTAATGCTGCCTTCAACACTGTCGCCGGGGTTGGATATGGTCACGTGATGGTGTTGGTGGAAATATTAATGGTTTGATGAGTCGTCCGATTCGTATTTCCTGGCCATTCCTCCCTTTCACTTGACCTCGTTGCTCAAGGGCCCACAATATCTGTAAGACAAGCAAGACTGGTATTAGCATGCGTGAAATTGTACAATCCCAGCTCCTGTTTTAAGTGTCATGTTGTTGCTCACGTCAAGATATATATTCAGGTTCCCATACACATTGGTCGGTGTGTATGACTCAACTTCATCTCAAGTTTTTTGATGAGAAGTACGGATGTTAAATATAACTCTCTAGGGCAACGAAGTCGGCACTGGATTCTGGTTAGAATGGATTAGCATTTACAAGATACATCTGATGGTACACGCTGACCATCTGCAGGCAGGCAATCTCGGACGAGCATGGACTGGACAATTCTGGAAGGTAAGTCATGATCTTCCAAAGTGGCAATTCCTGATTCTCACATCATCCCAGGTTTGCTGGTTCTGATGACCAACTTGGAAAGCTAAATGTCTACTTTTCAGAGGTTATTGATCGATATACAACCTTTCTATACGCGCCTTCTAGCTAATTTCGATCCCGTAGACGGAAGCACAGGAATATGCCCCTCGTGCAGTACTGCTCGACTCAAAAACTGAGACTAGGGACAGAATCTGTACGGGTCCTCTTCGCACCTTCTTCCGCCCTCGTAACCTTCTATTCAGAGGCTATGGTGCCGGTCAATGTTGGGCAACAGGCTATCACACTGCCGGCGCCGAGCTTATCGACGATTCTCTTGATATTGTGCGCCGCGAGGCTGAGGCATGTGAATGTCTGCAAGGCTTTCAGATCACCCACTCCTTAGGTGGAGGAACGGGAGGCGGTATGGGCGTACTGTTGATCTCAAGGTTACGCGATGAATTTCCCGATACAATGATCGCAACCTTCTCTATCTTCCCCCCACTCGCACCCGATGTCGTTGTCGAGCCCTACAACGTAACTTTGTCAATGAATCAGCTGATTGAAGATTGCGATGCAACTTTCTGCATTGACAATCAGGGCATTCTGGATATGTCCACGGGAACTCTGGGGTCACGCGGTCCTTCTCAAAAGGAGCTGAATCCCCTAATCACACAGGCTTTGTCCGGTGTTACAGCTTGTTTTCGCTTTCCCGGGCAGCTCAATTCGGACCTGCGCAAGCTCACAATGAATATGGTGCCATCTGCTCGACTACACTTCTTCATTCTTGGGTTGGCTCCTCTGCCCAGCTATACTTCCCCGTCCTCCATCAGTGTACCGCAGATCATTCAGCAGCTATTCAGTGCAAGCAATATAATGGCTTCTGGGGACCATCAGATGAGCCATTTCCTGTCATCCTTGGCCATTTTGTAAGAGCGCCACCTTTTCATGATTGACCCAGTTGATATAAACTGCGCTGCAGGTTTGGCCCAAATGCTAACTAGAGCAGCCGCGGCAAGATCAATATGGCTGAAGTCGAAGCGCAAATGGATAATCTACAGAGCAACACGTCCGCTGAGTTTATCGAATGGGTTCCCACTAACATTCGATCAACTGTGTATTTGCCTCGTAGCCTTGATGTGTCATGCACCCTCTTGGCCAACTCCAGATCGATTCAGGGAGTGTTAAATCGCATCAGTGAGCAGTTTGGCCAATTGTTCAGGCGCAAGGCCTATATGAACCCTTATACCATGAATGGAATGGATGAGCTTGACTTTGTGGAAGCTGAGTCAAACTTGAGTGATTTGATCGAAGAATACCAGCAGTGTCAGGGTGGGCTATTGGATGGACAGGATGTACGAGAAGCGTGATATTGGTACGATCAAATGGATGCCCATTTGTGGTCAGACCCTCACTACCACTAGATAGAACATGTACTCATGTGTGGCCCCGTGAGAGTCAAATTCCAAATCATTCCTAATAAAGCACCCGTGTCCTTCTGCTAATACCTGAGTACGCATTTGATCTAAGGCCTAGAGACACCTAGACAGGTAGCTGAATTTATATCCACCGGACAGTAATAAGTATTAGCAGACCATCCAATTGAGACTCTAACGATGACCAAGTGACTACTTCAGATATCCTCTGGGATTTTAAAATCAGGTAGGCTCCTAGAAACACTCCAATATTCACTGTTACGCTTGGCCCGCCCCAACGTCGGCCCTTCTCGACGAACAAGGTATGTCCAGAACTGTTGTGCCTTCCACAGTTCCTTTCCAAAACAATGCCAAGCAGTCACAATGATCTCTCCCCCGTTGCATTCTTCATAACGGACCGCAAACTTGGTGGTGCAACTCTTACACCGCCAGGTAAAATCATCCTTTATTTCTGCACCTGCCGGATCTGGAGATATACTGGATTGTTGGACACCCTGCCGTAAACGCGGCGGAAAGGCCGTAGCAATGGCCATAGTAAGAAGGGAGCTGTTAGGGACAGTCTTTCTTGATCGACAATTCTTTGGTGGGGGTGCATTTGTCGTGGATAAATGTGCACAAACACGAAAAGGAAGGGATGTGATATCCGCCGCTTGAAGGGTGCGAGTCTGTGAATGGCTTTTCCGTACCCGGTGCTCTTGGGTAAGGATGAGGTTCCGATCGACCCATTGTGCAGACGAGCACAGCCTGTAGTTCACCAAGCCCTGTGTGAAGGTAAAGTCGCCATCGAACAGTGAAATCGGTGCTCTAGCGTCCGAGGAAACAGGCTGTGACTTGAATGCCTCGAGGATATGCTCCCACACCAGGCTGTAGCCACCCGATGGTGTTTGCGGCCAGTAGTCGATGCTGGCTAGCTGACCCATACAATGTTTCGTCCATTTAGTCTCCCGGTGGTCCCTGGGTAGCTTGAGCGGTGGGTGAAGAGTCTCGCATCGCGGGCAGTATTCACTTTCGGGAACATCGCGTTGAAGAAGTTCAACCAGGGATCCGTAAGATCCATATTGAAGTCCGTAGAGGCGAGCTCGTCCACGAAAGCTTGCCCAGGATGCGGTGCCGAGGAGATGCAATGCTTCCTTGCAGGTCAGAGTGAAGCAAGCTTCGGCATCACGAGGTAAGTGGTTAATGATTTTATCGAAGATCTCTCTGGGCAAAGCGAAAAGTCGTAAGGCTCGATTGGGATCCCGCTCTACTTCAAACCGAGACCGCTCTAAATAGCTTGGTTTTGTCCTTTTCGCTGCTCGACGTTTGATCTTTTCATTGCCCTGAAGGTTGGATCCTTGCAGGCTGGCACTGTTGTGGTGGCGTAGAGAACGTTTCCTTTGGCTCGTCTTATTGCGACAAGTAGCCGATTGGGCCTGCTGGGAGCGTGTACGTGCCATGCCTCTGAATATCGTAGGATAACTAGTGACTTTACAGATATTAAGACTGTATGGTATGCTATAATTCTCGGCGTGAAGAAAAAGAAAGAAAAAAAATTCATCATAAAATAGGAATACCGCGTGAATTCCACCCAGTTGGTGCCTAGCCCTAGGCAACCTTCCAGTATCCAATTTTGAATCCACCAATCAACTTCCTTCTACTACCATCATCTATATTCTGCGTTACAATCCAGTATGTCCAGGACCTCTCACAGGCCACTGCCCAGAAACTACTTTACTCGTTAAATAAACAGATAGTCTCGGCAGACGGACCTAGTTATTTGGAGTGAGCAGATATTGCCCCTGAAATGGGCCACGTAGTGGCCAGACGTCTTGCTGTGGACACTGATGTAGAACGGAAGAGAGTCCATATCTTTTTCAACCCCATCAGCCAGATAGGATTGATAAAGTTGTGCTGCATCGTCCACGTGGCTGTTCCAGAGTGGGTACATGGCGATGTAAACGCCAACAGCCTACTGGGTGGGTTTTGCACTCCCGAACTTCAGACCATTTATATCTATGGATCAAGACGTAAGGGAATCAATATTCGCTATACTTGGACTATACTAAGAGATGCTATATAGGTTATGATGCATTTCTGTCTCCATAATGCCTATAAAGAGCAAAACGTGGCTATCACTTTTGTCGGGTAGCTATGCCAACGATTGCAGTCGAAGTCGGTTATAGCGAATCCTGGCCGAAGCAGCTTCTACAGGACCGAAATGCCTGGATTAATTGGGGAGCACTGCACGTCAATGCAGCTTTGTTGGTTAAATGGAATTCACGCGAAGGGAATCAGGTCGCAGGATACTTGGAGATTCATCGGCATGGGGCAGCCCCCTCCCCTCGTCTATAGAGTAGGATCAATTAGTTCTTTGAAGTCGTTCGCGTGAGTTTACTGTTGAGAAAGCGGCTAAGTAATGCTATTCCAGCGAATATTCCCGACCATACCTGGAAATACCCCTCAAAGCCTTAAATGGTAATGACTGGATTTCTATCCTGTAGGGCAAGTGCCCGTTGGGAGAAATCCCAACGACATATGCTATGCGAACCTCGACAAACTCAGGAATAGAGCGACACGTGGAATGGTAACGAGGGATTATGCCCAGCGCTCTAGCTTCTCGCACCTTTCCAGGTTTTCCAAATGATGATCAGAGGGATTCGTATCCACGTCAACCTCAATACAGCGCCAACAGACGCCGTGGTGCATCTAGCAATTTAGGTAGTTGAGGATCACTCGCAGCGTGCATCCGGTACCAGCCAGTAAGCGGCTTCATGTTCCGAGTGCTTGGTATGAGCATACTATTTGCTACATGTTCCTCCATCAACTGCAGCTGGTGTACAGCTTTAATGATGAGTTTGAGGAATCAGGTATTGAGAAGTATCTTGAGGACTTGCCAGAGGCTCGACAAAGGAACTAGTCACTCCACCGATGGACTAGCGGTTGGATTGTGGGATATTTGGTACCTTGTTTCCCTTACACATGATGGCTAATTCTACCTTGGCTTCCACGTTAGTCAAAACTTTCATACCCTATCTTGCTTAGGTTTTCACACCGCGAGTCGAATAGCATTTAGTAACCATCACACTGTTGTATACTACAGTGCATAGTAATAATTACCGGCCTCACCAAGAATCCAAAGTCTTCCAAGAATGCGAAGTGCTCAGTACATGGAATATATGCGAGATACGGACATCGAAGATTTATGGCCCATATTTCGGCTATGATATTCTTGCATTATTCTACACCATCGCCCCCCGCGATGTCGCCATAGCACCGACAGCCGATGCTCGAGCGACCGACATCCGGATAGTGAGGAGAAGGAGGCTTTCTTTCTTTCTTTATCTATTTTTTGTATTTCACTTTCCCTGATTGCAAAGCTGGTAATAGTGCCTAGCATAACTGCCTGCCGACCTCTAGCTTTAACCGTCATGTTCGGGTTTCCCTCGACCGCTGATATATATTTCGGATCTATTACGATGTGCCTGACAGGGAAGAGCCGAGGGTAGATAGCGAAAGCTCGGGAAAAGTAAACTTAAGCTCGATCGCGACAGCTGGATTGCATATTTGTATTTCAAAAGGTTGTTTTCATTGGAAGCGAGGGGATGCCATTGGCTCATTGACACGCTACGATGGCGTGTGAAATCGCGGGGTGGTGCAAGTCTTGGTGTGCGTAAGTCGGATAAGCAAATTCCAGAGGGGAATGGTTCTGGCCAGTGGCCACACAGGCTCGTGCTGTAACAATATGGTAAAGACAAGACAGTCCATCGTGGCTAGGAAATTCCCCTCGTCTAACTATTATCTCATCGAGCTGGGCTGTCACGACATTCTCTAGGGCAGTATGTCACTATCGGTTGGAGATTGCTATAAAGGCCTCTCATCAAGCTCCAAAGCCTTGGGCCATGCATTGTATAACCAGCTGTTCATAATCAAGGAAGTATGGCTGGGGAAGAACCAAAGGCTGTGCCAGTTTCTACCATTGAGGTAGATACTGATTCTCCTGTGGCCAGTACAAAGTACGATTCAGACAGAGAGCGCCAGGAAAGTCCGACCCAACCTCTTCCGGGGAAAAGCACCTTTGAAACAGAAGACCATCGCTTGTATCGACCAATCGACAGCTATGAGGGCATTCATCGCTGGGACCCTGATTTTCAATGGACCGAAGAGGAAGAGAGGAAAATTGTCAGAAAGGTAGGGCAATCCATTGCTGCGATACGACCACCTGGCTCATAGATATAGATTGATTGGCGCGTTTGCACGTTTGCCTGCGTTACATTCTTCGCACTGCAACTTGATCGAGGAAACATCAATCAGGCGCTCTCGGATACCATGTTGAAGGACCTCAAGATGACCAGCAATGACTACAACACCGGGCAAACTATCTTCTTGGTCTGCTTTCTGATCGCCGAAATGCCCTCGCAGTTGATTTCCAAGCGACTGGGCCCCGATCGATGGATCCCTATTCAGATGGTGGCCTGGAGTTTAGTTGCAGCGTGTCAGGCATTTCTGAAGACCAAATCAGCTTATCTAGGCCTCCGTGCCTTGCTCGGACTACTTGAGGGTGGTTTCATTCCCGATACAATTCTCTTCTTATCGTTTTTCTACAAGTCCAGCGAACTTCCAAAACGACTTACATGCTTCTGGATTTCATACACGCTGACCGGAATCATTGGCGCCTTTCTAGCATTTGGTCTGCTTCATATCAAGGACTCTAATGGTGGCGGGTCCTGGAGGTACCTTTTCGCGTATGAAGGTCTCATCACCGGTATTATTGGCATTCTCGCTGCATTTTGGATGCCCGCGGGCCCGACGCAGACCAAAGGCGGACTTCGAGGGAAAGACGGATGGTTCAACGAACGCGAAGAGAAGATTATGGTGAATCGTGTGATTCGCGACGATCCAAGTAAAGGAACCATGCACAATCGCCAGGCTGTTACGCCCAAGCTCCTCTGGTACTCATTGAAGGATTACCACATGTGGCCAATCTACGCTCTTGGTTTGATTTGGATGATCCCCTATACCCCAGCTGCCAACTACCTCACCTTGCAGCTGCGTCAGCAGGGATTCACCACTTTCCAAACCAATTTACTTGTGATTCCTTCCGCTGTCGTCAGCATCATAACGATGGTCACGACCACTTGGCTTGCAGAGCGTACTAACCAGCGCTTGCTCTGCGGTGCGGCTGTAGAGATTTGGTATTTGATTCTATTGATCGCACTCGAGACGCTCCCGATGAAAAGCATGCCCTGGCCCCGATTTGCCATTCTTACTTTGACCGTCGGAGGACCTAGCATTCATCCGGTGGTGGTGGCATTAACCTCACGCAATGCCGGGTCTGTCCGGACAAGGACGGTAGCTTCTGCATTGTACAATATGTCTGTGCAAATTGGTAGCATTGCCGCTGCTAACGTACGTCCGCCAATAAATTGGTGTATCGTTGTTAAGAACTAACGTTGGCTTATACAGGTCTACCGAGCCGACGATGCTCCATACTACAAAGAAGGAAATAAAGTCACGATCGCACTGGCTGTTGTGAGCTTCTTTCTCTTCATCGGAGCAAAGTTATACTATGATTGGCGTAATAAGTAGGTACTCATGAGCTCTTTTTTTAAATAGCTGCTGACCTTGCCAGGCGAAACGCCGAGAAATGGGATGCCCTTACTAGCGAACAGAAGCAGCAGTATCTTCAAGAAAACTCAGTCATGACCAATAAACGGTGAGTTGTACACTGGGTATTTTTAGTAGTTCGAATACTGACAACCTGGCCCAGACTTGATTTCCGGTTTGCTTCTTAATTCATTGACTGGTGTGACTTTACAATTATAATGGCTATATTCGTATGGTCTAATTGTTCCATAGAAGTGTAGAGGTCTACTAATTTTGGTTGTTATCGCACTGCTGGATGGAGGAGCGGAGCCCCAGTCACATGGTAAATAGATGCCTTATAGGAAGAAAGATAAATCCATATCATGAATAGAAAAGCTGATGCACCTGAATCACGACATAGTTTCGACCCTATGAGCACAAGTCAAACCCGGTAGGTATAGGCTCGACATTATTGCTCAGTTATTGCGTCAACGTCGCTTAAATGAGGTTATACCAGCCGATAAGGTCTTTTTCCTTGCACATTGGTCAATCCCTCTACACCAAGCACGCCAATTGTCTGATAATCTCCCAGCATCTTGTCAAACACCCCACTTTGTCCGACTCGTAGTCTCCTTCCCCTCTCTTCTGCCCTTCAATGATTACGATGTACACCCATTCTTGCCTAAGAAGCAAATCAGTCACCGTAATCGGCATATCGTGTCAACACGACCCGTATCTTCAAGCAGTGAATCTGTGTCGTTGTCTGCTGGTATGATGCCCTTCTCTACTCAGGGCGCCTCCAAAAACCAGGTACCGATTCCCGCATTCCTCCCCGCATTCCCTGCTATGGCCGTGTCAGGCAGTACGCAATCGACAGACCCACGCACACACGTTTTATATGATGTTGAGGTGATATCCGGGTGTGCATGACGGTTATGCCGACAATAGCCCCACCGTGCAGCAAATAGTCAAATAGACGGCTAATGTGCCCGCTATTTTGCTATTGAAAGATAGTCAAACCCTTTGTTGGATTGGTATTCTCGCGCTATCATGTACGGTAGTCCTAGGGACAGTGTCTCAAGCACAACTAATATAGTTGGCTTACAGTCAGGATACTCACTATATATTATGCCATTATACATAGCCGTCATAGAGGCCTCTCCACTGGCTGCGTTGGTCCTTAGTCGAGGGGGATATGGCTCGAAAAACAAAGAAAGAAAGACGAAGAAAAAAAAGAAGACAGGGGAATCACAGGTCCAATCCATCTAAATAATTCATTCCCTTCCAATGTCTTTGCTAAAGCATATGTCACCTCTACTTGGAGTTTCGATCTGATTCACCCTGTTCATTGGTTGGCGTCCTTTGCGTATCTAGCAATGGCAATTCGCTGTCTTCCTTCTGCCCGGGAAGAGTGGCTGTTCGTAAGCCTATCTGCTTAAGCCAGGCCTCTGTCGACGCAAGAATATTCCCTTGATCTGGATGCAGCGCATGTCCGAGTATCCTACCCGGCGAGGTACGAGCGAGGTACGTTCGCATTTGCTTCAGGCCGATGCGTCTCAGAATAAGTAGCCAAATGCTCCACGCTGCCAATGCCAGGCAGAGGGCAAGTAGTATAAATGCAGGGATGGCGTAGGGAAGTTTATATTTGATGTTTTGTGACCACAGTAGGACCGGTACATTTACATCGCCGGTATCTCGCTTGGATAGCGTCTCTCCATTCCTTGCCGTGGGGGTGCTATGCCAGCCACGCGTACCAACCACAGTATTGGCAGCCATGTCGGTCCACATAAGTTTCAACATCTGCTCAACACCAGCGGCTGACTTGGACAGCTCAAACCATTTATTATATAGAGCCAGGTCGTTAAGCCCAGTATATCGAGAAGTTGATTTCTGCAGATCTTTGACGTCGAAAAGAGATAGCAGCCTATCCATATAAAATCGGTTCCCGGGCATGTCTGACTGTCCGGTCTGGAGGTCCGATATGAACGTATCTGGGTAGCCAGGAAGCCAGAGATGGTCCCTTTGGACAGATGAGATATCGTCATGAGTGGCTACATCAGGCGAGACAATGCCCCATAGAGGCCGTGCATTCCTTATCGTGTGATTGGTTAATCGCTCGACACCCCAGAGTGGAGGTTTGGATGAGCCCGTGTAGCGCTTCTGCTCTATTTTCTCAACTGTAAGCTTGTCCAGCTCTCCTGTCCCATTGAAGCTGAATGTGACCGTGCGTATGGCTGCTTTGGCTGCGGCAGCACAGGAGTAGATCGGAGTACTCCAAGTGCTGTTTGTGTCAGGGATGAGCGGGTCCCCGTCAGTCCTCGCGGGGGCTGCGAAAACAGTGCCGCAGGACACACCAACGAACGATAGGTTGGACAGATCCTGGATCGAAGGATAGTGGCAAGCTTCCGTGGCAACTGCGAAAGTATCGAGTGCAGTCAGGTTGACGGGGTTAGGGCCCTCGGGGGTATCCCTGAGGGACGTTACTGCCCCTGAATTGTTAGGAAACGGGAGCTCAAGGAACCCGGCATACCTGTTGTCTGTCTGAACAGCCAGAGGAGTAATATAGCTGCCAGATACGCCGCGCAAATCGAACGTCTTTCCGATATCAGAATTTATATAGGCGAAGGGTTCCAGTCCATCTGATCCGTTGGTGGTTACATTGAAGAACTGCATCACGAGCATATTGTGTCTCCAGGCAGCATTGTACGCACGGTCATACAATGCTACATTATTCTGGAAATCGCCTGCGTCTATCTCATTCACTGTATGGGGCAGGCTACTGAATCCGCCGTGGTCAACCAGGACTGGGTCCCGTGTCTCCTCAATCGTAGTTGATGACTCACTGGAGGGGTTGTAAGTATAGTCGATGGTCAGGTTAGTGCTCACACATCGTGCTTCGGGCTCGATGAACAGTATGTCTTCTGTCCACCTCGCACCGGTACGCACGTCCACGGGGATAGTATGGTTCCGGAAACCTATACGTCCAGCTTTAGTATCAATGATCAATCCCTCAACCGCTAGGATTCCTTCCTCCATAATTAACTGCGAGATTTGCCGGTAATACCCTTCAGAGTATTCACTCGAAATGAAATTCACGCCAAAGCTGGTTGTTGACCGAAATGACCGCCACTGGAGGTCAAATATGCTGGAAACAGTCGGCGGTACATCTCCGCTCGTGAATAAATCAACACTACTCGGCCAGATTGAGTATGCCTCAGCGGGGTCTTCAATGTCATTGATATTTGGGGGTGCGCCAGGACATCCCTCCGGGGTATTCGGGTCGTCATCCGCGTAACAGATCCTAAGTGATCTGTACCCATCTCTCGAGCGGGTGGCTCTTCCAAAGGCAGATGTATCAGAGACATAGTGAAATGGGATATTAGTCGGGGTATCATCAGGGCCAATAACATCGTATAGACCTAAAGGGGTTACAATTCCAGCCACTGCAACAAGTCCAAGGGCACCGAGCTGTAGCCATGTACAAGCTTTGATCGCTCTGCTGACCCCTGTACTGGCAGCAGTATCGGAATCTAGTATCGTTGGCCAGTATGACGAATGAATCAGCCGGCTGACTACAGACCTAGTATTGTGTCAACACCAGCGCTAAAATTGGAGCAAAACGCAATACCATGACACAATCGAATTCTCCTCCGGCAGATGTCCAATCACTATCAAGCTTATCACAGTAGGAACGAACAGGCGCACTTGAAAATATAAGTATCTCGGGTGTCAGGTCTTCAACATTGGGTTGTACCTACCGAGGAATACAGCCGCAGCAATGATACCAGACACATAACCCACCGTTAGTTCTGCCATGATAGGCAAACCTTTAGGCGCAGTGCTCCGATGTGCACAGATAAGAATATGTGCTCCCCTAGCTTTTGTATAAATTCAGCGCACTTTATGAGCCGACTTGAGGTGGGGCTGGTACAACAACGAGGCTCTTATATTTCAAGCCAAGCCACTTAGTACGAGTCGTGGATGCCAGACAATGATACCATCTCAATGATCAGCGGCTAATACGAGGGACCTGCTTAGATTCTATGGGAACATGTTAACGCGAAGCGAGGTCCGTTGGTCTCGGCGGGTGACGATCAATACACCCAGCCTCGTATTCGTGTGTGCTCCAACATATCCTCTTAAGTAATATGATATCTAGCGCGCAAAAGCTGTTCAATGCCAAGAAACCATATTCCATCTTCTGGCTTCACGAGTTTAGGTCACAATCATTACTGGAGCAGGCAACGCGATCAGAGACCACATCTTGAAATAATTGTTACGTTTCAGTCATACGTAGGTTTCTCAGTTGTTTAGACCTGGCATCCTCAGCATAACCGACAGTACTAATGGTTTATGTACGACATTTAGGCCTAATACAGAGGAAGCCATTAATTCACCCTACAATGGCATGTGCTGATGTACTAGAACAATGTCTGTTCTCACGATAAAGAATGTGCACAGCTCAGGGAACCACTCCAATAGCCCAGTTAGTTTGAGCCAGGTATCTCGTCATTTTGATAGGAATGAAACCTTCTCAAAATCCTCTATCGCCATGGAGTGGTGCAGAATGATTACGAGTCCTATATTTTGCTGGAATAGTGAAAGCCAAATCCGAACACTCAAATTACCAACCTGCATGAGATTTAGATGTCATCTCCAAGAATGCGTGAATAGGAATCAATCATCAGGATAAGGATATTTGGCAATATATCCGGGATGTGATCTTGTACCCCGAAGCTTCCCAAAATGCAACCTGTCATATAATTGTTTCTGTCGAATAACCATGTACAGGAAAGAACACAGAGCAAACCCAACGGTTCGCGTGCGGCGAATACACCCTTGATCTAGCCCAAGAGTATAGGGCATTTTAGCACTGAACCCTAGGGGGTTCAAGTATGGGAGATAGTTGAGATATACGGCCGATCAAAAAAGCGTATCTTTCATCACTTCTGATGTAATAATTGACATAGAGTATGCCTGCAAGCTAGTTACCCCAATAATTGCTATGGCGCACCATTCCACCATGAGCTATGTGTTTAGTCTGCCTGTTAGTTCAGGGCACACATTCCCATCGTCGTCCAACTACCTAACCCTGGATCGTAATTATTCGGCGGGGAACGTGATATTCGTGTTGATTCCAGCAGCTAGAGCATGCCACAGGGAGAGCTCTGTCACTCAGTATAGGCAGCCATACCCATCCCTACTGGGTCGCATTCGTGTATGGCGGAAACCCATATAGTTGTGGTTCCTACCCTTGCTAGTCAGTATACAGCTGTAGGATGCCGATGGACCATGAAAAAGCCTCAAGAACAATAGTTCATGCTTAGTCGTAAGGTTGATGTTAGCCTTGGTACAACGGGTCTCCTAAATTCTGGACTGTACCCAAGTCACGAGATTGACGCATGCGGTATTCCCTTAGCTTTAGGGTTCAACCGAGATTGGTTGACCCATGTGAATGCTTCCATCTGATATTTATGTGGTTTGCCCAATGAAATAATTACAATTACTCCCCCTTTCGCTCATGTATTTCCGATTCCCATTCATGATACAAATGTACGTTTCTGGCCTAATATCACGTAAGATGACCGCTAGATGATTATGTGGTCGAGCTCTTACTGGAACCGGCGACCCAGGCTTGAGTTATTGACGGGTTGCCTCAGGTGACGAACAGCATTATCCATGGATACGCCTTCCAATACAGAAAGAATAGCTGTTGCGCTGAAGCTGCGGGTACATTATTATATGGTTCGGTGTCCCCTTATCACGATTTCTGTTTATCGAACGGCACGCCCATAACCACAGCGTGAGACCATTCTTAACCATGACAGACAAAGCCGAAACGAACCACAGTGGTTCCTCTGATAGCCACCATAGCTTACTGAAGCTTCTCAACGAAACTCGCCAAGATATAGTCAGCCAGGTTGGGCGGATCCTCCCGGATCTGCAAGTCCTCAAGGGACTGGGATCGACGATTCTAGCGGGTGGAGTTATTGACGATAGGCAATATCTCGTAGGATAGAAGACTCATGACCCGTCTTTATCTCAATGAATGACACCGCTGATTGCATTTAGATCGAGGAGATCATCCAAGTTGCCGCATCGTTGCCGAATGGTTCAAGGCTACGTGACGGCATCACGGCAGAATTCGTGAAGACATTGTGGAATAGCCTTGACCATCCTCCTGCAGCACGGTTGGGAGACGAGTACAAATACCGCGCCGCAGATGGCAGCAATAATGTAACACGTCGCCCCAATATCTCTCCCAGCGATATGCCTAACGTTCGTAGAATCCGTTGTATCCCCAACTAGGGGCAGCCGGGAGCCACTATGTTCGGAGTGTGACCCCCCAACACCCACGGCCATATGTGCTCCAAGATCCCTCTCTGATATTTGACAGTGGGTTTGCTTCTATCCTACGGCTAGGAATAGGTGTCTGCTAACTGTAATAAGCTATTCTCGCACGCAAAGGACCTTTAAAAGAACACCCTTCTAGAATATCGAGCACTCTGTTTCATTTTGCGACGATCATTATTCACGGTCGGTCGAATCAACCAACATTTGATGTCTGCTGCATGTGAATCTAACGTCTATACAAGATCTCTTTCGTACCGATGATGCTGATATGACAAAACTGAAGAATTCATCTTACCTCGACTTGGGACCTCTGTACGGCCACAACCAAGATCAGCAAAACCAAGTGCGGTCATTTCAGGATGGACTCCTAAAGCCTGACACATTCGCGGAACAAAGACTACTCGGCCAGCCTCCTGGAGTATGCGCTTTGATCATTGCATTCAATCGATTCCACAACTACATCGTCCAGGAGCTAGCCTGATCAACGAAGGAGGCAGATTTAGCTTGCCAGCCGGACTGACACCAGATAGTCCCACATACGCCCAGGCCCAGGCAAAGCGGGATAATGATCTATTCCAAACTGGAAGACTGTAAGCCAAACCCTTTCGCTTCAGGGTAGGAGATACGTCTATAGTCTGACTACGTGCAGGGTCACTTGTGGTCTATATGTGAATATTATACTTGGCGATTATCTGAGGACCATATTGAACCTGAACACCAACCCGGTAGACTCGGACTGGAGGCTCGACCCGCGGATGGAAATAACTCCTCTGAACTCACCAACCATCCCCAGGGGTGTTGGAAACCAAGTTAGTGCGGAGTTCAACATGATCTACAGATGGCATGCCGCCATCAGCAACCAGGATGAAGCCTGGGCACATGGGTTCATGCAAAACGTGTTTGGCACAGAAGTGGATCCAGGTATGCAGGTGCCCCTAGCAGAATCTAATGAGATATCTCTGACCCTGGGGTGGTGAAATGGCTTTAGGTGGTTTGTCCGTTGAGGAGTTCGTTGGCGGCCTGCGCAGGTGGTTAGAGGGGATTGACCCAGATCCCGCTCACTGGACATTCAACGGCCTGCAACGACAACAGGACGGCAGCTTTAGGGATGCAGATCTCGCGAATATTCTGCAGACTGCGACTGAGTCTGTCGCGGGTGCGCTATCTTCCCTTTTACTCGTGCGAGCTTCAAACACTAACTATTCCGCAGGTGCATTCGGCGCCAATAACATCCCGCGGGCAATGAAGGCTATAGAGATGCTTGGCATCCAGCAAGGCCGGGAGTGGGGATTAGCCAGCTTGAACGAATTTCGACGTTTCTTCAAATTGAAAACATATTCAACGTTCGGTAAGACACGGTGAATCCTTTTGGCATTCTTCTGGCTAATGACACTTTCAGAGGAGGTCAACTCCGATCCCGCTGTCTGGGAGGCGTGTAGGTAGCGTAGCTAAATGTTGTATTTAATCAACACTAACTAGGCTATAGTGGAGGCACTCTACGGGCATCCGGATAATATCGAGCTTTATGTCGGTATACAGGCAGAGGAAGCGAAGAAGCCATGCTTTCCCGGGTCCGGACTATGCCCGAACTTCACTATTTCAGCTACAATATTAGCAGATGCTAATACGCTGGTCCGCGGTGACCGCTTCTACACTGTTGATTACAGTCCAGTGAATCTAACGAACTTTGGGTATGTTTCCATCCATGATCTCAATATTATGAACGTCAGAGGAAAGGGAGATATCAACTACGCAAAGATCCACTCTCACCTAATTTCACAGGTTTGCGAACACAGTCCCAGACTTCTCCGTAGCAGGAGGAGGTCTGATGTACAAGCTCCTGTTGCGAGCCTTCCCCGGGTGGTACACTCCGAACAGTGTGTATACCTTGTACCCTTTCACAACTCCGGAGCAAAACAGGAAGGTCTTTGAAAGGTCCAAAACTGCCGCTGGTCTGGAGTTTGATAGGCCAAAATATGAAAGCCAGCCGACTGTTGTGGCTTCATGGCAGGGAGTAACACAGGTTCTAAATGACCAGAAAGCTTTTCGCGTCCCTTGTTAGTTACCCTCTCATGGCTTGTAACCCTGAACTCTGATGCTGATATCTTGAAAGGGGGCCCACATACATTCCAGCTTACGCAACACGATTATATGCTAAGCGGCGACTCCCCAGCCAATGCGAAGCAGAGGGTATTCGTGAAGGATTGTTTATATAAGCCAACCGATGGCCTTGAGGAGGTCAGGAAATTTTACGAAAATGTGACAATGGACCTCCTACACCAGCATAGCCGTAAACTTGGTTCAACATACCAGCTCGATATAGTGCGAGAGTAAGTAGCCCTAGCGCATTAGTCCAAACGGCGTTGACCAACTCCCCCTAGTATCGGAAACCTCGCTCATACTAAATTTACGGCGGAGTTCTTCGGAATTCCTCTGCAAACTTCCGAGAACAATGATACGACAGATGCCTACACAGAAAGAGAGCTGTATACCGCACTTTCAGAGTTGTTTGGCTATGTCTTCCTTGACGTCGACCCGGCTCAGTCGTTCAAGCATCGCATCAGTGCGTCTCGGTCGTCCGAGCGGCTGGGGAAAGTTATGCAAAAGCATGTAGCCAGCTTGAACAAACAGCATTTCACCATTGCACGCAATATTTTAGGCAACCACAGTTCCGGCACAAAGAAGTGCCCATTAGCCGACTATGGACCAGAGCTCAATGCTAGACTTTCTAGTGGTGGACAGTCTGCCGATGAGGTGATCTGGACCGTCATCCCAACTGCTGCAGCTGCATGTGCTACTCAAGCTCAAGGTGTATGTTTAGTCCCGGAACATACAAGACTCACTTCTAATTATTTTTAGTGGGCTCAACTGATTGACCTCTATTTGTCGGATACATATTACAAATATTGGCCTGACATTCAGAAAGCCGCTCGCTCTGACGACAAAGACTCTTTTGAACAGTTGAAAAAATATGCCCTCGAGGGGTATGCTCGACTCACCACGTTCAAGGGAACAAATCCATTCCAGCATTGCTAACGTGAACAGATTCCGTTTATCAACCCCCGCCTTTGGTGTCCTTCGGTACGCAGCCAACGACACAATCATCAACGACGGGCTGCGAAATGTCCCAATCAAGGAAGGGGACACCATATTGGCCGATTTTGTCTCAGCTGGTCGAGATCCAATCAAGTTCCCCGACCCTGAAGCTGTCAAACTTGACCGTCCTGATGACCTGTACATCCACCACGGATGGGGGCCACATTCATGCCTTGGGCGTGAGATTGTGACTGTTGCGGCAGCCGCTATGCTTTCGGTCTTCGCACGAGTGGAGGGCCTTAGGCGTGCTCCTGGTTCGGCTGGTGCGATGAAGAGCAAATTGGTCAATGGGGCGTTCAAGGTCTACTTGCCAGAGGACGGGACGGAGTGGACTCCATTTCCTTGCAGTCAGTTCTTGCCCATGTAGATGAACATTCGAGCGTTAGCTAATGATGAACTAGACAAAAAGGTTCTGTTTGACAGTTTCTAGAGCATGGCGGCTCGAGGCGTGGGAAGGACAGAATCCACCAGGATGCAGGGCTCAATCCGGTAAGTTGAAGGATTCTGGTGAGAAGTACAATCATTTATTCCGCGATCCCCGTAGTAAGTGTCCATGTGTGATAGTATGTTTCCGTCCCACCTTGCCTGATGAAGGTATGATTTATCTGCCATGTATCGGATGTCTTGCTAGTGTGGAAATATGTCGTTCATGTACTTATCTGATAAGTCTCGCGTTGTCGTCTTCCCTTGTCCCAACTTCCATGATTAAAATGCGCTGGTTTCGCACCATATCGCCTGTTGTGGCTTGATACTTCGTATGTATTATTTTGTGGTAAGGTTTCCATTTATCCTCATAGGGCTTTGAATCGTAATTTCTCACTAGTCAAGGCCCAGCATTGGAGCCATACGCGTGCGAGCGAATGAGCCGCGACCGTCTTGTGAAGCACCGCTGCTCGTTCCATGGTTCGTAATGGCCACATGCTTCATGGCCATGACTACAGAATCTGGAACAACGATGCTTAGCTTACATGGATACCATCGGAGTTGCCGCGCCGGTACTGTGCCGTGCATTCATGATGTCAATCCTGCTTCCTCATTTTGGCAACAGACCTAAGCCCGACGCCCAGAGCCCGTCCTGCATATTGGTTATCAAGTATTTCTGGTAGCTGCTTATTTGAATCGAGGAATAAGATCACCTAGAATTGTTGTTAGGCCACCTATCATACCCACATCTTATTACATCGTCGGGAAGAGCGACAGACAGGCCAATACGAATGGGGGTATAAGTAGTGGTATGAGCCAAGCTCCTGTAGAAGTCCTTCAATAGCGGACGGTATTATTGTCGTCTTAGCAGTCTTTCAATAGAAGTAATTGCGTTTCAAGGACGGTCTCTAATCCTTTTATCGTGGCCTTGTCGATCAACCTCATCCCTAATGGGCTTGCTGCGAGATGATACGGTACGTTCGTCTGTTCTGTCTTACGGTACCACACAGTAACCTCTCCGACCACAGTGGGTTCCGGAGCTATGGACCCTTTTTGGCGTCGGGGAATTCATTCTATTGTCTGGTATTGGGCTGCGGTGCTGGTTACAAGGTCTCCATCGGCCAGCAGCCGAGGACTGGGTCTCTCTTTTGATTCCTGCCTTCTATGCTGTATGTGCGGCCGGCTGCTATCTCGTGTATATCTATGGAAACAAGGTGGACTTCACTCAGGCCGAGATCAATGCCTTAACCGACGAAGAGGCGCGCCGTCTCATTATTGGAACTAAATGGGAGCTCGTCTTAGCATACTCCTATCCGACAGTTCTCTGGCTCTTGAAAGCCAGTTTACTGCTACTGTATTGGCGCTTGACGAGTGGACTTGGGCGACATCGCCTCTTAGTCTTACTTCTTGCAGTCATCTGTCTGCTAACCTATATTGGGATCATACTTAGTATGTCCCTTGCGTGCATTCCGTTTAGACGATTCTGGGAAATCAAGCCGTTACCTCCCATCAATTGTATACAGCCACCGAATATCTTCATTGCGTTAGCAGTGTCCAACGTTTTGTAAGGCCTCTGCCTCCCATTATTGTGCGCATCAAGCTAACCTAGGTATGAATGAAGCACAGACTCTGGGGTACGTAGAGGATGGCTACGAGGAATCTCAGTATTGACCTTGATTAGATTATCGCACTACCAATTATTTTATTGGCGAGGCTCCAAGTCTCCAGATCAAAGTGAGTTCCTCATACTTTCATGACCATGAATATGCGGTGAACGAGATCAAACTTCTAACGAGCCAAGAAAATTGAAGATTCTCTGCTTCCTTAGCGCGGGAACAGTCGTCCTTATCACTGCGTAAGCACATAGAAGCCACACAACGTTTTAAGATGAAAGATACGATATGTCTGACAACTCAAGCTGTACAGAATCGTGAGAATCTCAATTACGCTGTCAAAACCAGGCCAGCTCAACTGGAATCGGTGGGTGACTGTGCTCCCTGCCATGTCAACTTTGTCAGGGTTATATAAGTCTGATATGAGGTCTCCATATTAGCTGGGGCATGCGAGAAATGTTCGTCAACATTATCGCAGTCTACATCCCCACCTTTCGCTCCATTCTTCGAAGCCGTTCGCAAAATCGACATAGCGCGGTGACCAGCGAGTCGAGTGTCGCGATTATGTGGCCCTCCAATCCATGTCATCGACATCCATCACTAGACCTGGAAGTTGCATCTCCCACCACTATCTACGATCCATATCATGCCCAGTCTGAGATCCTACACACGAAGCAAGCAAGGTTGTCAGATATCCCGCGGATACCGGTGGGTTGATTTTGGATGGCATGGACACGATTATCAACACCAAAGACGGAAAATATAATCCACCCAAGTTTATGATGGACTTGTGGTTTGTTAATTAATAGGACCAGAAATACGGCAGTATGACTTTGACATTCTTAGTTTGTATTCTATCTGCAACTGTTTGCAGCGTCCAGCACTGTCACGTTCGCCTTGGTTCACCTCGTATATCTCAGCACTCACTTGATTCTTCGCGATATATACAAAGAACTGTTTATTCTCTATATTTGAACAATGGGGTGAGCTATTCTACCATAGGGACTAATGGGGCTGTGATGGTTACTCTATCATGTGAGACGCACTCTTACCTCTTGACTGGTATGACTAATGAATTGGTACTACATCTTTGTAATTGTCTTTCCATGTAAAAAGTACAGTAGCCCTTCTCATAGTCATGCTGAAATCGAAGAGACTACGAACTATGTTGGTAATTCCTTCTACCTGCGGCAAAACCCCTAAATATATAATACGCACTCTCGATCCAACCTGCTCCGAAGAGAATCATTCAACTTGAATCCTTCTAGAACTAAACTATGTTAATCACAGAATGAAGACTATGCACAGGCACTGGTAGTGCAGAGAAAGGTAATATACACGAAAATACAAGGATGTGTAGTCATAGGTACAGGAAGAAAAGATTAGATCTTGCCCGCACCAGCGTTCTTGGGGACATTAGCCGCGGCTTGAGAAGCCGGGGTAGCAGGGGCAATCTTGAGGCCCTTGAAGTCACCAAAGAATGAAGTGTCCTTGAGAGGAGGAAGAGTGCCGGAGTTGGTGAGAGCATTGACTTCACAGGCGCGGCCAAGGGCAGAGCTGCACTGCTTGTTGGAGTTGGCATCAGGGGAGAAGAAAGCCCTGCCCTTGAAGTCGGCGACAATGCCCTTGACATCGGTGAAAACGTTGCCCTCAAAGATACCTCTGGCAGTGGCCTCACCTCCCTCGAGAGCGTGGCCAGTGTTACCGTCCCAGACATTGTTCACAGCGTGCAGGAGGGTGCCTCCACTCAGGGCAGGACTGCGGCCAGAGGTGTGGTAAATGTGGTTGTTCTGAAGAGTGATCTGGTCTCCCTTGCCAACCATCTCGAAGGTCCAGTAGTGGTATCCGTTGCATCCGGCCGAGAAGGGGCTGTCACCGTTGATAAAGTTGTTGGAGAGAGTCACACGCTTGCTGGTGTTGAAGCCGAAGACGTAGTGCTGACGTCCAATACGAGCGGTCTACCTGCTATTAGCACTTAGCTATAAGAGAGGACGATGAACATACCGTAACATGGTCAACCCAGATGAGATCAGCGCCATCGAAAGAGATAGCATCTCCACCCCACACATACTGAGGGTTCAGGTCAGTGATCTGGATGTTCTGGACGATGATGTTGGTAGCGCCACCACGGAATCTCAGACCCTTGCCCTTGATAACACCCTTGTTACCCACGCCGATAATAGTCTTGTGTGAGGCGACGTCGATGGGGGTCTTAGCAGCAGTGTCCCAGGTTCCTGTGGATTTGGCAGCCTTGCCGCAGTCGTCCTGGATAATCTTCTGGCATTTTGCGCCCTCACCCCAGTTGGCACACACGGTTCCCTTGGACGTACCCTCCGTTCCAGTGTAGTCGTATAACTTGTCAAGGACAATCACACGAGGGGAGGGATCGGCGAGCAACTTCTTGAGTTCGTTGATGTCTTTCGGGGTCTGGGGTGCCGCGTTACCACCACCGGTCACGCCAGAAGCGAAGCCTTGGGCGGCGCCGGAAACCTTTTGAGCGATGCCGAGCTGGGAAAGGCCCAAGAGGGCAGCGATAGTGACTGACAAGAGCTTCATGGCGAGTAAGAGGGTATTCAAATCTTGCTGATTTGAGGAACGATATCTGAGCAATGGCAGCCTTTTAAACCTCGCCCAATATTCCTAGACCAGAAGCAAAGTAGAGGATAACGCGGTGACAATGGAGAGGGAAATTAGGGAGCGGGTGGGTCCATGGGATGAAGGATGAGACAGTTTACAGTTCTAAACCTCCGTCCCTAAAGAAGCCAAGAGTAGGGATCATTCAGTTCCTGGAAACCCAGAAGCTTTAATTCTCCGATCCGATCTCCGACCTTCCACCGTTTCTCCACTAGTCGACTCTTGCTAGAACAACCCTGTCCGTATCTGTAAGGGGCGATAACAGCCATCTCCATCTCTTTACCCAACATGGGAGCATCTGTGGATCTAAAAGCAAGCACCAAGGGCTCGGATACCGTGTTAGAATGGTTCGGTTGAGAGCTAACGAAGCTCAGGGCACGGATGTGGATGCGCTTCCTCTATAACTGTTTCTCCACATTCCGGCTCCTCCGGCTTCCTATTACAACTACACTTAATCAGTAAACGGCATGATTAAAACCATATTGACACGGATTAACGATAAGACGATATTTCTCTAGCAACGGGCCATGGCCGGGAAAAGGAGGTCAACGGGGAAACAGAATTCAACAAGGTCAAGGAGGGTACTGCAAATCTTGGAATAACGGCGGGCACCTATTCTCGAAACTTTCTTCCAGAACACAGCCTCATATAGCCTATGTATAGTATTATAGGACTAGGTGGATAGACCAGTGGAATTCCAGCAAGATGGAACAAGAACCGTGGCGTGAGAGAAACTAGCTGTTAGGGTTATCATCAACTCAAAACACTAGTGGTGCCGATCGGTCCCGGTGCCGAGCGATAACAGGGTTCAGTCAGGGTCAGGCCCTATAAATCTTCTTTCTGTACTTTCGAATACCCACCGACTAGCTACCTGAGATGAGTGTTGGACACATTCTGAATTTTAATGCCACGTCTGCCGAGGATATGAACATAGAGATGCAAATCAATAGAATGCATGGCATATCACGACTGTATATTCCCGGCTCCAGAGGTTAGGTTCACCTAAGCACGCATAGTTCATTAAATATAAATTAAACGGAGCCTCGCATAGTGACGAACCAATCTCACCATTATATTATCCGCAAAGCCCAGTCCCGTTACGGAAGTTGTTGTACGGACCGTAGTGGAAAACGTCATCCCGTTAATCTGATACGTTGTAACTAAATTCATTGGGGCAAGTCGTAAAGAAGGTTGCCTATCCATCCCTGATATCTGAGACTAGCTTCCAAGTTTATGGCATGCTATACGGAAGAATTCCCCGTAACCTCTAGTGAAATCCCCGAGACAGGGGTGGTCTCCACTGTATCTAGAGTCATCTCCACCAGGGCCTACACTTAGATGGAAGAACCCTTCATGGCCACTTACGCGGTTTTTGGGGTTAGATGGTAACGGATTACATTATCACAGCATACATTTCCCCTCCTAAACCAACAGTTGAGGAGAATACTACCGTGTCCCCCAAGTTTATATAATTTTCACATGTATCTCGTATTCGTATTCGTGTTTTTTTTAGAGGTTTTTCTCGTGGCAGGAAGCGGCTTGAACTAGGAAAGAGAGCAACAGGAGTTCCTGAGTCAGGTTGCTCAAAATTTTGGGCCACGCCCCTTTCCATTTAGTCATCGGAGGATATCTTCTAGAGGGATTGTTTACAGTCAGACTAGTCAGGAATGGATGGAGACGGCATGTTCCGGGAAGGCGTTATCATGACTCGGCCCTAGGAGGGCTAAATGGACTCGGTTAAATTGTAAGAGCCACTATCTGATCACAGTTGCATGTCGAATATCTGCATTTAGATCCAAAGAGTTCGTTTCGGACGTTAACATCGCCCCTATCCGCTGTCCGTGAGGAGATATGCGATTGCTGACATCCATCCATAGCAGAATCGGTGATTATGGCCAATTATTATATTGAATTGAGGAATAAAGCAAAGCTTGAATATTGTCCCTTAGAATATTTTGGACAGTTCTTCATCCTGCTAAGTTTACAGTCAACAAGCACCATTGAGCTAACCTATCCTATGAAAGATGAAGATATCACAACAATATGAGGTCCCATTATCTAGCCCTGTTTACCGCCAGTATCAATGAACTGATCTGAACAAAAATGACTATACGGGAGTACATCTTACTCCTGGAGTCTATTCCAGAACTGCTGAATAAACCCCGCGACCTCCGGTACCCTTTCCCTAACCACTCCATGGCCTACCTGCTGCACAACCTCGACATTCTGCATTCCAAGCTCATGCAAATCTTGCACGCTACACAAGTCATCCAATTCGCCCAGACACATAGAGACTGAATCCCCGTCGTTGCCGCTTTCGCAAATTCGGCATGTTTATCAAAAACACCACCATCTCTAAATATGGCGACGACGCTAGCGGCATGCCCTGGATGTTCTTTCATTTCCCAGTTTCTCACAGCCTCTGCCACAACTTCACCTCGTGCAACCCTCTCCTTCCAATCTGAAGGCACAACTAACCGGCCGCCTTCCAGCACTTCCAAGATCCAATCTCGCGCCGCTTCTTCCACCCCCTCCCCACCACGCAGGTAAGATTTCTGTACCCCATCCAGCCCTGCGGTGCGGCGCAGACCTGCCGGCGCAACCAAAACCATCGATGCCACGCGTTGGGGGTGCGCCGCCGCGAAACTTGCCGTCGTGGAGCCGCCAAACGAATAGCCAATGAAATGGGCATCAGGCCATCCGAGGTGCACCATTAAGTTCTCCAATAGTCCATGGAAAAGAGCCGGGTCGTGCGCCACAAACGGTGTTTCCGTAAGTCCGTGGCCCCACAGGTCAACTAGGACACAGTGAGCCGATGGGAAACGCGATGACAGTGCGCTGGCTAAAGGCTGCAGGCCAATTGCGGGCGTCTGCACGCCATGGACAAGTAGCACCCGGGATACGAGCTTTTTCTCATCTGTGGCAGCGGGAAATGAGGGTGGTAGCTCGTAGTATGCTGCTTTGGCGTGGGGTGTTTGTAAATATGATGCCGATGGAAGCCGATTGCCGAAAGTTGCGACAAAGGCGGCTTCCGATGGGGCTGGGATGGGCTGTGCTGCGTTGCTGGATGGCGCCGCCCCGGGGCGGGGGAGGACGACTAAGGAGTTGGACATGGCGGGGATATGTTTTCGATGGTGGGGATGGTACTCATGAAGGTGGAGAGACATTCTACGATATTCTATCATATCGTTTTCTGCCCTCTGTGTCCGCCTTTGATTGAGGCTGTGCTAGATGGGTCTAGAACAATTACTTGTATAGAATGAGGTGCGGTAAGCACGAGTATTAACCATCAGAATATCAGGTTTGCTGATCATGGGACTGTTTTGAATCCTTATGGAAGATGGCTACGTGTAAACGATTGAGACCTAAAGAGACATATCGTCAAGATACAACATGGGGAATCGCGGTAAGACACGGTATCCGATTGTTTTTTGTATCTGTTGATTCGGATGTGGACGATAGGCATATTTCCTAGAGTCTGAGATCTATGTATGTACATACATACAAACCTCGCTGGTTCTCAGGTTCTCAGTCCCATGAGGTTCTCGTAGAAAGTTCCTCCCTCAGCCGTCCGTCCCGTTTACGACCTTCATCCACCTCTCCCTCAATAAATGAGCAGCTGCCTTTGGCCTCCGATCCCTAGTAAAAACACCCTTCTTATTTCCATCAACACGACTAACCCCCGCAGCGGTTTGAAAGTCCGCAAAATTCCAGACATGTTCACCTGCCATAGCATCGAACCGATCAAAGACTCGATGATACATATCCAGGATCCCCACTTGAAACTCCTCGCTCCACAGAACTGGCAGGACCGAGTGCAAGCCCGCCACTGTGTCTGCTCCATACTCCGTCATCACAATCGGTTTGTCGTATTTCTCGGTCCATCCGTCGAGCTCCTGCACTAGTGCGGCTTCGGCCTCGTCGAGCTGGCCGGTTTGGGTGTACCAACCAAAATATCGGTTTAGACACAGAACGTCAAAGAGGTCTGAGATACGGTCTGCCTGGTAGGTAGCAAGACCCACGTTGGCAAAGGTAACAGGCCGCGTCGGGTCCAACTGACGAGCCAGCTTCGGCAGAGGAGCGAAATATTCGCGAGCGCCGTCCTCGTTCGAAGCGGGCTCGTTAGCGATAGACCACATTACTACGCTGGGGTGGTTCTTATCGCGGTGGATAAGCTCACGGATAGCTTGGGCGTGTGCTTCGCGCGTCTTGTTGTTGATGCGGTCTGGGCTGAATGTCGCTGGTGGGTTGGATGTTTGGGCACCTGCTCCGATGGAGAATGCTAGACCCACGGCGGGTGTTTCATCGATCACAACGATGCCCTGTCGATCTGCATATTCCATAATCTCCTCCGCGTATGGGTAGTGTGAGGTGCGGAACGAGTTGGCTCCCATCCAGTGTAGGAGTTGGAAGTCGTGCACCATGTAGGCCTGGTCGTGACCTTTGCCGCGGATAGCAGTGTCCTCGTGTTTGCCGAACCCGGTGAAGTAGAAGGGCTTGTCATTGATGAGGAACTGCGTGCCCTGAACCTTCACCGTGCGGATACCCGTTGCTAGTTGGTATGTATCAATAGTTTTGTTGGAAGAGTCTACGATGCTGGCGTGGAATTGGTAGAGATACGCGGCCCCGGGCTGCCAGAGGTGGACGGATGGTATCTGGATGGTTCCATTCAACCCGGACGTTGTTGCTACAGTGGTGCCATCTTCATCTAGGACATCGATTTGGATCGTTCCACTTGATATACTGGCCACAACACTGTAGTCAATCACACCGGTGGTGCCTTGAACATCCGTCCGAACCGTGATATCCTGGATGTGCTGCGGTGGCACGGAATACAACCACACCGACCGAGCCAGACCGGCATAGTTATAAAAGTCATGCTGATATGTCTGTACCTTTTTACCCGTCGCCTCAAGAACTTCCACTTTCCCAGGCGGGATTGTCTGGTACGTCAGTTCGTTGTTGACGGCAATTGTCAGGCGGAATTGCGCTCCGGCAGAAACAAGGTCGGTGATATCCGCCTCAAATGGTGTGTATCCGCCCACATGCTCCGCCACTAGATGGTCATTGACGTAGATCCGGCCGTGATGTGTTGCAGCCTCGCTGCGCACCAAATACCGTTCTTCGGACCAGCCCTTGGGCACAATCACGTCGCGCTGGTAGTAGACCCACCCGACGTGATTGTGGATCTTGCTGTCCACAAAGATGTCATTGTAGGACGCTGGGACCGGACATTCAAGGTTGGTTTTTAGTGGGCCTGTCCACGGTTGTGGACTGTTGTCATCAGACCCCAGGGCAAATTTCCATAGTCCATCAAGCGACATGAGCTCTCGGGTCACCGTCTGCTGGGGCTTGAGCATGGCCTGGGAATAGTTTCCGCTAGCCAGGCCATCGCGCCGATCATGGGTATGTGTGTTTGTTGGGACAGACAAGGCAAGCGAAATAAAGGAAAGAAATCCTAGAGCTTTGAGAACCTGCATGGCGGATAGACTCTGTATAACCAAGCACCCCTGAGGTCGTCTATCATAGACTCACATACCAGATCCAGATACAGAGGTCATTTAAATAGCATCCTGACGTACTCGACGGCTATTGATATATGTCGGCGATTGACATCTTGAGGTCATTACCCGCTCATCGCTCACCGGATTGGCTGACGGTAAGCCAATACTTCGATATAGACTAAGACTCATTGCGGGGTACATTTAGGGCCTCTGGGGATAGGGTGGAATCACTCTGGCAGCGCAGCCAAGACTGCGGGGAGACACTAATGCGTCGGGATGTGGAGGTTGAATACCGATGATCATCACTCGGTTTCTAGCAAAGAAAGCGGAATATCGGCTCCAGAGACTTTAAAAGACCTATCTGGTCAACACGTAGGTTAATCCACAACACGGGCCATGTATGGAGGGGAAGCGATAGTAACGGATAGACGACGTTCTACGCGGGCAGTTTATATTATATCATATTTCAGAAGTAGTAATATGACGTACAAGTTGGATATCATAAGCTAAATTTCCGTATTTAATTTGAAATGGTCAGATCGACGGAATCATATCCCTATGTTGATGAGAGTTAATAGACTATCTATTTAGACATAGGAAACCTTTCTGCTAATCTGACCAATAATCAAAAGGCTTTTCTACATGCTCCACACGCGCTGCCCGATTGGCATTGGAGGTATGAATAGCATAGATACGTCTACCACTGTCGATATTGAAAGAAAGCCACCTTGTGAATATATGGCTATAAAGACCTTCCTGGCCAGGGAATCAGAATTGGGTTCATGATTGTGTTCAGGAGGCGGAATGCCATCAACCCAAATGGTGGCTGTGTAATGATCCTGAACAGGTCTGTATGGCTACGCAACCCTTTCAGCAAACGCAATTCCCACCTGCATTCCATTGGGTAGGTGTACTCTCAACCCATTTAAGCAAAAGTACGTATCAGAACCAGATCTTCAAGGAGGGAAACCGAGACACTAACAGAATTTGCGAGTTATGGTAATCCACCACGGTGTTGGTCCCGGAGACATTGTTACACATATATGAAGAGTTCACCTCCCAATGGACTCATTACTATTTGTGAAATAGAACGTTTTTCTCACTTAATTGGCGTACCGGTGGCCTGAATAATGGATATCGAGATTCCTTTGTGGTTGTAGTTGTATACATCCTAGGGGTGGTATTTGCTCTGTCCAATCTAGGTGTCAGGACCGTCATAAGAAAGCCATAATTTCCACAGCTTGCCCGTGTTCTACCATACACATAATTCCTGCCGACAAGCAGGGTTGATTGGTTTTGATATCTCAGAGGCAGTTTTGGCGGCAGCTGCTTCCAACACAGAATGCGCACGAGGCATGATGGAATTGATCACAAAAAGCGAAAAAGAAAAAAAAGAAAGAAAGAAAGAAAAAGAGAAAAAGGACACCCAATAACAGAACCCATCTTATGCTCATACAGTATTTGCTCACCTTGAATCCAGACATCCCTGTTACAGAAAGGGTACTTACTGGTATCGGCAGCATGAAATCGTCTATATGGCCATTCTGTGATTCAATATTTATGAGCACAACGAAGGCCTTCTCGTTACAGAAGATATTCCTGCATCTTAGTCCTATATATATTATACCTATTCCTTTGTAAATACTAAAACCAGGGTACAGACGCGTCTATTTGATTTAATAGTCATATTCTCGTGGACCGATTAATACTAAATAATGAGTAATTCGTAGAGCAAAAGATTCCTGTCAGCTAGGCGTAGGTAAGTGTAGGGTCATGTAGGAAGGATGAAATATACCAATTCCGAGGACTGGTCGAAAAGTATCTGCACTAACGATATGACAGGGCTTGGACTGCGCCAAGGCCTTCGAATTGAAATTTTGTTGTCCAGGGATAACTAAGACTTGATGCTTTAGAGGATGACAAAGACAAAGACGCCCTCGCCAGCGGATAAATAGGCATGTCACCCACGCTATTCTGGAGCTTCCTGCAATTCAGTTTGAGTCAAAGGATACGACTACCCTTTCAGTCATGGGCTCACCAAATGGCTCATTCCTTTCCTCCATTCGCCTCAGCCTGGTCATGGTTGCGCTGTGCCTTGCTGTATTCCTGACCGGATGGTAAGCCGCCCATCCCCCTAAAATTGGCTGACATGGCTGAAATTGACATGACACCTTGAAGGACCAAACGGTTCTCGCGACAGTGACCCCGACACTGACGACCGAGTTCCACAGTATTGACGACATGGGCTGGTGGACCGCCGCTTACCTGACCATGCTCAGCGTATTCCAGATTCCATATGGCAAGCTCTACAGCCTGTTCTCAATTAAGATCGTCTATCTATCAGCAATCGGCATCTTTGAATTAGGCTCCCTTGTATGTGCCACCGCACCTAACTCCATCGCCATGATTTTCGGTCGCGCGATTGCCGGCGCTGGGGCGGCTGGTATTTTTACCGGGGGGATTATGATCACCACAAAGATCATCCCGCTCGATCGCCGTGCGTCCTACCTTGGGATCATGTCGGCTGCCTTTGGTGTTGCTGCCATTGTAGGACCATTCGTCGGAGGCGCGTTTACAGACAGGTCTACATGGCGATGGTGCTTCTACATCAACCTACCATTAGGCGGGCTAAGTATATTGGTATGTTTTTTGCTCGTGAATACGCCGGTGGACTCCTCCATTGCATCACTGTCATTCCAGGCTCGAGTCCGCCAGTTTGATTTCTTTGGGATGGTCAGCTTGATGGGTGGTATCGTTTGCTTGCTCCTTGCACTCCAGTGGGGCGGCACCCAATACCCCTGGAATAGTGGAAGGATTATTGCATTATTGGTGGTGGCAGTACTCCTTATGCTGTCTTTTGTTCTCCTTCAGATATTCGTTCCCGGGTCAAAAACCATCCCCCGCAGTGTGTCGAAACATGCGTCGGTGTGGCATGCCGTAGGGTACGCGATGTGTATCACGGGAGGAATCTACGTCGCCATAGTCTACATTCCAGTGTGGGTGCAGGCGGTGCAACACAAATCAGCCCTGGGCTCGGGGGTTATGCTGACTCCATTGATCGTGGGCTACGTCGTATTCTCGGTGATTGCTGGAGTCCTCACGTCCGGGTTGGGTTATTACAACCCACCAATGATCCTGGGGACTATCCTGGCAAGTGTTGGTGCTGGCCTATTATCGACCTTATCAACGAGTACCACCAACGGGCGCTTGATTGGGTACCAGCACTGTACGGCATTGGGGTTGGGCTGGGGTTTGGCCAACCTAGCTACGTGGTGCAAACCGTGTTGTCCGAGACAGATATCCCAATTGGGGTGACATTGGTTACCCTTGTCCAGCACTTGAGCTCGGCTATCTTTGTCGCCGTAGCCCAGGGTGTCTTCCAGAATACCCTTGCACATACGGTGCGGTCACTCGCGCCAGGCGTTGACCCTTCGAAACTTGCAAAGCTGGGCGCGACGCAACTGGGTCAGTTCGTCAACGAGCAAGACATGCCACACGTCTTGGAGGCGTACAGCACCGCAATTGCCAGGACTCTCTACATCCCGATGGCCCTCAGCTGTGCATCCGTGCTCGGGGCCTGTCTGACACCATGGATCTCCATGAAAAAGGCCAAGCCACAGCCAACAGACCAACAGCTGACGAGACACCAGCTGATAAGTGGTGGGACGCAGGAAAAAGACGGCGGCACATCAGGGGTTCACGAAGCCTAGATTCGCTCTCTATGTCGATCACTTCTTTGTTGCGGCGTTAGACTAAATTTCCGTTTCTTTATTCCTACAGCTTTATGTGTCTTGGCCTGCCTTCCCATGGGAGCACCGTCTCTCCATCCCTGTATTCACCCCCTGCCGGCCTCCACATAATCCACACGGGGTGCGCCTGGATCTCGTGAATCAATCTCCTCCCTTGCGCGCTCCGCCGTTGATCCTCAGAAAAGCTCATGCGTGGTCGCGCGATAGCCACGAACCCATACTTTTGATACAGCGCGACCGCCATCTCCGTAGCCTCGAGGTAGCCTTCCATCCCCAGCGCATCCATATGGCGGACAAACTCGTCCATAATAAGCTCCGTCGCGCCCAGCGAGCGATACTCGGGCAGTGCCCAGAGCGCATTCCCACCTGTGCTCACGTCAATCGACAAAGCAAGTAAAATAGACATAGTACTAGGGAGAGAAGAAGAAGACATACAAACATGTCTATCTCCCATCATCCTCCCCCTCCATGCCCATAACTGTGCATAGAACTCCTCGGCCAACAACCTCATCTCACTCCCCTCTGGAAACCACGTCGCCTCCATCCTCGGTGCCCCCGCGCGGTATGGATTATGGTGATGCACGTGATACATTCCTCCCGCGACAATCTGCCCCGATTTGGTATCGTAGCATTTCAACCAGACGATGTTGGGGTCGGATTCCGCGGCTTGACGTAAGGAGCTTTTCACAGCCGCAAGGGCTGCTGCTTCAGCTTGGCTGCCTTCCCCCAGGTGGGCAAAGGTCAGTTCGCCGACGGCTTGGAGGGGAGAGCTCCACGCAGTCCAGTAGGTGGTTATGAGCTCGTCCCAGTCCTTGGTTAGATCTGCGCGCGAGACAATGAGGGGCATTGTGGTTTGGGTATGTATCCTATGGGTTGTATCCTGTTGACAGCCGTATTGTATCCTTCGGATGAAATAACAGCTGTGCCTATGGTCAAAGAAAAGTGCGTGTCACATTTCTAGCAACTGATCCTGGATACGGGCAAAGATATATGAGGTATCTCAAGCAAAAACAAAACACATACATGGCAAGTCCAAAAAAAAAAAAAAAACATATCCAAAAGTCTCCTAGCTGTGGCTTGTCAATCTAAACCATCGCTCTTGGCTCCAGGATAACGACCGAGCTTGACTTATTTCCATCCACCGACGTTGCCCCAGTCCCACCCTGGGACGTCTGGTCGCCTGTGGATCCAAGCTTTCGACTCCATCGACCCGAAAAGCCTTTCCGGCCTTCACGTAGGAGCCAGCCTCGTGCGGAGTAAACTACTGGACGGAGAGTCGGTAAGCACGCGGCGATCAAACCCAGACTGGCTTCCAGCATGCTCCACCAGAGCATCGTGGTCACGGTTTCTAGCACGTTAGATACGTCCTCTATGAGGTAAGGGGAAACTCACGGTCAGGGTCGTATCCAGCCTCATACCCGACCTCAAAGACAATCAGGTAAACGGCCAGTCTCACGACAGAGGCTGACAGCGCCTGATGGGAAATTGGGTCAGTGGTGGGCTACACCCCGGATTCAGAAAGGGAGCCCTTACATCAACCCCACCCCGAAAATACAACTTAGCGCAATCTTCCGTCTCACAGACATCTGGAGCGTCCATATCTGCATGTCATTGTGAGTACAACTGACATCATCCCAGATGATCAACTCATACCTTTGGAAAGGGCAGGAGCAGGATGGCCAAATCAGTGATGAGGTCTGAGATGACCAGGGCCGATTCGGCGGCAAGGGGGTCCCCACAGTGCTCCCTTACTTCCTGGATAGCGCCCAATGGAGGTAGACTTTCGTCTTGCAGCCGAATAAAAACAAGAGGAAGAATGCCACGGCCCACACCACCGTTACGGCGAGGCATATGTTGGAGATGATGGCGAATCGGGACTTCTTGTTCGAGACGAAGATACGGCGATAGAAGAGGACGATGCTTGCTTTGATGAAGCCGTACGCTGCGATCATGAAGAGTTGGAAGTAGAATTCAATCTTGGCTTCGATTTCGTAGGCGCGATTGTACTTCGCTAATGCCTTTTTAGGATCGTCGCTTATGGGGTAGGGTGTAGGGTACCCCATTACGTGGACGGAGTAGCCTTGCAGATGTTAATGGGCAATTTCCACATCGGCCGTGAAGTGCTCGTACTAACCATAAATGAAGCATATGCCCATTCCAGTTACCATGATCTGAGTCATTGAAGGCGTGTCAGCAGACATGCCTTATCTGCATCGTAAGGGAGGGGAAGATACCGCTGCGGGCACGAGTAGCCAGTCGTCCAGACCCAGGCAAACCTTTTGCCTGGCTCGAGCAAGGAAGCGAAGCGTCACACACGCGAGGCAGGCAATGGGGAGGGCAACGCCGGCTGCCAGCACTTCGCCGGCTGAAGCCAGCCGAAACGGGAGGTGCGTCCAGTGTGGACTCGATGCCATGGTGGACCTCTTGGGGTGGATCGAATGGACCTTGGGGTATCTGCAGGTTTGTGAGTTGTAAAGCTTTTCGTGAAGACACATGCTGCCTTCCTCGAAGCGCTTATATGTTCCCTGCCCTCTCGTGTCCAGGTCTGGAATATTTTCCATAAGCAAGGATGAGGCTGACATGGTGCATGACTATGGACTGTGTATCACAACTGGATTGTTGCTTTGACTTTGGTGTCCAGAATGTCCAGTCAGCCTCGTGTAATTGTAGAGCACATGCATAACTGAAGACTGAGCCATGAGGCGGGGTCCAGAGTGGGCCTGACGATGAAAAATGAGGCCCACGTTCTCATCCGTTCTGGTGATCCTGTAAGCCCTCGCCGTTATTTTTGCCTCAGTAGATTGATCTTTATGACGGGTGACTACCGTCGTTAAGCCCCGCCTGCCACCTAACCCTTGCAATACTATAGCGGAGCAACCGAAAATGGGACAGACAGACGATGAGGACTATGAACTTCTCCCTCCACGACATCGTGCTCCAAAGTCATGGGAAACACGAGGACAAACGGGATTTCTAGCACGGTTAGAGACCCACTTTCTACTTGGACTGCTCCTTCTTTCCGTATTGTTCAATGCTATGTTGGTGCTTGGTTGGATATCAAGTAGAGATGAATTATCTGGACCTACGGAGCCCGTCTGGGCTAGTTCTCATTTCCGACGGGAAGAGGCGAAAGGTGGATTCACGAGAGAAGACACAATGTGGTGGAATACCAACTACAGCGGTGAAAACGAGAGTGAAGTGAGTGATCTCTGGCATAATGACATTCCATGGGAAAGCGGGATCATCGCAATCAACAAACAAGAGGCAAGTGTGTTGGGGTTGCCCGAGTCACAGTCTTTCCCATGGGACGTAACGAAAGGGATCTATATCCTCAATGCGCATCATATCCTCCATTGCATTGTAAGTCATCCATTATTCCTAATGAAATCTCACTCATTGAGAGAATTTAGCGCAATCTATACATCTCCATCGAGGAATACCGTTACAATCGTTCTCAGAGTGTTACCTATCCCCATATCTTGCACTGTCTAGACAGTATCCGGGTGGAGACCATGTGTGCGGGCGATGACACCCTGCGATACATTCCGTTGAATAATGTCTCTGGATTCAAGCCTGGCGATGGACAGAAGCGCATGTGCCGTGACTGGCATCGAATGCAGTCCTTCGTGGAGAAGCATGACCCATGCTATCGGTATGTTTTTCCCGGGGATGACACAGTGTCTAATTTGGAACGATTCAAATATTGCCCTAATGATTCTCCCTATCTACCCAAGATTCGAGAGTACTTTGGCTATGGGGACGAATGGTTACCATTTCCATAGCAGACGTTGCGTTTAGATTAAATTGGGCATAGCTTCGCTTAAAGTTCACATTCCATAAATCATGATGATATCCGTAACCATATTCAAATTCCAAATGTCATAGCTTCTCCCGGCGGTACCCTATTTCATCCTCTTCAGGACAGCTCCACATCACAGGCAACAGTTCTTGGGCTCGATGACGGCCATGTCGGGGTTTGCATTGGGCTCGGCCACGGGGGCTGGGATTGGATTGGCCATTGCGGTGGCCACAACCAAGTAGAGGACGCAGTGAAGGAAGTGCATGTTTGAAACTCCTTTTTGATCTGAGAGTGACTGGACGTTAGTGGACCGTTTCTCGTTATGATACATCATTGAAAGGAACTACCGAACCTGATCGACTTAATTATAAAAGCCTTGGTGTGGATTTAATGGTTTTCTGCTTTGGATGGTCCTATCTATGTCTCCAGATACACTCTATATATGTAGAAATCTCCACTACATTCGTTCTCATCACCTTCATGACTCGTTCTCCTATCAGATGATCATTCCTTCAGCAAGGATGGAGACCCACTGCAGCTTCCTTCCTCGTGTTTTTGACTTTGATTTTTATTTAGAATCATATTATTTACTTGGACCTCCTCTTTTCCCGGCCGATGCCTCGTTGGCCGCATTTCTATTTTTATTGGACTCCCATTCCTGGGTTGTTGCAGGAGGTGAGAACTAGGGCACGCCGTTTGTTTGTCTGTATTCTGTGGGGCTTTTCTGTATGGAAACCCAGTTGTCTTGTAAACTATGTCTCCGCAGCCAGTCAAGAGATCATCGTTGTGCAGGCGGTCGGGTAAAACACATTCACCACCATTCAAGGTGTTCCCCTCCCTGCAAGCTACGTGTAACGGGTATCGTTGCCTAAATGCCTCACTGGGCATACATAACAAACACCTACGGCTCCTCCTCCTCATCCCACTTCTTACCTTTAACTCTCCACGTCAACAAGCACCCCAGAAAGCATATCCAATCCCTCGCGATATCTCCACACTATGGACTCAGTAGTAGATGTCCTGATTGCCGGTGGCGGTCCAGCAGGTCTCACCGCAGCCCTCACGCTGGCCCGCCAACTCCATACAGCAGTCCTCTTCGACAACCGAAGCTATCGCAATGCGAACGTCTCCCACATGCACATGATCCCAACCTGGGACCATAGAAATCCAGCTGAATTCCGCGCTGAAGCTCGCGACGAAGTTCTGAACCACTATGACACTATTAAGATCGAGGACGTGGACCTCAAAACAGCGGAGAAGACAAGCGACGGACTTTTCCAACTCGTCGATGCCAACGACAAGGTCTGGAAAGGAAGAAAGCTGATCATTACCACCGGCTCAGAGAATGTCTTCCCTGAAATTCCCGGATACGAAGCAGCGTGGGGTCAGAGAATGTATGCATCTTCATGATGAACCCACTTTTTCTTCCAAGATCGTTCAATCTAGCTAACACGGTTCAGTTACCACTGCCTCTTCTGTAAAGGGTACGAAGACCGCAACACGGACAGTGCCGGCGTCCTCGCCATCCAATCCGCCGGCAATGTACCCATGGCAATGCATCAGACTGAATCGGCTGCCCAGCTCGCGCGAAAGGTGACCATCTACACCCATGGAGCAGAGGAACTCGGCGCGCAGATTCTATCGACCCTAACCGACAAGGACAAGACCCGCATCACGGTCAACAACACTCCGATTAAGAAGCTCACTCATACCAGCTCCTCTGTTCACCTAGAGCTCGCGGACGGCACGACCAAGGAAGAAACCTTCCTGGTCCATAGCCCCAATACCACTGTCAAGGGCCCGCTTGCAAGTCAGCTTGGTCTGGAGCTTACCCCCATGGGCGACATCAATGCCGCACCACCTATGCACCAGACCAGCGTGCGCGGAGTCTTTGCGGCCGGGGACTGCATCACTCCGTACAAGGTTATCGCGGGCGCGATTTCGAGTGGCTGTAATGCGGCAGTAGCTGCTTCGGCACAGTTATTGGCGGAGAAGCATGGCCATCAGCCGCTGTTTTAATTGCCTTGTAATGAGTCTTGAGGAAAGGTATTCATTGCAAACAATACCCATTACGATGAACCCCATTTCCCGTGAAGCGGTTTCTTTTCGCCAAGCGTTAGCATATCTTTCCAATCCGGTGCCTCTGTCGCATCGTCGTCAGGATACTACTGTGTATGTTCATCGCGGGCGACGAACAGCCTGGTGGGCGGTTAGCGATTGGCCGAATAGTATGTGACTAGAATGACCTGAAAGTTCGACAATCTTAGGTTTTCAATGAAATGGGAGTCCAATAAATAACAGACATTATGAAAGTAATTAGGTCAACACATAGTAGAGTTAAAATAATAGTAACTTACAGTAAGAGTCAGCAAGAATACTTTCGTCATGTGGTGAAAGCCATTGCTTAGGTGGACGTTGTCTCTTGATATGACGGGGAAATATATAACAACCCTAGCTCTAGTTTACTCGTCTATTATTCTGACAAAACCCCCAATTCAAGGTAGTGATCATATCTCTATGCACTTTTATAATATATAAGAGTAAAGTTGCATATTTCACGATTTATTTCTGTATAACCCCGAAAAGACAATCGAGATTGATAGGTACTGCTATTCAACAGGGTAACTCGAGTCTACTTCTCGGCGCGGTCGCAACCTTTTGGGAGGAATTTATCTTCTTGGTTTATATATGCAATAAGATGAAATAGTTTTCAACAAGGCCGGCTGGCCCAATGGCAAGGCGCTTGACTACGAATCAAGAGATTGCAGGTTCGATCCCTGCGTCGGTCATCTCTTTTTGGTTTTTTTTTTTTCGCCCCGCCAGCAAAGTCATCTTGTTGGACCCACTACCCGAACCATGCCTGAGGTAAGGGTGAGTGGAGTCGACCCATGCTGGCCCATCTTCCTGCTCCTTCCTTTTCCTTTTCTTGTCACTTATCTCATAAATGTCGCATGGTGGATATCCATGTGACTATACAGCTTCTCCCAGAGAGACACAGGCTAGGCAACATTGGTATCAACATTATCCCAATCTACATGGGCTTTTTACACCCAAAGTCTCACTGGCTTTGCTCTACCGCATTTAGCTCGATGTTCCATGTCCAACAGAAGCTGAGGCCCAAAGTTGTGCCGTTTTAGGCATTATTATGGCTTTGACCCCGGCTTTTTCGGAGCCGTTGTTCTGGTCTGGCCATAACATCGATAAAAGTTAGACGAACACTAGAGACTTCTTACGTCAATAGAAGCTGTTCACAACAAATTCAAAATGCTATTGGCCGCTTTCTATGTCTCACGGTAGGGTATGTGTTTGACGAAGAGTGGCGGGCGTACAATGCTGTCTGGACATGACAAGAAGGGCAAGATGAGGCAAGGATTGCCACGACGGAAAATGCAAAAAGCAAGAACACAACTACCTGATAATGCTACTGGCTATGTTCGGATAGATGGCTGAGCCGATCCTTTACCCAGGTGGAGCAACATACGAGACGGCAAATTATACACAACGGAAACCGGCCCCAGTGAATAGCAGAACACTGAATACAGCTGCAACGGAAAGGTGTAGGAATCCAAGAGGTACGGCATCACACCATGTTAACAACGGAAGAAGCATATGACAAGATCGTCTTGCCAAGCTCTTCAGGTCGCTTCAAGCTGGTGAAAGTGACAGAGATAGAGCGGTTGGATCTCTGCGCAATGGCCGAGAATGTGTTATAGAGATAATCCCTGACATCATCTACTGACTGGGGCTCTCCACTAAACATCCCCCAGTTGTCAAAGATGGTGCTGTCGAACGGTACCGTCCTCAGCTTCTGTTCAAGTTTATCCACTTTATGAATAAACAGAACTATCTCCGCGTGGCTGAGCTTTGCAGCCGAGCATACGCTGTCGAACAGCGTCAACTCTTCCGCCAGACGATTTGCATGATTATCTTCCGTTAACGTCTGGTCGTACGATCCTGCATCAACAAAATACAGGACCTTTGTTGCTCCATCAAATATGCGGCCCCATTTCTTTCTTTCACCGCGACTCCCCGAGGCATCACAGAAAATCACCTCCGACGGCCCGTTGGTATACCGCGCCAAGGTGATGCCTGTGGATCTCGTGTAGCACCACATTGTATCCTCTAAGGTGGGCATGTAATCTGGTTCAGTGATGCGTTCGACCGAGTTTAACAGGCTGCTTGATCAGTTGGCTTGTCATTCTGCTGCTGGGGATCGAGGGACCGAAGAACGTACTATTCAGCCCCATCATCTATAGCCTCAAGTCTCACCTCACCTAGGAGGCCACATTTCTGTATATACCCCCATATGTCTCTCATATCCCTGCGTACTTCGGCCATTCTGCCTTGTCGCTGCGGGATAGACATCTCATGTAACGTTTCCAGTAGCCGAGTGACAGAGTCAGAGGTACTACGCATCACTGCGTATTCCTCATCAACACTATCTCCGGTACAAAGTCGTTCTCCTACTTCTAGGAGCTGGCGCAGCTGACTGTTGAGTGACTCTAGGATAGTAAGTCTAGACTGAAAGAGCTGAGACATGTCTGAGGGACACCCAACAAGGAGATTTAGCACGTTCAATGCCGTGGACTTGCCGCTTTTGGAGGAGCCGAGAAGGAGGACTCTTTGAGAGACAGGTTCCACGCGAGCGGTTTCCACAATACTATCTGCGGAAGAAGGATAGGGTGATGCCTCTCCACCCCATAGGTTCCACAGAGCTATTGACGAGAGCCACTGGCTACTTTTCTTCGCTTGTCTCACACTAACAAGACTCGTAGCCCGGCTGCGTTGCCTAGAAAGAAGCATGCTTGAGACCAAGCTGGGAGCAGTACGGGGCCGACTTAGTCCTTCTCTCAAGCTCCATGCTCGCCCTGTATTAATGCTGTGGGTGGGGTGTCTTTGATTCGGATTGTATTCCGTAGGCCTCCAAATGATGCTAGCTTCTTCATCACTCATAATGGAAAATGCTCTCTCCGTAGCGTTGTCGTCGGGGACTACACTAGCCTCTTTATAGGAAGGCTTTACGGTGGTCCCTTTGAGCGCATGTACCATGGTCGATCTGGCTGCGGAGCAATAAACCCTCGAGCTGAATAGGTCCGAGTCGAAGGCGAATCTTGTTTCGATTAAACTCAAGTCTTCTGCAACGATGCTTTTCTTCGTCATCTCCGAGTCCGAGTCTCTTAACCAAAGCAAAGAGGAGGTATCATCTTTAATTCGGTTGAAGACAACCCGGGTCTCAGATCTCTGCAGAAAAAGGCTCTGTTCGATAATAGACTTGCTAAACAGGGATTAGCGAAATGACCATGCTGTTTCACGGTCGCAACCTACCACTGAAGCGCGGTTAAGAGAAGATTCAAGGCATTGACCTGATTGTTCAACAGGGATTGGAAATCAGTCGTCTCTTTCTCGTGCCACAAAATGCTGGTTTTATCCCGCATCGTGAGATGATCCTCCTGCATCCGAGACAGTCGCTGGTCCAGAAGTGACATAATCGCCTCACAGCAGCTTAGCGACGTTGTGATGTCGGCCGAAATTTGTGGGTCTTCTCCAATGCGGCTCCCTGGATCGAGAAGATCGAGCACTTCTTTGATTTGGCCAAGGGCGGCCTTCAGAGTCGATAACTGCCCAATAAGGATTCTTGCTCTGAGACCGATGCTCGTATAGCGGCCTTGCAAGTCGGTTAGGGTCTTGATGCTTCGGGTCGCCAGATCGATGATCCCAAGTATCGAGCCGACTGCACCGACTATGGATAACGGATCCATCTTTAGGGAAGTAGATAGCGTGAACTGCTGCAATCATGTCCTACTGTCTCACATTGTCAGGGCTCATCTTGAAGGCGGCACCGAGGGGTGGTTAACGGTGGTGGTTAGTGGGGGACGGTCAGCCGTGCCAGCTGGCAAACAGAAACGAGGCTGTGCTGATCTCAGCCTCGCTCATCAGAAAAAGCAAAGAAAGGTCCTTGGACACCTGGCAGAATACCGTTATTTTCATATTGCTAGATATTCTAGTGAACCTATTCTCCGAGTAGATATGGTTTGCCATCTACCTTCTCGGATGTACTGCACAGTAATGACTAGATTGAGTGGCTCCCTGGAGCGGGTTGTCCTTGTAAAGCTAAGGCAGGGGTTCGGTAGGGCTTATCGAGAGGCAGACTACGGGTGAGGCTATATACTCGTAAGTTGACAAGACTTGCCTCCACGTGAATATCCATAGCTGGATGACAGTGAGGTGGAATGGGCAGAGTCCGCCATGCTGGTTGGAATGACGCCAGAGAAATCGTACAGGTAACAAAAAGGAAATGAAAGGACGATGGGAAGAGAAGAGTAAGGACTACGAGGATATGATAAAGAAGAGGAGAAGGTAATAAGAAGAGAAAAATATGAGATGATAGAGAACGAAAAAACAAGGGACGAGGAGAGAAAGACAAGAAAAGTCCACACCGAATTTCCATCCCGTTAAGACGGGCAATATCAGGAAGAGCCCCCCACGGAGTCAGTACTTTATCCGGACCCTAGAATCCGCATGCCCAGAGTTTGTCGAACTAGCCTTGTCTCTCATGTGGTCCGTCTTCTCATCGGGGGACCATGGATTAAGTTCTCCCCATCAGGCATAGGACGACAAAGTGCGTTACCTTTGGATACAAGGCAGGTAAATGGTGGTGACGCAACAAGTTTTACTAAGGATGGATATATACAAACCAGTACTTTGGCGTTACTGCCTTGGTTAAGAGACCACTCGGCTTGCTGAGGTTCGTGAAGCTCCATAGCCTCAGGATCAAACCGGCCCTTTAATCGTACAAAGTGGTAGATACTTTGCTGTTCCTGCAGGAACCCTGCTAAATCGATCCCACTGTCAACGAGGCCATGCAGAACACGTCGTATCTCAGATGAACTATCGCGGATCATGAAAAGCGACATAGCTCACCCAAGATCCGTTCTTTGGTAAGATCCTTAGCTTCAGGGGCAGACTTGGAACGCGCTATGTAAAGAACGGTCCTGAGTTGCCATTCCTCTGCATCCTTTAAGCTAGCTCCGGAGTCTAACGTTGATATCTCTGGTTACATTCCGCGCAAAAATCCAGTTAAGCTTGTCATACCTTGGTCAGATATAGGATCCATTTTGATTCTCGAGGGTAACCATTGGAATATGCTTTTGAAGGCGGCATTCCCATCTGGAGAAATGCTGGCTGAGATATTTCACGGTGAAAAGGCCCATCTCTCAAAAGCAAGAAATACGAGTAAGGCCACACTGGATCGGTACAGCGCTTTGCTGACAATATCCAAGTCTAGCGGCAATTCTTACTTCTATATCTCACATTGACTTAGTCCGCTGAAGTACCAAACTTTCTGCCACTAGGTGCGGTAGGTAAAAAATGACGGGAGAGGACAACACTCTTATCGTGAGTATATCTAGAATGGCTATCAGAAAATACTCAGATCTTTTGGTGAAAGATATCAGCTAACCTATCGACACCTTACAGATTGCCATAGAGTTTGGAACGACATACTCGGGCATTGGGTACATACATACGGCTGCAGGGCGTGTACCTAGTAGACAGGCAAGTATAAGAACTCGGGCGAAGGAAACTCGCTAATGTTAACACTAGGATCTTCTAACCCACTGGCCGCTGAGAAATGCGACAAGCGAAAAGGCACCAACGTCAGTAACGACTGCGTCCACTATGGATACAAACTATATCTGAATATCTTATCTAGCGAGATACTTTACGATGGCAATAAACACACGATTGAATGGGGATTTCAGGCCCAAGGCAACATTAGGGCCTTGAAATATTTTACATTGTGAGTAAGAAACGGGCTTTTATTCACAAAAGCAATACTGACACATCTTTTGCGATAAAGGGAGCTGGATCCGAAAGCCAGAGCCAAGCTCAAGGCACTACGATCCGACACTGAATCCTCCCGATCCTTCGTGAGGAATCACGGACCTAGGAGTGCAGTTGTCGGGGAATATGAACCAAATCGCGATGCCAAGGATGTTTGTACAGATTACCTCCAGGCTATCTACCTGGCTGCCCTAGAGCAGATCAACAACCTATGGGTTCCAGGTGGGTCCACCAATGACCTAGGTCGTCTGGGATTAGCTCAGTCCTTCACTATATATCGTCAGAAAAGCCCCTAAAAGGTTCATTTTGACTGTCCCGGCTATCTGGACCGATCCAGCGAAAAATGCCACAAAGCAAGGTGCTAGGAGTGCTTTTGGCCAACGTGCCGATATTGAACTAATTGCAGAGCCACAGGCTGCGGCGATACATACCCTTAGTCAAGCGCACATGATACAGTCGGTTCGGGCGGGAAATCACTACATCATCTGCGATGCTGGTGGTGGCACAGTAGACCTGATCACCTACTGCGTCAAGAGAAAAGAGCCTTTGGAATTAGTTGAAAGCATCCCTGGGACTGAGGAAGCCTGTGGATCGATCTTCCTAAACCGCGCATTTGAAGACTTCCTAAAGGTAAGACTGGGGAGGTACTATACCGGCCGTAGGACTGAAACGCTGGAGAAATGGCTGCGCGATGTAAGTTTAAAGCCACCACTATATTGAACAGCACTCTAACAAACTGAACAAGGCGCGCCGGCGTTTCGATGTCGAGGGACGTCTGAAAATCGAAGCTTGTGTTGGCCCTCACTCAAAGCAGTAGATCAAACAACAGTTTACTGGGAGTCCGGACGATAGGTGGGAAATTTATCGTATGACTTTTCAACCGAGAACCGCTCTGCGTAGACCAGTTGACTGAATCTCAATAGTTCCACCGGAGTTGTACGGGGCCCGAATCCATGGCACGGAGGAAACCTGTCTGATCATTACTGGACGTGACGTTGCTCGGATGTTCGACCCCACTATCGTTAGGGTACTCAGTCTCATCAGTGACCAGGTCACAACTCTCATCCACCGGAGGCGTCACTGTCCTGAATTGGGAATTGTGATGGTTGGTGGATTTGGCCGAAGTGGCTACCTATACAAGCGAGTGAAGCACAAGTTTGAGCATCTAGCCACAGTCACGCGGCCCCCTGACGCGTAAGCATAGAGCTGAATGTATATCGCATAGGCAGCATGCTAATTGAAACTTATTAGATGGGCATCGATAGCCTTAGGAGCTCTATGCTGGGGAATGAACCATGAGACCGTTACGGCGAGAAAGCTACCACGGTGTTACGGCCAACAGGTCTATGTGAAATACAATCCCAATTGTGGATACCCAAGGTAAGTTTTCCCGCGAGCGAGTGTATCCTAACATGGGTGAGCAGAACATTAATCCCATAGTGTGCCCCACCCTGTCACTGGTGAACCCTCTCATGAGGCCATGCAATGGTTCGTTGAGGCGGTATGTCTCCAGCAGTCTCAAGACTTATCCCTAGCTCCCTCGGACTAAAATGAATATTATCTGAGTCAGGGTACGGAAGTGTCCGTTGACCAACCTTGGGAATTCCTGTTGGTAGCTTATTGTGACCCATCGATGGACGCAAAGTTGACAATATCTCTCTTGGCGTGGAGCCTTCACGTGAAGGGGGGAGCCACCAAATGTTCGCACTAAAGGTATGGCTTACAGCGAATATTATGCCTAAGATGTCTGATTGAGTTGATTAGAGCTACGAAGTGGGGTACATGACCATTGATCTAACAGAGCCGCGGAGAAGCGGCCCGGCTCCTTGCCTCAGGTCAGATGGAAAAGGTTCCTACCAAAAGCTAGATTTTAGGATGTGGCTGCTGTTTGGGAGTGAGATTGTTTTCCGAGCTGAATTTGAGGGTGAGTCTACCTGCCCAGCTGACCTAAGGCAGAATCATGACGTGAATTCTAGGCACCTCGCAGGACGCGCGGGCTAATTACACAAATTAAGCAAGGCTCACCTCGTTCTCTCTATGGCACATTGTTTTGACACCTTTGATTAGCTCTGCTACATACATAATGTGACTGATTACGCCCTGCGAAAGTATCCTGAGTCATGCAAGCTCAATAGGATCAAGAGTACTCTAAACTGTGACCAATAAAACGCAAAGTGATGGTACTATGTAGCTGCACTAGCTCCACCTACGGCTCTCATAACCCCACTACTGGCACACGGCCTATTGTAGTCCTAATACCAACAACAGGCTCGGCATAACGCGGGGACTGTGGACTTGGAGAAGGGTCTGACGGTATTAGGGAAGGTGGTGACACAGAAGGGCGCCTGGAACGTCCCTTTCGCGGCTCCATCTGTCGCGCCAATCTCGGTACCACGAAATTCATCCAACAGACGCAGCATATCAGCAGAACGGCACCCGCTACGCCAAGCCCTATTCCCAGTGACTCTGCTGCATTGAGCCCGCTGACGAGTATCAGTAATGAATTCAGGAGTGTCATGCACAGGAAAACGAAAGCATACCTCGAGCGACGCTGTAGGGAGACAGATCTTGGAATGATGTCGTATTGGCTAGATAGCTGAATGGGGGACAATGGAGGCATTGAACGTTATTACCCATCAAGCTCCTGTGCCACAGCTATCGTGTTATCCAAACAACACGTGTGGGCTTTATGTCATGAGATGAAGAATTAAGCAGCTTATCGTTTCAGCTGGATTGTTTATCTATTCTTGGGGAAAGCGCGTGATATATATGAGATTCTTGGATCTGATAACTTGAAAAAACCCTGTCACAATATGTTTTGCTATGTACGACGACCTAACCTCCGTGGAAATCCCACTGATGCGGCTGATGCATGGTAGCAAGCCCACAGTGGTGATTTCTAAATGTATATAAGGTCGAACGTTCTTTCGCATCTGATGGACAATCACTTTCACAACAGCGTGGCCAGCCTCTAGTTTGTTGCATAGAGGACTAGTCTCGGGGGTATGAAAAATGAAGGAATATACATTTACACCCTCATTCCATTCCCAGCCTCAGGCTACGTTGCCTTCCAATTGGGCCCAGCCCAGATGTGCATCCATGTGATCACAATAAACCTGATATGTGAGCCAGCCACGATTACTCGTCCAGCCTACGGGTACAGGGTCCTACCGGGTATGACAGCACTCAAATGGCAACAAGAGTAGTGTCGCACATGATCATACCTCTCAGCTTTCCTTGGTTTCTCCCGTAGTGAATAAGGGTAACCATGAGGATTGATCTGCGGTAATGACCTTTTTGCTTATTCTCGTGTATGCAGTTTGGTTTTCAACAGGCGCCCTTACCCAGTATTGCCAATTGGCGGATAACATCTGGGATTGTTGCATCCATCATGGTTATATTCCGATATTCCAGACTAGTGCTTGTTGCCTTATTTGAACTAAGATTGAAACAGATATCTGGGCACGGAACTATCTTTCTATGTTATTTGATTAATTACGATCAGCCCTAGTGGCACTAATGACCATACGTTGTGTTTAACAAGTATACTGGAGTGTCCAGGGATTAACCTATGTATAGTTTGGCATTATCTAATCTGGAAGGAAAACTGAGAGATGTGACCTCAGCATTGGCATGACTGTATGGGGGTAACCAAGAAGCATCTCATATGTTATTTTGTTTTGATTTTTTTTTTCTCATAACAATGCCATAACGAAATGATTCAATGCATGTCATCCATGGACAATTTTGTTGCTCAAGATTTGCTGCAGGCACTTTGATTCCTACCAAGGTAGCTTGGGGAGGCTCGCAACAAGAGTGTATAAGGGAATGCGACGTAGAAGAGTTAGAATAGTGGCCTCGTCTCTAAATACCCCAGAAATGTCTATACGGTGGTATTTATTCCGAACCTGTCCCAAGTCTCTTCGCACCCGCATGCTACTCTGCCATGGGTCCATGTGGGGCAGAAATCAATGGTTGGGTGAGCGACATCTCAACCCTGGAACCAGATGCCACAGTACAACAAGCCCTAATTCCGAACATAAAGAAGGTTACAATGGGGCGACGTCACTGACTTAGCTGTCATAGACGTAATCTGATTCATTATGGAGGTGACAATATCTGTCTTAGATTCTTCGGGGTTTGGGCTACAAGCGCTGGCCATGGAGGTTATTCCTATACCTAGTACTAACAGAGCTTCTTTAGGAACACTGGTGAAAAGTATCGCCGGATCCATCCGATATTAACTCCTTCCCATTTGGGCTACGATACAGGAAAACCTGAACCACATAATAGGACCAGGGAAAACCCGTACCAAGGCTAATTACACAATTAGAATTATTGATGGGAAATATCCCTTAATACCACCTTGTATGCTCCATCATGGTTCACCGGCCATTGCAACATGGTTTACCTAGAGCCTGGCATATATTAGAATCCGTGGGCGATTAGCGCAGCAATCCTCTTTGACTTACCACCGGTGCCAGACATCGTCATCATCATCGCGGCTGCATGGGTCACGGTAAGCGCACTTTACAAGTTGTTAGTTGATTTTCAAGGGCTGCCACCGCAAAATCTATCACTTACCACTCCGGGGGCACCGGGGAGGCCAGCGCGACATGAGACACACTTAAGGCCTTCTTCACAGAACCCGCCGGGGTAGGGGGCACAAATTTCACCTGGTTTCCGGCCGGCAGCGACCAGAGCTGGAGCGCATGTGGCGATGAGAAGGGCGAGAAGCTGCATTGTGAATGATTGCGAGAGAAAGCTTTGCTTCGGTAGAGGGCTCAAGGAATGGACAATGGTTGATGGGTTTGATTAATTCATGGAAAATGGAATAGACTTCTGGAGACTCGCAGAGATTTTTATAGCCGTCGAGCTCCCTGTGGATGACAACATGACTATAGTGATTTGGCTGTTTTCATTCATTATCTTTCAGATATGAGTCCATGACGGTCTAATCACAATTCTGACTTCATGACTATTCATTCAGTTTGGCTACAAGTGATACGGTGATGTTGTATTCAACTCTAAAGCTATTCCAATACACAGGACAGTAGCCATACATGCCACATGTGCATGATAGTGTGAGAAATCCAAGTCCTCGAAAAACGCAATATACCCCGTGGTCTCGACTATAATGTTGTTATCAAGCCTGCCTGCATGGTCCTCAGTGCATCATCGATTTAACAATAAACACCAAATTTGATCCGACTGTGGAAGAGCCGTAAGGTTAACGGACCGCCGGATAGCATCTCCGCAGCTTCCGTAAAACTTAGTCTGACGGCGGAGTTATGACCTCAGTTACCTCAGTGCAGTGGCCAGAACGCATGTCCGCTTTCGGGTCCGTCTAATGATCTGTGCGTTGAGAGGAGAGAGCGATGAGATAGCTAGAATATCATTCGGTCTCTTCTATGTCGAAGTGGAGGTCTACGGAGCATAATCCCAGGACACAGTGAACGGTAGCAATCGAACTAGGACTTGGACCAACTGCTCTGTTATTCTCATGTCAAAGGCCTCTCGGGTTTGAACCTTGGATCTAGTCTAGCTGATGAAAACAACAACAACTTGATTGAAGTCCTGACTACCCTATGCCATGAAAATCGATGCGTTCTGTCGGTCTCTTCTGTTCTTGATTCCTGGGTTATGCATGGTATGGCAGTGTCCAGGTGTGGAAGACGGCGGCTAGTATAGCTTTGCGGATGTTTTCACATGGGCTATCATCTATATACCGGGTCAGATGGCTTCCTGCTTTCATTAGAGTTAAATAATTATCTGTCTCCATGCAAACCATATTTCGCCTACTAATCTGTGCCCTTGTATTGGATGTTTAATCCAGTTTTTCACCTGCGAGTACGGCAAAGACATGAAGTGCACCTTATTCTGACTTTGCTTCACGCGCCCCAGTTACGATAATGACCATTAATAAATCTTCATATTCACTACTCTACGGGTCAAGACATTTGAGCCATCATTTTTTAGTGAAGAAAGCTTGCCCCGCACGGGTAAGGATTCCGACTCGGATCTGTTACCGACCGACCTTGCTGGCTATATAACAGCAATATTCCACCCAGCGATTTAGCCGTTCTGCTCTAAAATAACCCGGAGGAATCCGACCAAGGCACAACTAAACAAGCCCGAGTATCTCCGTCTCTCAAAACAGATAAAACCGAGCAGGATGGTTGAAGTGAGACAGTATCACCTCTCTCCCACGGATCTCATCCCCAACTCGCCAAGACCACTACTCCACTACAAGAATGTTCTAGCCAAGGCCAACAACGCACATTGCGACCCAGTCGACGTGTGGGACATGTTCACAAAGAACGAATGGAACGTTCACTGGATTTTCCGCTACAGTCCCACTCAAATATCTCACTACCACTCCCAGGCGCACGAATGTATGGCCGTGCTCTCAGGCACTGCCAGTATCCGTTTCGGTGTCGCGGATACCTCACCGGATATGGATGAGAATACACACGGTTCTGCCTGGGAGGAAGGTGGTGTTCTACTAGAGGCGGAAGCTGGCGACGTTTTTGTTATACCAGCTGGCGTGGCACATAAGACACACAATACGAAGCCCGAAGCCGAGTTTGCACTGTTGTCGCCGGGAACAGGACACGGTATCAAACGAGAGGATAAGAAAGCCTTGTCTGAGATTACTCTGGACGGGTTCACTATGATGGGGGCTTACAGCGGGGGTGACTGGGACTTTGTTGCAACCGGGGGTGATTATGAAAAGGTGTGGTCTGTGCCGAAGCCAAAGTACGATCCAGTGTTTGGGCCTTCGGAACAGGGACTTTGCAAGACATGGCGTGGAGGTGACACTGAGCCTAAGGCTCATCTCTAGGGTGTGTCTGAGCTTGTATGTTGATATGCGTGAGAGCGTTTTCATAGCGCCTTGATGGTATTGTCTGTATCGAAAGAACTAATATGATTGATATCCGAGTCCATGTACCATTATGGTAACCATTCACCATACAACTCATTCGTAACCTATTGCTGGCGTGCATTGGTTCCGGCAGTGTTGATCCTTAGGATCGGCTTGTTATCTACGATCGGAGACTGTCCCGAGACGTGAGCCCTGCTTTGGTATTGTCTAAGCTCCGAGCAAGCCTTGCCCTTCGGACACTGGATGAGTGATCTAAACATAATAAAACTCGGACAGTGTGTTTATATGTGCCTTGTACAACTGCTACGAAATCCCGGAAGCATGCCTCTACCAAATTCCAAGGCCATCCTCCTCGCCCGCTCAATTACATCCTTCTATTCCGTTTGAATTCTAAACTATTGGCTCTGAGAGAAGTATCAGGATTGAAATCTCAGTTCCCCAAGCTCAGCCTTGCAACCATTTCCTAGAAAACGTGGAAAAGCTACGGGTTATGGTAGGCGACTTCGGCCGAGCCGGTCTGGATAAAGATCGGCATCTCGGTTCGGAACTCGCCCCCGAAAGAGCTCCCCGGTTGGTGGTCTGATATGATATGTCCCAACGGCATTTAGCATTTATATAGGGTTGGCTTAAAAGGGGGAACATTGACTCACCCCAAGATTTATGAGATCTATCCTCCGACAATACACTGACATTTTAGGCATATCTCTCTGCCTATACAGCGAGCCCGACGTAGTGCTGATCACCACATGTTCCGGCATTCACTCCCGGATACTGAACTAACGATGACCTCGAGCACACCTTGGCTCATGGAAGCGTTTCGTCATTGGGTCATGAGCCTGGACGATAAGGAGGTACACGTGGGGTGCAATTCACCACTTTGTGGGATAAAAGACCCAATGACAGAGCGAGAACTGGATAGTCTACTGAGTTTCGAGTGAATAATCAGACGGGGTCAAAGGCCTCGGTGCCTTGAAAGGTTTAGGGTATTGTTCTCCACGATACTCGACGTGAAAACAATCCCCACGACGCACTACCCAGGAGGTTGGAGTCATTGATTACATTTACTATTGATCTTCCGCGCGTCTGAAACCAAACATGACAGGAGAACGCGCAATAGAACCACCCGAGGAAGACATGGATGATGAAATTGTGGCTCTTCTACGGCAAATTGAGGAGATCGATTTATTCGGCGAGAAACAAAAAGGAAAGGGTCGAGCCAATGAACCGTTGGACATTGATATAGCCGTGACAGCGTTTCGCGATGATGTGCGAACGCACGTTGGGTTCTTGAATGATCTCAAGCTTGCTCAAAGTATTGGTGATGCTGTGTATATGGACGGCCCAGCCATTGCAGGCATCACGCAAGGAGAGTTGCAAGCCCAGCGTGATCGACAACTAGCCATTACAGTGAGCGCCGATGATCCGGAACTTCAGAACCCTCCGCGTGGGAAATTGCATAACCACTCTCATCCTTTAAACATACCTCGGGACTTCCTCAACGGACAGGGTGATATTGATTGTGGTTCTGATGAAGACAGAGGTGGTCCTTCGAAAACATATGTGGAGCGCCAGAAAGAAGCGATGGAGAAGCTAACTCACCAAAAGCAACAATGCTGTACCTGCTTCGATAGCTTCAATCAAGCGATATGGTTGGCTTGGAATGCGGTGACCTCTACTGCACAGATTGCCTCAAGAGCCTTTTCATGAGAGCGACTAAGGATGAGCAACTCTTTCCTCCGAGATGCTGCCGCCGGCATATTCCCTTATCGCTCATTGAGAAACAAATGACCACCGAAGAAATGGATGTATTTGAGAGGGCAACAATTGAATTCTCCACGACCAACAGAACCTACTGCAGCAACACTGATTGTGGCAGATTTATCGTCCCGACTAACATAGTAGCCCAGCAGGCGAAGTGCGAGTACTGCGGCTCCTTAACTTGCACAATGTGCAAGAATACCTTTCACCATGACGATTGTCCAGAAGACACCGCTCTCCAGGAAACATTGGAACTTGCCAGAAGCCAAGGGTGGCAGCGTTGCGTCTCCTGCAAGGCGATGGTTGAACTGACAATAGGTTGCTACCACATGAGGTAGGATTTATTTCTCTCCTGGGCTCTTGTCTCAGTTCTGGAACAGTGCTGACGAAGTGTCTAGGTGTAATTGCAAGGCTGAATTCTGCTACCTGTGCGGCAGAAAGTGGAAATCCTGTCGCTGTGTAATGTGGTAGGAGGGGAGACTCGTTGCCAGAGCAGAACAGATTGTGGATCGGGAAGTTGACTATGCGCTGCCTCAGCAAGAGCGTCAACGCCGCATTGCCCAGGTGCGAAATAACTTGCTGGAGACGCACGAGTGTGAACACTCGCGACGCTTCGAGCGCATCTTGAACGGTAGTAGACACGGGCATCAATGCGAATTGTGTGGGGCACGTCATTGGAAATTTATTTTGCGATGCCGTCGTTGTCAGTTAGACGTGTGTCAAGATTGTCGGATGCATCGTGTGTGATGAGGTATTCTTCATCGAAGAACTTCTATAATATTATGAGCTATATTATATGCCTTTGTTGAGGGTGGTTTTAGTTCCCAGGTGCTCTTCCAGGGATTGGTTTGAGGATGTACACTGTTTCTAGTGCATGCCTCTCTCTGGAAGCAACTGCTCACACGATAGGCTTTTAAGTGAGGTCTTATATGTTTTACAATGGATGGAAAAAGATCAGGACCTGATTCCAAACGCTGATATGTTCAATTCAACCACGTACATTCTCCCGTTCGGATATGATACCGCTATCTACAGTAACGTACATTTATGCGGACTTACTCGAGCAGAATGGGGCGTGTCCAGATATGCTGGAGGTAGTATACCTTCCAAAGAGGCCTTAATCTGCAGGGCTAACGTGCGCGAGTGCCACCGGTGTTGTTGCGTATAGCCACCCGCGATCCACAGGTTCTCGAGGCGCGATTGACGCTTCCACAAGCCACGTATCTCACCCTCAGCGTCAATACCCCATGTCGCGTCAAGGCGACCAGCGATTTCACGAGGGCCAAGGACCTTCTCGGTCTCAGTCTCAGTCTCCTTACCAGAAGAGTGTCCGCCCAGGGTTCGGATGGCAGTATCGCGCATATCCTTGTCGGCAAATCCGGTGCACCATACCACGGCATCTGCATCAGCGGTGCTTCCGTCTGAGAAACGTAGCCCTGTGGCCGTGTACGCAATGGGCTCGACTCCGGCCTTCATGCCTGCCTTACGGTCCGTGAGCAACTTGGTGCCACCCACATCCACGTAGTGCCCGCCCGCTCGCTCCAGCAGGTTGTGCATCAATGCCGTGTCCGGGTCGCGACTGTCGATAACCGGGAATCCAGCGGCTGCGAGAGCGTCGTAGCGATGCGGTTCCTCCGCTGCGAACTGCGCGATCAAACCCCGAGCGAGCTGGGCGTCTACATGCGACGGCAGCGTCATGAAGAGTCGATCAGCGAACTCAACACCCATGTCATAGGCTCCGAGACTGTGCTTGTCGCAGACGTATTCAACTGGGACAACGTAGGTTGGAGATCGAACAACCATTGTTGTCTGGAGACCAGCGCTGTGACAGTCCTCGAGAACGTCGAAAGCAGTGTTGGCAGATCCAATTACGAGGACGGACTACCGGAGATCCATTCTCGTTAGCTAACACAACCATATTTCTGGGATCTTTCTGACTTGGTGGAAATGACACTGACCTTGGCTCCAGTCTCTGTTAACTGCTTTCCATTTTTGTACTGAGCCGAATGGAGGCTGGTTCCTTGATATAGATGACCATCTACTACCTTTGGCAGATACGGCTCCTGGGATGCGATGCCGGTCGCAAGCACGAGATGCTTACAGTGGGCTGTTTGCTGGCCAGCAGGTGCCTTAACCTTGACCTCCCAAAGTTTGGTGGATAGGTCGTACCTGGTCGACAGGATCTGCGCGGAGGTGATGATATTCAGGTTGAAGGTTTCGACATACCGTCTGACCTGCGAAGCCAGCTCCTCTCTAGTCAAAAGGTGAGGAGCTCGAAGCTCCTCGTCATAAGCTAGATTGTGCACCCGGTGTCAGTGTACTCTCCTCCACTCTTGGTGGCCTGCTGATACTTACCCATGTAGGGCATGTCACAGAATGATGTGGGGATGTGAAACCGCATGCAATCATAGCGCAGGGCCCAGTTATCGCCAGGTCGCGGATTACGCTCGGCCATGACACTATCGACACCAAGCGCTTTGAGACGTGCTGCAAGAGTGACAGCGCTGCACAGTGTCAGCTATGCCAGGATTGTTGTCTTCACATAACTTACGCGTTTCCGCCCCCGATAATAAAGACATCTGTGTCGAATGTCGCAAGACCATCCAATTGCCTCCCAGGAGATTTCAGCAATGCCTCGTCCTCTTGCTGCACGTCTAAACCCTCGAGAAATGTGCTCAGGACCCAGATCTTCCACTCAATTGTCTCATCGCGGTTCTTAACAGGAAGTAGAACGACTTTCCCTTTGCAATTAGCACCGGGAGAGGCAGTTCGGAAGGCAATACCACAGTCGATAAATTGCTGTAGACACGGACAATGGTCAGCTACAACGTTCAGATACCAGCACTCTGTGCGTTTCAGTTAACGGCTCACAAGCGTCGGCGTAGCGGGAGGAAGACTGCGCCTCCATCAACAGCAATCTCCCCTTCAATTTCCCTCAAGTTCTTTGTTTCCAGTAAGCTCGTGGTGATTGTGCTAGGGCCGCTGAATGTACGGAGGTGGTAAGTGAGCGCCAGCTGATCTTTCCAATATGCCTGACTGGCAAAGAAACAACTCTCAACAGCGATCGCATCATCATCCGCCAGTGCAGCGCTCAAACGGCGCAACACAGTGCGCGCCAGCTTCACCGGCTCGTCGCCAGTGATAGAACCTGGATCTATCGTCCCAGGAGGGATTGTAGGAAGCGGCTGGTGAGCCATCATCTGGCGCAGATCCGCTCTTGGCGGACACTCATCGTGTAACAAGGACGGGAAATCGTCTGGATAATTGTTATGCGTTAGACCCTGCATCCTTTGGACTGATCATCTGCAATATCCTGGGAAACTCACTGGAAGCCATGGTGGAAGTTGCAGTGTATGAGGTGCTGGACCATGCGGCGGGGGGTGGCAGCATTTAGCAGCTGCCTCGCATCTGCATGGCAAAGGCTATCGCAGTCCAAGCGTGTGATTCAGCGTCAGATATCCACATCTAGACTGGCATCGCCATGCGGAGCAAACCCCGATGTATGCCATTATTGGCCAGGAGGGCCCTTGTGAAAGTCTAGTGTGATGACGGATTCCAATTGGTGCTCACTTGGTATGAGGGCTCGCAACTCAAATGTTAACTTTGCGAGATGCATCGCGAGGCTTCCAAGTATTTTCCTGCCATTTCCGGCCACAGTCGCGACAACGGTGGCGATACATGATCTGGGCACCACATTTATCCCGATTAGACGAGGTATCGAGCCCCTTTAAAGGGCCCGCTACTGTTCTGTGAATTTTCCACAGGGGCGACCACAACGGGTGGGACCCACTGGCGGTGCAGAATACGGAGCACAGGTCCATCCATCACATTGACTGCAGGCCTTAGCGCAGTGACCTGTCATCCGGCCAAAAGATAGCAGCCTATGGGAGCCAATCCAGGTGGATTCACTGACATCTGGTTGGAAGCTGGACGAAGCTAGAGCGAACGGATGCTTCCTTCCGGCCCTTAGCGTGCAGACATTCTCTCATCCGAAGAGCTGTCAGATAACAACATTATGGGATCCGATGCGGATACGGGCTGCTCTAATACGGAGTGGGCCATAGTCTGTCCATTGTATATCTACATAATTATATGCAGAAGAGGACGTCTTTGTTTGTGAAACTGCCCAACGATGTAGCCTTGATTCTATCGCCGATTTGCAACAAGCTTGGCAGAACTTTACCCTGGTGTCGATCCTCAATGGATAGATCTGGGTTAGCCCTTGTTCTCTATAATTAAAGAACGAACTTCCCATGTTCACACGGCTTGTCCGTCCAGACTCTAGTAGTCACGGATGTCAATATGTCACCAGAAGAGCTCGATGCCCTGCTCGCGGCTCCGGCTCTTGTACCGCCGCCCGGGGTCACGCCGAATTTCGACAATCCTAGCAGCCACAATGACTATGCTTGGGGTATAACAACCGTCTGTATGGTCGTTGCGACGCTATGTCTCTGTCTGCGATGGTATGTCCGGATCTGGTTGGACAGGAGAGTCCGTATTGAGGATGGTATGTTGGATCACTGAAATCACTGAAACTAAAGGGCGTGGCTAACACCTGGCTAGCTTTAACAATCGGTGCATATGTGTGCTCGTCTGTTCTAATCGATACTCACATTCATAATGAACTAATAATGCTTAGGGCGCCTACTGGGGTACAGCTTACGCTGCCTATGGGATGATTTACACTCCTGGCTACTATGTCCACACCTGGGACCTTCGTAACCGGGACCTCATCCGACCGCTCTATGTGGGTTTCTCTCTTTTTGCACGGATGGCTGATCCGAGCTAATCGATTTGTTCCATTAGCTCATTCTAGTTTATGGTTGTTGCTACTCCGCAACCCTCCCACTGATCAAGACAGCCATCTTGATGGACTGGTGTCGTGTGTTTGTCAGCGTTAACCGAACAAAGAGTTTCTTCTGGTGGGGATGCATGACTGTGTCATTTTTTCAATGCCTCTGGGGGCTCCTCTGTATCCTCCTTCTCAACATGCAATGTCGCCCGCACAGAGCTATTTGGGAATTCTACCTTCCAAGCAAATGCTACTCACTCCCAGATGTTATGCTGTGCTCCGCGGCCGTGCAAGTCATCTCCGACGTGTGCATGTTTCTGCTACCCCAGAAGATGATTTGGAGCCTCCACATGAACTGGCAGAAGAAGATGGGCATTTCAATCATTTTTGGTGTCGGTATTCTGTCAGTACTTCCAACCAGCCCCAGCCCCATTCGAGCATCTCCCACGTCTCCCCGCAGATCTAACCATGTTGCAGCGCCTCCATTGCGGCGTGTTTCCGCCTAGCCCATACCGTCACCTTCGCCAAGTCAACCGACACCATGTACTTCATTGGGCCTCTTCTATTCTGGGCCTGCGCGGAGATGACCTGCGGTTTCTTCATCTTCAGCGTGCCCTGCCTATCGAAGCTAGCCATGGAGTCCGGACTCCGGAGCCGGTTATCCAGCGCTCTGGGCCTCAGCGACAAGTCCGTCAGCGGCCCTTCTGACAAAGGCGCAACCCCCAATTCTGGGCCTCGCGCCAAGCCCAAGCCATGGAGGATTTCAGAAACCAACTACTCGAAGATCGAGGAGGGCAGTGTTATACCGCTGACAAACGTTTCAGTGACGCAGCATGACCCCAGCGAGGGGCGCCTTTCACGCGACGAAAACCGCTCTCCGATGAGTGTGGTTCGGACCATGGACGTCAACGTCAGCTCTACCGATGGCACTGGTGTTAAGCTACAAGATCACCGCGTCCCTTGGGAGCATTAGCTATCATGTTCGCAACTGGCGGTATCTGGCGTTTTCGGGGCATAATACTATGGGAAGGAGTACGGGACATCTCATACTTTGGGGCTAGGTTTTCTTTTCACACAGTGGAGTCTTAAAAACAACGATTTATATCATAGTATTTTATTAATCTACAGATTCTCGGCTGTCTTTTGGTAAACAATATGCCTGAACAAGATAAAAATGTGTGCTTCGGATTAGACCTCCCGAGCCATATATACCTACCCAATACTATCAAGATTAAAGGGATGGACAGTGGATAACCCAGGTTGTGGTGTATATAAATACATCCCCATTGTTGGCTCTACCAGAATCATAATATCGATATTCCTATAGACTAGCCAATGGGAATCCCGTACATGCTTATATAATACCATTTTGATGACACTAAACTCGTAATGTGACCTCGGTAAGGCAACAAGGCAGCGCCGGGACCAATCGCACAGCCCTAACGATAGCCTCATCGCCATCGTGTAGCAGCCTTGGCATATTTTCCCCGTTTGGCGTTGTTGTGCTGAGGATACGATTTAATTGCGTCATATAGGATACAGGGGTTATGATAGCGATGCACTGACTTGAGGCATCCACGATTCTGTCGCTCATTCGGGCAACGTAGCCAAGAAATGTCGGTATCTTCGGAGCTGCTCGTATTCGGTTCAACCACTGATCTGCACGGCATCTCCATAATAACCAGCTATCAGAATACCGGATCAGGCAAGTCTCGTATTCCTATATCCTGGTAGTTATTCAGAATCGGTTATAAATATGATTGCAAGGTCATCTTGCAATGTGTGTTACTGCGACAAGACCTTCAAGTTGACAATTGATGATTATATATATTCATTCTCTCCCTCTTTTGCACTCACATATCCTCCAATACTCGTTGAAGAAAAGTACTAAGCACTCATGCTCCAACATCTTCTCACAGCCGTCGGCATCCTCTCTATCGCAACCGATGCACAAACGCAGTCCCGGCGCAGATGCGCCTACGGAGACGATTGCTGGCCAGATATTCAAACATGGAACGACTTCAACGCCACCGTTGGCGGAAGACTGATTCGCTCCGTACCATCCGCAGCAGTGTGCCATACGGAGCGGTACAATGCAGACAAATGTACCGTGGCCAAGGAGAGTTGGCTGGATAGTTTCTGGCGGACAAACCAAACAGGGGCATATTCTGCTACGGTATGGGAAATGGGAAAGACCGGACAGTGTTTCATTAATGCATCCGTTAGCGCCCCGTGTGACCAAGGCAGAGGTAGAGTCATCGTCAAGATTTTCTTAACAAGTCTTTATTCTAGGCTGCTAACACATGGCTTGTGTCACTTTAGTTCCGTATTATATGGTTCGTGCGGCGAGTGTGGAGGATATCCAGGCCTCTGTGAAATTTGCAAGCGAGAAGGATCTCTTTCTCGTGACGAAGAATACTGGACATGATCAGTATGAGCCTTCTGGAATATAATATGTGGCCTTCGCTAATAACGCTCACCACAGCCTTGGTCGTTCAAGCGGAAAGGGTTCGTTTGGAATCTGGACCCATAATCTGAAGGGCATCGAATTCCACGATTCGTTCGCACCACAGGATGCACCAGCTAATGCTACTGGTATACCTGCGGTAACATTACAGGCGGGTGAGCAATGGTTCGGTAAGTCAAGTATTGGGCCTGGCCACGTGAGACTACACGCTAACTTGACAATGTAGATGTATACCAAGCTGCCGCGAAACAAGGCGTGTTGGTCGTTGGAGGCTCAGCGCGCACTGTGGGTGCTGCTGGAGGCTATGTGCTGGGGGGTGGCCATTCGCCCTTTGCGCATTATTATGGCCTTGCCGCAGATAGTAAGTTGACTGATGTCCTTTGGCTATTGTACCAAGGCTAATGGCGATGTAGACCTTCTGGAAATGAGCATTGTCTCCGCTGATGGTGAGCACCGAGTGCTTAATGCCTATACAGACCCGGAGTATTTCTGGGCCGTCCGAGGCGGAGGTGGAAGTGCCTGGGGCGTGAGTTACCCTGGACAACTTAAATTCAAAGTAGACGTAAGACTAGGTTAACAGATATGGTTATCAGGTTGTCACATCGGTTACCTACAAGACTCATCCAGTCCCACAGAACCTCACAATTGGACTAGTCCAACTCAACGCAACGAATACATCCAGCATGAAACGTATCATAGCGGAATCTGTCAGGCTGCTGCCAGCTATCACAGAAGCGGGCTACACAGGATATGGGGCGATAGAAAATGGTTTTGCTGCCATCATGCTGAAGCCCAACAGCACAATTGCAGATTTCAACCAAACATTTGCTCCATTCTACAATCTGTCTCGGCTTCCAGGGATCCAAGGAGGGGTCACTGCGTATCCATCAACTTGGGACGGATACGTAAAAACCTTCCTTCGAGATCCTAACATTGGGACCAATATTCAGGATACATCCCGGCTGTTGACAACTGAGGTGATACAGGAAAAGGCGGAACAGCTGGCAGAGTTCATAGTTGATAACAAGCAAGGAGCAGGGTTTAATTTCAGTAAGTCCTCCAATGTTCCTGAGACCG